TAAGATACTGACAGTAGTGAAGGAAAAACTTCAAGAGTCCTGTGCAACAATACATTCAATAAGTGGTGTGAATCAAATGTGAATACTCAAAATTTCCCAAAAAAACTTTCGGACAATTTGAAATCACAAGATTTTACCAAAATCAACAGCTTAAAAACTTACGATTTTTCACCTTTGCCCACGATAAATTAAAGTCCAGGCTTTTTGATATCATTAACAGGTGGGTTTTTTTCAATAAAAATAGAACTCGTAAATTTACTTACCTGGTCATTGGTCATTTGCAAAATTATTTTGTTAAAACACATTCTGTTTCCTACTCTGTACTCTGAAGTTGACATCAAAAAGATGCTTGAGTTTCTGATTGACAATATCTATGTGGTTTTTGGAGACCAGGTCTTCCAACAATCTGTTGGAATTTCCATGTGTTCCAATTGTGCTCCGTGATTAGCAGACCTATTTTTGTATTTGTATGAAGTAGAATTTGTGCAAAATCTTATACGTTAAAAGAAGAAAACACTTGCTGTGGCCTCCAACTCAACGTTTAGTCATATGGACGATGTATTGTCAATTAACAATGGTAATTTCCATTCTTATGTCGATACGACATATCCTGGTGAGCTTGAGATAAAAGATACCATAGAGTCTGACACATCTGTTTCATATTTGGATATTTTACCTTTAAAGGTAATCTAACAACCAAGTTCTATGATAAAAGTGATGACTTTAACTTTTCTATCGTCAACTTCCATTACTTATGCAGCAATATAATACCTTCATCACCTGCATACCGTTTATATATCTCAGTTAATTCAATAAGCAAGAGCGTGCTCTACGTATGAACAGTTCCTTAAACGAGGTAAATTATTGACAAATAAGTTGATGAAACACGAATATCAGCAGTCTCGTTTAAAGTCATCATTTTGTAAGTTCTATAGTCGATACAATGACCTTGTCAGCAAATACAATTTATCATTGAGTCAAATGCTGACTGACTTTTTTCATACTAATTGTTAGCCCATTATTTATACAATGCATTTACAACGGATTTTCCCGTTATTTCCCGATCATGACAAGGAGCACACGGCGGGTGTGACCGGTCAGCGGGGGATGCTCACTCCTCCATGGCACCTGATCCCACCTCTGATGTGTTTTGGAGGTCCATGTTTGCTCTGCTCCTGTTTTGTATTGTTTCATTGACTTTGATATTGAATGCTGTTCGTTATCTCCATATCCTTCATCTAAATGTCGAGTTGAAGGCCACACAGCAAGTGTTTTCTTCTTTTAACGTATAAGATTTTGGACAAATTATGCCGTATATGAATACAAAATAAGTGCTAATATCGGGGCGCAATTTGTACTTATTGTAATTCCAATAGATTGTTGGAAGACCTGGTCTCCAAAAACCACATAGATGTTGTCAATCAGAATCACAAGCATCTTTTAAATGTCAACTTCAGAGTACTTATGTGTACAATCAGAATGTTCTTCAACAAAATAATTTTGCAAGTGTCCTTTGACAAGTAAATTTTTTATTGAAAAAGCAGCTCTCAGTATTATATAAAAAAAAAGCCTTGACTTTAATTTATCGTGGGGAATAGTTGTATATAAAGTTGAAAAAGCGTAAGATTTTACGCTTTTGGTAAAATTTTGTGATTTTGGAATTTTTAAGTATCCACAAATGATTTACACCACCTCTCAAATATACATTGTTGCTTATTGTTCTCTTTTACTACCGTTCATATTCTAGTGAGGAGATAAGAGGCTTGGCAGAACACTTACTGCATGGAACCCTGTTAAAAGATCCTAAAGAAACCAACTTTGCCTTATAAGTAATTTATTAGATGCATACTTCAAAGATAACAAGGACACCACACTATAACACTTCCAATTTCGTTGCAAAGGGATAGTGAGGATTTTAACCGAAATCCAGCGTCATCTCACAATGCAGTGAGAATAAATGATTTATAAATATGGCACGCCAAATTCACAAAAATGAGCTAATCATAGTTTCACAGTCGATAAACTAGGTTTATCGGTTGTAAACTATAGTTTACGGACTGTAAACTATAGTTAACAACGTTAATCTATATTTTACATTTGTAAACCATAGTTAACGCGATAATCTATGTTTCACAACCGTAAACTATACTTAACACCGAAAACAATCATTTGCGATTGCAAAACATAGATTATCTGATAGATACAGTTTCACGATTTGTAAACTATAGTTTACAAACCGTTAACTATAGTTAACAATCTGATAAATATAGTTTCACGATTTGTGAAACTATGATTAACAACTCTTAACTATAGTTTACGATTGTAAACTATAGTTTACAAACGTGAATCTATGTTTATCAACAAAATCTATTGTTAACGCTTTATTCAGACAGATAAACTTAGATTAACATTCGTAAACTATAGTTAACGACCGTTAAATATAGTTTTACAGATGAAAACTATACTTAACGAATCGTTAACTATGGCATGCCAAATTCACAAAAATGAGCTAAACATAGTTTCACAGTCGATAAACTAGGTTTATTGGTTGTAAACTATGGTTTACGGACTGTAAACTATAGTTAACAAGGTTAATCTATATTTTACATCCGTAAACCATAGTTAACGCGATAATCTATGTTTCACAACCGTAAACTATACTTAACACTGAAAACAATCATTTGCGATTGCAAAACATAGATTATCTGATAAATAAAGTTTCACGATTTGTAAACTATAGTTTACAAACCCTTAACTATAGTTAACGATCTGATAAATATAGTTTCACGATTTGTGAAACTATGATTAACAACTCTTAACTATAGTTTACGATTGTAAACTATAGTTTACAAACGTGAATCTATGTTTATCAACAAAATCTATTGTTAACGCTTATTACAGACAGATAAACTTAGATTATCATTCGTAAACTATAGTTAACGACCGTTAAATATAGTTTTACAGATAAAAACTATACTTAACGAATCGTTAACTATACTTAACGAATCGTTAACTATAGTTTACAGTCGATAAACCTAGTTTATCAACTGTGAAACTATGTTTAGCTCATTTTTGTGACTTTGGGGTGCCATACATCCCTACTAATGTGTTCGGAACCTTTTATTTTTCGGTGTTCTGCAGATTATAAAACCCGATGAGTTCAGAGTAGCTCTGACAGTGGCTCTGGCGAGAGTTAGCGAGACTTCAGCGAGATAAGGTAAATTATTCACGGAAATTTGGCTAGGAAGTGACTAGCACGTGGAGACATGGTAAACAGAAAAGTTATGTTGCGTTTTAGTTTTCACCACCCTATAACATCATTCTGTAGAAATGTACTTCAATCGATCTTTCTTGAATTCATTCAAGTTTAAATTATAAGTATTCTCTATGATACAATTTTTACTGCTGTCATGAATTAAAATCTATTTTTGGACAAATATTTTGCATGGAAACCGGGACTATATTTTTTGGCGTCAGATTAGCAAATGAGGCACCAACGTGACTTTAACTGACAAATCAGCTGAATGAGAATTGCATTATGGGTTACTACGAATACTACAGGAATTTTACGCTTGATAAATTCCTTTATTGTACTATCGGTGAATACAATTGTCTGGTTGATTCCCTGGCCAACACACGTTTTCGCGAGTATAGTTAGGTAAAACAAATGTTTTGTCCATTTAAATGCATACGAGAAGCTGCTCGTTTTCCTTACCCTTGAAGTGTTGGTGTTCTGAACTTGACACTAACTACGTATACATTTTATTTAAAAACATATTTTTCTCTAGTTAACAACAAATTAAAAACGCCCGTGATATTTTTCATAGTTTCTAATGTTTGCATTTTGTTCATTAGAACTTTTTTTTATTTTGCTCTCCATTGACATGATCTGTAATTCATAGATTGACCTGAGCCACGTGTTCGAAGTAACATGTAAACATCTATTTGGCGTAAACGTATTCAATCAACATTTGGTCCATTGCTCGTGGTAAGATCCTCTGTGCGAACAAAGGTTTGTCAGTGTAGATGATATTACACATTTTTTTTTACCAGTGAGTACTAGTGAGCTGTAGTTTTTGCAGCTAACTATAAGACGTATTAATTGTTATTTAACCCCCCCCCCCAAGCCACCCATTTCTGTTAAAAATCATGAAAGTCTTTCAGAAATTTGTGGAAACACATTTTTCACAGGGATGTTATCAGAAGAAACAGACTTTAGCAATTTCCTGTTTACTGTCAATTTTATTTATAAAAGCGGTTCTACCCTATAACCTTTGAATAGGTAAACCTAAACCATGTGTCTTGAATTTAAATCACAATAACATTAGTAGGGGTGCATAGATAAAGTCTGAATTGAGTTTCGCAGACACTCAAAAGCTGATAATGATACTCCGTAACATACCCTTCTTTCCCTTTTGTTGTCAAAGGTTGCTGATACATAAATACTTAATATATATTATACCCCTCCCCAAACCGGGTAATCATGTAGTCTATATAATAGAGGGCAAGATTCCTGAAGTGACCCTGAGCAAAAGTTTAACCAGAGGTAAATAAATGCTGATATTCATCTATGATTTTACCTTTTTATGCTTAGACTTTACTAAGTTTAGACAGGATCACTAGATGGTCCAGTCATGCTCTTCTGATAACCTTTTGAGCTTTTGATGGCAAATTAAATGACAAGTATCAACTGATTAGTTCGATGTTTTCCATTTCTATTGTAAAAATTTCCATCTCTATTCTTTTCCATAAATTTGTATTCTTTAATTTTATTATCTTATAATTTAACATTTGTATTTTGTATTTTTCCGTTTGCATCATAGATCTATAATGTTTCCTTTTTAGTTGTATATTTTCTGTGGTAAAAGAATAGTGCTCGTTGTAGGGTTATTTACAATCCGGAACAATTTTGTGTAGTCTTACCTATTTTAAATGTTAGAGCAAGACTAAATCTGTAAAACGTTTTGAAGGGTAATCCGAAAACACATAGCATACAAAGTCCAAACTGACCACGAGGATTCTGACAGTGTCGCTGTCGTGGATTTCAACTCTCGTATATCGTTGCGATCGCTACCTTAATAGTGATATAAATAGTGACACTAGTAAATTCTTTACATACCTGGATATGGTAGCCCATTTTGCAGCAGTTGCTTTCACGGGGTTCATGATTTATGCTGCATGGCCAGGGAGTAGTAAGTCATTGTAGCGTCTTCAACCACAGGAGTCAGCAGTTTTATCAATAAAACATTGTAAACAAAAATCTCTTAGTTTCGCGAGCGTAACGAGCACTATGCTCGCAGATTATTGTTATTGTTTACGGCTTGGTGTGAAATGTGGAGGATAGAGTCTCCAAAATGGAGTGTCAGAGACTAGAGGTCTAGTCCAAAGACTATTTCTACCTACATGTACGTACCCAAAGTAGCCATTTTTACCTGTAGATTCCTTGATACAGCCACAAAATTTTGGCTTTTCTTTGTAAGTTAACAATTTGACATATATTACCATGCAAAATTGTTAATTTACAAAGTAATCCTTTTTTGGCCATTTTTTTTCCCTATGCATCATCAGTATGACTGTATTATTTGCTCACCTGAGTCGAAGGCTCAGGTGAGCTTTTCTGATCAAAATTTGTCCGTTGTCTGTTGTTGTCATTGTTATATTTGTTGTTGTAGTCATTGTCATCAATAATTTTTCACATTTTCATCTTCTTCTCAAGAACCACTGGGCCAAATTTAACCAAACTTGCCACAAAGTATCCTTGGGTGAAGGGGATTCAAGTTTTTTCAAATAAAGGGCCACCCTCTCTTCTAAGGGTTGATAATTATGAATTAGTGAAAAATTAATGGTATCTTTTAAAAATCTTCTTCTCAAGAACCACTGGGCCAGGAAAGATGAAACTCATGTGGAATCATCCTCAGGTAGTGTAGATTCAGTTTTGTACAAATTGTAACCCCTGGGTGTAGGGTGAAGCCACAATGGGGTATCAAAATACAACATAAGAATACAATAACCTAGGAATACATAGGAAAAATCTTTAAAAATCTTCTTCTCCAGAATCAGTGGGCCAGGAAAGATGAAACTCATGTGGAATCATCCTCTGGTAGCAAAGATTCAAGTTTGCTCTAATCATGACCCCTGGGGTAGGGTGGGGCCACAATTGGGTATCAAAGTTTAACATAGGAATACACAGGAAAAATCTTTAAAAATCTTCATCTCCAGAACCACTAGCAATGGGCCAGGAAAGATGAAACTCGTGTGGAATCATCCACAGGTAGCAAAGATTCAAGTTTGTTCAAATAATGACCCCCGGATGTAGGATGGGGCCACAGAAGTTCAACATAGGAAAAATCTTTTAAAATCTTCTTCTCCAGAACCACTGGGCCAGGAAAGATGAAACTCATGTGGAATCATCCTTAGGTAGCGAAAATTCAGTTTGTTCAAATCATGACTCCCTTGGGTAAGAAGGGGTCACAATGGGGTATCAAAATACAACATAAAAATACATAGGGACAATCTTTAAAAATCTTCTTCTCAAGATTCACTGGGCCAGGAAAGATGAAACTCATGCAGAATCATCTTCTGAAAGGGAAGATTTAATTTTGTTCAAATCATGACCCCTTGGAGAAGGGTGGGGCCACAATTGGTGATCAAGGTTTTACAAAGGAATGCATGGTAAAAATTGTTAAAATTCATCACAAAGCCATCGTGATGATTGATCATCAGTTTAAAGTTATAAAAAAAGGTAATGTAGATTTGAAATTCAGGAGAATAGAGGAGCCATAAAGTGGACAAGTGAATACAAAGGCTATATCAATAAAAATTTTCATCTTATAAACAACAAAACCATAATGTGTCACAAAAGCATTCGAAGAAAGTGTAGATTTAAGTTTGTTTAAATCCCCCCCTCCCCAGAACCCATTTTTATAATACATGTATATCTAAACTTTTCAATACTGAACTAATTTTTGCTATTACCTAGCCAGTTGCTCAGGTGAGCGATGTGGCCCCTGGGCCTCTTGAAAAATTTGGTGCTCACCATATTGCAACATTCCTATGTTTAGCCACAAAATGTAAGTATAGCAAAAAGTAGGTAAAAATAGCTACTTTGGCATGTTGGGTACGTTTAAATACCTACATAGCTATAATTAGCTACATAGGTAGAAATAGTCTTTGGACTGGACCTGTCAGAGTGTCACAAAGTGCAAGTGGTGGAGATTGGTGAGATTTATGCCCTGCACTGCTTAACCATGTACAGTTACTTGTAAAGTCAAGACAGATCTAATTAGGCTTTAGGGTACTAAACTGAATGAAAGATAATTAAGCAAAGTTTATCAAAATTGACATAAGAGGCTCCACCCCTTGTGCCTCGTGACACTCCAAATTGGAGACTCCATCCTCAGCATTTTACATCAAGACTATTGTTTACATTGTTTTATTGATAAAACTGCCGAATCCTGTGCTTCAACAGGCTCCCATATGAAAATGGCTATTTGATTGTCAACTAGCTTCATTAAACTATTTTCAACAGAATGTGAATGATATTTGATCACTAGGAATTCAATGCTTACGCCTGTTCGACTGAGCGAACATTTGCAAGCGGTCGTCAAAATTCCTTATACCTCCAATAGAAATGTTCACGAGGGCTTGCTCTGTTGAACAGGTTTGAGGCTTCAGATCTGAAAAGCAATCAACTGTTTTACATAAAAAGGTCAGTTGACCGTCAATTGACTGCTTTTCACTGAGTTGACCATGATTAGTTGAATGATAATAGTTTGACAATTTCATGCAAGAAAAGAGAAATATTTCTTATTTTTACCCTATTCACATTTGCTAAAGCAGTCATATAAAGATACAAAATGGTATAATAATTTTTAAAAATTACTTTTTACTTCGAGAGAAAAACACCTTTTAATTATAATTAACTTTTAATTACTGTTTTGGGTTTTTTTTTGGCTCAAATCTGTTCTTAAACAGTCTGATTAAAATCAGATCTTTGTTACACTCTGAAATACTGATGCTCGCTGTACAAAGATTGGCAATACATTCGTAACATACATAATACGTTCGAATCATTTGATTGTCACTACTGTAAGCAATTTCATATGCTCCAGATATATTGCGAGATTTAGAGCTTTCTCGACCTCCCTGCAAAAGAGCGGTAGTAAGTTAGATAATTGCGAGGTACTTGCGATATTACGTATTTCTTATGTTTGAAATCATAACTATAACCTGATAACCATGATAACTAATTTCTTTAAGGAACAGGTGAATATCCCTCTTTACAGTATACTGATCCTTTTCAGGTCTTTTTTCATGGCATCCAACTCTGATGGCTGTAGCTGTGAGTATTTTTTACCTTTACTTTTAATTAAATTTAATGCAGCAGTAAACATGGTAAACAATTATTAGGGCCTCGCTCGGCGGGCACCCTATAGTGATCAGTCTTCCGTCTGTCCGTCCGAGATCTTTTGTCATATCTTCTCTCTCCTTGGCCCAATCTGGCTCATACTTCACCCACAGAGTGCCTTTGGGTAAAGGGTGTGCAGTGACCTTGAACCATCTTTCTAGGTCAAAGATTAAGGTCAAAGCAGAATTAAATGAAAAATCCTTGTTCGGAGCATATCTTCGATCCCCTTTGTTCAATGTGGCACATACTTCAATCACCGAGTGCCAGTGGTCAATTAATGTCCATTGATCTTGAACAAATTTTCTAGATCAAGAGTCAAGGTAAAAAATAACCTTTCTGTTTAAATTCTTGTCTGGACCATATTTTCTCTTTCCTTGGCCTAATCTGGCCCATACTTCACCCACAGAGTGCCTTTGGGTAAAGGAAGTGCAGTGACCTTGAACCATGTTTCTAGATCAAAGGTTAAAGTCATAGCAGAATTACATGAAAAATCCTTGTCCGGAGCATGTCTTCTCTTGCCTTTGTCCAATGTGTCTCATACTTAACTCACAGAGTGCCAGTGGTCAATGGATGTGTAGTGATGACCTTGAACAAAGTTTCTAGGTCAAGGTCAAAAATAGCCTCTCTGTTTAAAATCTTTGTTCTGTGCATAATTTCTTTCCCTTAAGTCCACTCAGCCTCAAACAAATTGACTGTGATTTTCCTTCCAAATTTTGACAGAGGATATGCAACAATTTTCACAGAGGATACGTTTCTTAAAGTTTTTAATTGTATCATTTTTCAGGGAGTACTTGCTGTTTGTCCCCTTTAATCTCAAACACCTTCAAAATAAACCCTTTCCAGCTACCTTACATTTTCATGTTCATTGCTAAAAGCGAGGCCCTTTGAGATGGCCACCATCTCAATGATATCTAGTTATCATTATATACTCAAGAAAATAAAAACTTCCTTATTCCTTACTTATGTATGAATAAATGAATTTTCTAAAGAAAAATACATTTACCCTCTCACTTTCAATGGCTTCCCTCCAATATTTTTAATTCATTCCCTAGTATGTATAATTTCCATTTTACCTATACTTTTGGATGCATCATGTCAATTTTGATCTAGTCTGAGACCTTGCATGTATATATCCTAAATGTATTGGATTTTGTTAGTACTTTTCATTTCCAGATACAAGATCAGTTACATATAAACTTTAAAAGCAGTTGAAATGGTTTCATTAGACATGCACTTAATTAGCACTGATGATGTCACATATTATACAGCTTTTATTATATATTATACAATTATGGACTTCAGTGTAGGTCGATATGTGGTTATAAGGACTCATGGCAATATTGATATTGACCGAAGACACAGAAAGTGATAGCGACCAAGCCTGCGAGGTGGCTATGATTTTTTGTGTCTTCGGTCAATATCAATATTGCCCTGAGTCCTTATAACCACATATTGACCGTTCACTGAAGTCCATGATAGTTATATTATATAATCACTTAAAGTGAATGTACTGACACAGTCCTAACTGAACAGACTCGGCTGTCATTACATCACAATGGTTAAAACATGCTTCTTACATTATGACTTCACGTTTTAAATAACTTTGGTGCATCCAAAAGGTGTGTCGTGCGATATAATTTTCCGCGGACGTGCTTTTGCGTCGACATCACAAAAGGAGGACTATCACGTGACGTTCTTTCAGCCAATGAAAATTACGAAAATAATCTTCTTATATAATATTATTATATATTTCAGTCTATGGAGTATTTCAGTATTCCGGAGTAATTACGTGTATGTTGAATTCACATAAATTTTGTTGTGTTTCTAAATAGGGTTACTAATGTTTTATTTGATAGTGACCTCGCATAACCTTTGTCATATTTCTAGATGGCTCTCCTTATGTTTGAAGCAATTATTGACCTCACATAATTTTTGTCATGTTTCTAGATGGAGCTACTGATGTTTGAAACAATTGTTGACCTCTTATAACTTTTGTCTTGTTTCTAGATAGTGCTTCTTACCGGGCTTGTTTGAAGCAATCGTTGACCTCAGATAACTGTTGTCTTGTTTCTAGATGGCGCTACTGATGTTTGAAGCAATCACAGTCTTCTCACCTAGCAGCTCCCTCATCGTATCCTGGCAACGCCCAAGTAAAGCCAATATCCATGGTTACATGATGGCCGCCTCAATGGTGTGCTGCCATTGCTGGATTTCTTGTCATATTCTACAATAAACAGTTAAACAACAAAGAACATTTTACCACCTGGCATGGCACTATGGGATTGATTACATTGCTTTGGGCATGTTTGCAGACTTGTGGAGGACTGCTGCTCAAGTATAATTGGTTGATAACATCCTGGAAAATTCGACTTGTGGACATGAAACTTTACCATGCCACCGCTGGTCTCTGTGCTTTTACGCTAGTCTCTGTGACCCTAGTGCTGGCCTTGTTTTCTGATTGGTTTACTAGTGTTGCTACAGGAACCACCTGGTGGGGAATTTTTGCATTACTTGGTTGTTTATCATTGACAGTGATGCAGCAGATCACGACAGCCTACTTACCTCAGGCCCGCAGCAAGCCGAAACCAATAACATCCAAACAAGGGAAACGTAAGGAAAAGAAGAAAGAAAAATAGGGAGGTTCTGTTTATTCACAAAGCTCAGACAATCAGTGTTTGCTCATATGTATAAATTATTGACAGCAGAAAATTAATATTTTTTATTGAATTTTTGATGTTGATTTCATGGGGACCAATTTATCAACAATTTATTGAAACTATCATATAGATGATATTATTGAAATTTTGCATTTTTTATATAATTGTCCAAAGTCATATCTTGTGACTTTCTTCTTTATGCAGATAATGTAACTAATTTTGCATAAATATTATGCATTTCATGCACCCTACCAAACTTACTTTGGGTGTTTAATCAATCAATCCATTTTCATTACCTACATTTTTCAGATCATGAAGGATCAGTAGAATATGTCCAATTGTAAAGTACATGTATCTATAAAACTTAGGCATACCAAACTTGCATGAAGGATGCACCTATCGTGATGCACTCAGCCAGATGTGCTTGGAATGTTAGCGTGTGGCTTACCTGGAGGTTCCACTAAACTAGATCTACCAAGTGATTGGATGGAATTTTTTTTTAGAGCAGATCAGCTAGTCCCAAAGAATCTATAGGTATTATCAAAAAACTTCTATGATGTTATTGCTGTTATTGAAGCTTCCCCAATTGCAAGTAACATGATGACCCCTGTAAGCTCAGTTGGGGAAACATTATGGGGGTCAAACATTTAGTTTAGTTTTGAGTAAACTCAGGTGACCTATTGCTATCCGTTTTCGTCCGTCGTTGTGCGTCGTCCGTCGTGCGTCTTGTGTTAACATTTGAACATTTTCAGCTTCTTCTCTGCAACCGCTCAACCAACTTCAACCAAATTTGGCACAAAGCATCTATGAGGGAAGGGGAACAAAAACTGTGAATTTCGTGGTCCCCGCCCCCTGTGGGGCTTGAGGGGTGGGGCCAAAAACCAAAAAATTAGTGCAAACTTTAAAAATCTTCTTCTTTACTCCTGGACATCAAGCAGTCAAACTGTTGGCATGATTGTAATCAGCATTGAGTCCTCTACTAAAATTGTGAAATTCATGGCCCTGGGGTCAGGGGTTCTAGTACTAGGGCAGGGCTATATAGATTATATAGTGAAAATGCATTATTTCTTTGAAAATCTTCTTCTCTGCTCCTGGGCAGTAGATAAACAAACCAATTACACAGTTTTCTTGAATATGACAACCTCTTCCAAAATTGTGAATTTCATGGCCCTGGGGTCAGGGGTTCTTAGTTCCTAGGGTGGGGCTATATAGATTGTATAGTGAAAATACATTATTTCTTTGAAAATCTTCTTTTCTTCTTCTGGGTATTTGATAAACAAACCAAATACATAGTTATGTTGAAAAATGCTGCCTCTTTCAAATTTGTGAATTTCATGGCCCCTGCCCCCCTAGGGCCTGAGGGGTGGGGCCAAAACCACTAAATTTAATGCAATCTTTAAAAATCTTCTTCTTTGCTCCTGAACATCAAGCAGTCAAATTGTTTGCATGGTTGTAATAAGTATTGAGTCCTCTACCAAAATTGTGAAATTCATGGCCCCGGGGTCAGGGTTCATAGGTGCTAGGGCGGGGCTATATAGATCATATAGCGAAAAAGCATTATTTCTTTGAAAATCTTCTTCTTTGCTCCTGGGCATTAGATAAACAAACCAAGTACATAGTTTTGTTGAATAAGGCAGCCTCTTCCAAAATTATGAATTTCATGGCCCTGGGGTCAGGGGTTTTAGTGCTAGGGCGGGGCTATATACATGTAGATTATATAGTGAAAATGCATTATTTCTTTGAAAATCTTCTCTGCTCCTGGGCAGTAGATAAACAAACCAAGTACATAGTTTTGTTGAATAAGGCAGCCTCTTCCAAAATTTTTAATTTCATGGCCCTGGGGGCAGGGGTTCTTAGGTGCTAGGGTTGGGCTATATAGATTATACAGTTAAAATACATTATTTCTTTGAAAATATTCTTCTCTACTTCTGGGTATTTAATAAACAAGCCAAATGCATAGTTATGTTGAATAATGCTGCCTCTTTCAAATTTGTGAATTTCATGGTCCCTGCCCTCCTGGGGCCTGAGGGTTGGGGCCAAAACCACTAAAATTAATGCAATCTTTAAAATTCTTCTTCTTTACTCCTGGACATTAAGCAGTCAAACTGTTTGCATGATTGTAATCAGCATTGAGTCCTCTACCAAATTATGAAATTCATGGCCCCGGGGTCAGGGGTTCTTAGGTGCTAGGGTGGGGCTATATACATGTAGATTATATAGTGAAAAAGCATTATTTCTTTGAAAATCTTCTCTGCTCCTGGGTATTGAATTAAGTATGAAAGTTGTTTCGTGATACTCAGGTGACCTATAAGGCCCGTGGGCCTCTTGTTAGTAAACAAATTGGGTAAAAATCCTTTTAAAAGGCAATTTCTGAAGAACAGAAGGGCAGGCAAATAGGTTTCTGAGGTAAGCATTGTGGCCAGGTACGTCTAATCTTTTTTAAAGATACAGTAAAACAATTTTTATAACTGCTTCGTTTTCTCAGGTATTAAAGGTGCAATGAAATGTCCTCATGCAGTGTACTAGAAAATTGTTTAAAGTCTCTATATGTAAATGATTTTTTACAATATCATATCTAACATATTTTTTTCTGTTTATGAAATTGTTCGTGATGTGTTGTTCTATGCTTCAGCCACAGGCACTTGTTTCCGTAATAATTTTTTAACCCTTTGTGTCATTAATACCAGGATACTATGGGTTAAAAAATTTATTACAGAAACCAGTATCTGTGGCTTCAGCATTTAAAATGACAACTGCTTTCGAATGCATATCAAATGTGGTGTTGTTGGTAATATAGATACATGTATATCCATGTGTTTTAAGAAATCCCTAAGAATATCAAATGTTTTTTCATGTATACATGTACATGTACCTGAGTGCAAGTAATGTACGTAGAATTGCTACCCCGCTATTGTACAAATACCAGTATGTATTTTGTACTCAATAAACTTTTTAATGAGGAATTGTCTGATTGTTTCTTTTACATATAATGCTTCCAAAATCCAAATCCAAAGGCTGTAGTGAGATTCTGTGGTTAAGATTTGTCCATTCTTCTGTTGACTGATAAGGCCAACTATAAAGTAATGTTTGTTTGTTGTCTCCTGACCCAGGATGAAAAAATTTGATTGGTAGGTATATTTAAAAACCAGAAGTCTCTGTCGAGACTGTAGCTCTACTGGTTTGTACTTATAACAAAGGATGAGAAAAGAAGCCATTGCCATCAGACCAAAACTGTAGGAGTAGCGTTTTAAGGGATTTCAAGTACAGAAAATTCTATTTTTAGTAACAATGCAACACTGTTCATCAAAATCAAAAACCAATGCACTATTCTATGTATCTTAGTGTAAACTACTTGTGTGCCAAGTTATATAGAATAGTGCATCGGTTTTTAATTTCAATGAACGGTGTTGCCATGGTTACTAAAAATAGAATTTTTTTGTGAAATTCCTTTAAAACACTACTCCTTCTACAGTTTTGGTCTGATTTCAATATAACTTGGCACACAAGTAGACTACACTAAGATACATAGAATAGTGCATCGGTTTTTGATTTCAATGAACGGTGTTGCCATGGTTACTAAAAATAGAATTTTCTGTGAAATTCCTTTAAAACGCTACTCCTTCTACAGTTTTGGTCTGATTTCAATATAACTTGGCACACAAGTAGACTACACTAAGATACATAGAATAGTGCATCGGTTTTTGATTTCGATGAAAGGTGTTACCATGTACTAAAAATAGAATTTTCTGTGAAATTCCTTTAAAACGCTACTCCTTCTACAGTTTTAGTTTGATTTCAAAATAAGCTGGCACACAAGTAGACTACACAAAGATACATAAAATAGTGCAATGGTATTTGATAAGTACAAACCAGTCTCGACAGAGACTTCTGGTTGTAAGAGTTATGGCCCTTGGACTTAGAAAAATTCCAGTTTATATTTGCAGTTTTCCATTCATTTTCTACAGAGAGGTTGCACATACTGAAATGAAATTTAGTATACAGATTTGTCAGATGAATATCTAGGCCAAGTGCTGTTTTGGGTACAATTGTACCATTTTTAATAGAGTTATGCTCCTTGGACTTAGAAAAATTCCAATTATTTGCAGTTTCTGTTCATTTTCTTTGCAGGGGTTGCACATACTGAAATGAAATTCAGTATACGAATTTATCAGATGAATATCTAGGTCAAGTTCTGTTTTGGGTAGGATCGCACCATTTTTGACAGAGTTATGCCCTTTTTTACTTAGAAAACTTCCAATGTGAGAGGGAGGGGGGCATAAGTGTTTTACAAATATCTCTTGTGTCTGTTGGTTTGAGGTGGACCATTATTAGCCTGTTGGTATGGAGAGGGCAACCAAACAAAATTATGAAGTATATGGCCAAAATTGTCATATTTTTGGCTGCTTTTTGGGAACTCCGGAGTTGAATATTAACTATCTTGATACAATCCCTCCTAAAGGAAAGGCAGTTTGTGTATGTTTAAATGACAATGAAAGGGTTGGGTTGTAACTTTCTGTTATGTCACAATCAAATAAAACTTACACTAACATTAATTTTTTGAACTGCCTAATTTTAAATATGGAAATAACAAACCATATACTGTAGATTCCTAAAAATACACCTGCAATTAATTATCGCGTAATTTTTCGAGAAGCTGTACACGCGAAATAAAATTACCCGCCTTAATTTTTTATTATCAATCAACTATTAACGAATTATTATTCTTACGATTAGGCATTAAATAGCTAGTTTGCAATAATAAGTCTCGCAAAAAAATAAGGAAATTACAGTAGTCAACAATCTAATTAAAATCAGACTTCTTAGATCCGCGCTGTATACACTCTTACGTACGCAGACTTGCATACGGTGCGGATCTAAGAAGTCTGATTTTAATTAGATTGCAGTAGTCAAGTTCTAATATTGATAGAAACAATACAAATCAGGAGCATGTGGATCAAACACAGATCTATAAACAACAGGAGTGGGATCAGGAGCCATGGAAGAGAAAGCATCCCTTGTTGATCGTACATAACCAGGGCTCTCACACCCATTTTTGGTACTGGGGCCGGGGCCATTGAAATTGGGAAAAAAGCGACGTTTTTATAAAAATTGGGAAATTTTTACCAGTCATAATTTAAACTTACATCATTGTCTTGCTCTTAGTAGAAATATTTCTTCTACACTGACAACAGTACTGCAGGGATCAAACTTAATTTTTTGACCACTGTAGTAAATATCAGCAGATTTATTTTTACTATCAAATTGTAATTTTGAACTTTTCCTAGCATTTTTTCTCCCTATAGTGATTCATATAAGATTTAAATAATCTATTAAAAAAATAATAATAATTAACCTCTTCAAAGCATTTAGGCCGTTTTATTACAGATGAAATCTGAACAGATAACAGAGTAAATCAGTTGTTTAATTAAAAAAAATATCATCTTTATAAATTTAAAATTAAATCATTAAATACACTGGGGATATATTTTTTGGAAAATTACATAAATTTCTTACTCAAGTTGTTTTAGAGATGGTAAGTATTTTAATGGAATATCTAACGTTACATTGTATCTGATTGTATTTACCATAAAGAAAGGAGTGGAGGAAATTCGAATTTAAAAAAAAAAAACGATCGTTTTTGGAAGTAAATTATATTAGGTAGCGCTGATATGGGGATTTATAAACTGTGGGAGCATGGTACCTATTTTTTTTTTAATTGTTAGGGAATCTAATAGCAAAATAGTGAATAAAATACCTGTAGGCCTAGTGCTTCTCATTCAGTCTTGGTAATCTGAATTTTTTACAAGACCTTTTTTTCTCACAAAAGGTGGCGAACACAGGTCGCTTTTAACTCGCCATTTTTAATTTTAATTCTCATTCAAAGAGTATTTTCTATTAATTTCGAGCCCTGACATCATAGATCTTCACATTCTGTGACATGTTGTGAATGAATAAGTCGTACCTACGGGAACCAGTCAAACCGTTCCCCACGAAAACCGTCCCGGTCAAAGCGTTCCAAGATTTTGGTCAATGCGTACCATGATTTTGGTCAAAATGTCCCCTGATTTTGGTCAAAGCGCCCCCTGACATATTTTATAGAAAAACGAAGTTTCCAAACCGCCCCCAAATTTTGGTCAAAATGTCCCCTGATTTTGGTCAAAGCGCCCCCTGACATATTTTATAGAAAAACGAAGTTTCCAAACCGCCTCAAATTTTGGTCAAAATGTCCCCTGATTTTGGTCAAAGCGCCCCCTGATATATTTTATTGAAAAACGAAGTTTCCAAACCGCCCCCAAATTTTGGTCAAAATGTCCCCTGATTTTGGTCAAAGCGCCCCCTGACATATTTTATAGAAAAACGAAGTTTCCAAACCGCCCCCAAATTTTGGTCAAAATGTCCCCTGATTTTGGTCAAAGCGCCCCCTGACATATTTTATTGAAAAACGAAGTTTCCAAACCGCCCCCAAATTTTGGTCAAAATGTCCCCTGATTTTGGTCAAAGCGCCCCCTGACATATTTTATTGAAAAACGAAGTTTCCAAATCCCCCCCCCCCTCCCCCAAAATATTGGTCAAAGCGTCCCCAAATTTTGGTCAAAGCGCCCCCTGAATTTTGTTTTTTTTTATATAAAGGAAAACGAAGTTTTTTTACACTAAAATCTATAGTTAAATTGGTCAAAGCGCCCCCTAAAATAATTTTTTAACAGTCAAACAACTTTTGAAGTTCCCAATTTTGGTCAAAGCGTCCCCAAATTTTGGTCAAAGCGCCCCCTGAATTTTGTTTTTTTTATATAAAGGAAAACGAAGTTTTTTTACACTAAAATCTATAGTTAAATTGGTCAAAGCGCCCCCTAAAATAATTTTTTAACAGTCAAACAACTTTTGAAGTTCGCTCAAAGCGCTACTTATAGAAAATTTGTGTTTGATACCCCAAAGTTCTAAAGCGCCTCAAACTCCATTTTTAAACGGAATTTGCCGTTACATGTATATTTTTTCCTGACGTCCCAGAGTCAAATTTTTTTTAAAATAACAGTTGATGCTCACATTTTTATAATCTGTAACTTTCTTTTCAACACTACAGGTTATAAATGAATATCAGGATCCATAAACAGGCATCTTCAGTCCGTACGGTGGATACGATCAATGAAAAATTCTTAATCAAGCACAGAAATTTACAGATGTTATTGACACCTAGGTGACACTGTTTATGTTTAAACTGAGTAGCTATGTATATTCAATCGACCTTCGGAAGTACCGCATGACCACCACCACCCTTCCACATGGTCATGGATAAAAGAAAGAAATTACAAGTGTAATTCATACGTAATTTATACAAAACAAATTGATTATTCTTGTCCAATTTTTTTTTATGTAGATCAAGATGTCATTAGAAATTTAATTTTTTTGTTTAGAAAAACAAATCATTTCTGGACTTATAATCTACTAGTAATTAAAATATTAAAATTAGTAGATATTACGAATCCGCTATCACTTGTTAGGAAAGTTATATCAGATTCGAAACGTATAAATTTAATTAGATCGCAGAATCTCTTGCTAATTTAGCGTATGTAATATATTTTGCTCACGTCAGACAAGCTTTTAAGGAAGCTTATATTTGTATGATATGTTATTGCTGAAATGCAATGTGATGTATACACATATATAGCAGAATAAATAATAATAATAAATGAATATGATGAAATAAAAGTTTATAATCTATTCCTATATTGAATTATTAATTTATGGTATAATGAACATTGATGGGCAAGTGTATGTTATCGTCAACATTCTCAGTGACTAAGTTAGGTTGACGACCAATCATCATAGGGGAATAGATGTCAAACTTCAAAAGGCAAAGGACCGACGAACCCCAAAAAGGGCCATGTCAGTTCTTACTGGTATATTGTTATCAAAACATTGGGGTCTAAGGGTTTCAACACTGTGTCTTTGAAATTTCCTGCATACATCAGTCTGATTGGTCAAATTGAAATTAACCAATTACATAATTTTCAAAAATTGAAAAAGTATATAATGAGACAAATTATACTTCCAAAATCATTCACCAAAATGACTTCCTGCACTCTGTGTAAGAAGACGGTAAGGCCCCGCCAACACGCAATCCAGTGTGATGGCTGTGAGAGATGGACCCACAGAACCTGCAACACCGGTAAGTTTATTTATCCTTTTTTTTTCAGGATCGTTCATATCATCTTCGTGTAGGGATTACCTTGGCGGATTACAGGACAGCCGTTAAACACCAAACAGATTTGGCGTTCATATGTTGCCTATGTAAGGACAACGACGACCAGGCAGCCCACACCGACGACGACCAGCCAGCCCACACCGACAACGCCCAGCCAGCCCAAGACGACGACGACGACCAGCCAGCCCACACCGACGACGACCAGCCAGCCCACACCGACGACGACCAGCCAGCCCACACCGACGACGCCCAGCCAGCCAAAAACGATGACGACGACCAGCCTACCCAAGACGACGACGACCAGCCAGCCCACACCGACGACGCCCAGCCAGCCCAAGACGACGACGACGACCAGCCAGCCCACACCGACGACGACCAGCCGGCCAAAGAGGACGACGACGACCAGCCAGCCCACACCGACGACGACGACGACCAGCCAGCCCAAGACGACGACAACCAGCCAGCCCACACCGACGACGACCAGCCAGCCCAAGACGACGACGACCAGCCAGCCCACACCTACAACGCCCAGCCAGCCCAAGACGACGACGACGACCAGCCAGCCCACACCGACAACGCCCAGCCAGCCCAAGACGACGACGACGACCAGCCAGCCCACACCGACAACGCCCAGCCAGCCCAAGACGACGACGACCAGCCAGCCCACACCGACGACGACCAGCCAGCTCACAACGACAACGCCCAGCCAGCCCAAGACGACGACCAGCCAGCCCACACCGACAACGCCCAGCCAGCCCAAGACGACGACGACGACCAGCCAGCCCAAAACGACGACCAACCAGCCCGTGACATCAACACCACCTTCGACCATCCAGCCCGTGACATCAACACCACCTTCAACCATTCAGCTCAGAACACCACCAACTCCATCATCGATGATGATAACCAGTCGCGCTGTACTATCGGCCAGCCTGCCTTTGGAAGCACCAGAGTTGGAAATCAAAGTATACAGTAAGTCGTAATAATTTTTTTGAGTCAAATCTTAATTTAAGATATTCAATCCCTAATAGGATCAAATTCAATGAAATTAAATACATAATAGCAGATATGTAGGCATGGAATACTCAGATTATTTAGACATAATTCCCATTTATTAACATTAGTATGTATAGTGGATTGTGTCCTAAACTCCTAATTTATGACCTTGAACTTTGGTAAGAGTTATCTCCCCTTTTTTAATTAATAAATCAATTTTAAAAAATTAGCCGGTAAGAAATTTTTTCATTTGTCATTCAGCTTTAATGATTCAATGCATCTTTGCACCTCAGGATTTGTTGATATTCAAATTATTTGAATTTTTATTTTGAAAAAAAAAAGACTTCATCAATGTAATCATTGTTAATTAACTACTGCTTAATTAATGACATTTTTAACAATTTTCTCACGGACAATCCTTTTCTGTAATAAAATGCTTTAATATAATATCAGAGTATTATGTATTTGACAGACATTTAAGGGTAGAGAATTTGGTCCCATTAGGGACTGAAATCATTAAATAACTTCAATTGATTGATGAACGAAAATTCTCTCAAGATATATCATTTTCAGGTCATCAATGTCAGAGGGCCAATTCGGGCGGTTTACAGTTTCCATGGATTTGCACGTACCAGAGGCCCGGCTAGACGAAACGTACGTGTTACGGCACCACGAATTTTCTAGCGACTCTGAGGATGACTCTGGGGATGACAACGTGGACAGGTAGCCTTTTTTAATACATAAAATTTATGTAAATTATATATGTGTTAAGGTACATTGATACTCTGATAAGAGAGATAACTCTTGGTGACACAAATGTCTATTCCTTTATAAATTCAAGTTGAAGTGCCTTTTTTTTGCCAAATTTTGCCCCGCAAGCTATGCTGTAATTGTTTGTATTTTATTCAGCTTATACTTTTGCTGTGGAAAATCATGAAAGTTAAAGAATAATTTCATATGAGTGAGCAGAGGGTTTATGAACCTAAATTTAATAGAGAAAATGTGTCATTATATTGGTATCACCTAGCTCAGAAAATATTGTACAATTGTACTCTTTAAATTGCAGTGTTCCTGAGCAGCCGAGGAGGGTCTTGGATAACACAATATTGCGGAGGACACCACCGCCCTTTGTAGACCAGTCTTCCGAATCTTTTGGGCCTATCGACGACGTACTACAAGACGTGGAAGAGTATGATTTACATTTATCATATATTATTACACTACGTAAATTAGTAAAATTAATTTTTTTATCAATCTGTTATAGAGAAGAAATGCATCTCACATTTTAATTGAAGTTACTTGTATATCAACGCTCGATTTAAGCTTGTATAGAAGTACATGTATAAGCTGTTTTCAGATCGGTGGCAGCTGACGAACCCATGGAAGTGACTGTGGATCGACCCATTGAGTACCATGTGGAGGAGACTGGGTCAAACCAGGGAAAGCGGAAACTAACAGACAGCAGAGGATACTCCTACACAGTCAAGGTATAATCAATGTTCTCAAAAAGTTACAATATGTAATCACCTCTAAAATGCGGGCAATAAAATACTGTTTCACATGTAACTGAATGTTATATAATAGGGAATAGTCAAATACGGTATAAATTTTAAAATCTAAAATCCATTTAAGTGAATTATTGTTCATTACAAAAACTCTGTTTATTACAGCGAATGCGGAAGAACAACACAGTCGTCGATTGGTGCTGTAGCGTTAGATCCAAAGCTCTCCGATGTCCAGCCACAGTGGTGCAAACTGGTGACATCTTCAGGGACGGACCAAAAGACCATGTCCATCCATCCAAGCCAGGGTTAGCAACTGCAGTGAAGATAATGTCACAGGTGAGGAAGATTTTAATCATGAAAAGTAATATAAAGAATTGTTGCTCACATTTTTCTTAAATGTATTTGGTATGTCGGTAAAATCCCATAAGATTATTTATGTATTCATTGTACTTTGTTCTTCAGGTTAAAGCTCGTGCCAAAAAAGAAGTGTTCACTTCTGCTGCCACCATCGTGCAGGATGTCATGAGAGCCAATGTTGAGACTTCTGCACCCGACTTCAGTAGGCCTGACCTAGACAATCTAGTCCGCAGAGCCAACAGAACGCGGGAGAAGATGAGGCCAAAACACCCCGTTGACTTGGCTGATTTCGAGGTAACTTAGTATTTATCGCTTTAAGATGGCAATTTTTTTTTTACTAGTTTCATAAATATTTACTAGTATTTGTATTTTTTTCATTATTGCTGAAAAGAGTTGTGACATTAGGGTATGTCAAACTAAAAAAGAAATTGGAAAGACTTATCAAATTATCCTTTTTTTTTTTTTTAGATCAATCTCGATTTTCTTCCGGAAAACTTTTTCGTCGGCGAGGCACGCGTAGACGACCGGCGCCACTTCATCTTCGCCACCCAGGACGGTCTGCAGACTCTCTGTGGGGCCAAACGGTGGTACATGGACGGGACCTTCAAGATTGTCCGGGCCCCTTTCTACCAACTTCTGACTGTCCACGCCTTCATCACATCGGGCGACGTCATGAAGCAGCTCCCGCTTGCCTTTATTCTTATGTCTGGGAAGCGGAAAAGGGATTATAGCGGGGTATATATTTTTCTCTCCATTTGATTAATTCATGTTATTATAGTATATATCACATGTTTATGTTCATAAACATCGTATATATCACATATTTTCAGCAAATCAAAAAAAAAAAAAAATGTGTGAAATGTCATCATTAGCATGTCAATGAATTGCACTGATTTTTTAAAACTTATTTCAGGTCCTCTCTGTTCTTCTGGAACACCTGCCAAGGCAGCCCAAAGTAAACAGCGTTGTTGTTGACTTTGAGGCAGGCCTTTGGCAAGCCATTCGGGAGACCTTGCCAGACCTTGACATCCATGGTTGTGTCTTCCACTGGACACAGGCTGTCTGGCGGAAAGCGGCATCCATCGGGCTTTCGGCAGCTTACAGGCACGACGACGGGACGCACGAGTTGATAAGGATGTGTCTTGGTCTGCCCTTCCTTCCTTCGGCACACATCGGGCAAGCTTTCCAAAAGCTTCGGGAGCAAGCCTCAACCCCCCTGCTTGAGGTATTGTTACGATTTTTATTTTTCATTTAAAAATAGTAATAAATACTTAAATAGTAATAATAGTAAAAAAGTAATAAATGATTTAATTAAATTGCATATTAATAAGTATATCCTTTACAAACATTAGGAGCTGATGGTGTACTTGGAGGAGACCTGGATCAACAATCCCCTGTGGCCCACCCACTCATGGTCGGTCTTCAGGCAGTCCATACGCACCAACAATGACGTTGAGGGATGGCATCGGCGCCTCAACGACCAATCTCCAAATGGACAGCTGCCGTTCTATGTTCTGGTGCCACTTCTTCACCAAGAGGCTAACCTGCTACCCCTCCAGCGGAAATTGGTGTCCGAAGGAAAGCTGTGCCGTAGGCAGAGAAAGACCGGGCAACAGCAGCGAATCTTCCACCTCTGGGACCTGTACGAGGCCAGGGAAATTCGCTCCCTGCGGTTCCTAACCAAGTGTGGTAAGATTATAGGCCCCATTGACAAACAGACGTGACTGACCTTTTAAAGAGCCCTGGACATTGAGTATCAGATCTCTACGTCGCCCTGATGCGACATTGCGTGATGCATGGGGATCTGAAACTTTTCTGACTAGCTGACAGATGTTGTAAATACTTGTAAATACTAGTAGTAACTTAATATATTTATCCAACATACCTTTTATGTCTGAAATTAGTAAATGATTTACTTTTTTCATTTGTGTCACAATGCTCTGAAAGATTTTTAATTCGTATTGTTTCAGTAAAAAAAAAAATCATGCATTTTTTTTTTAGCAGATGGCATTCATTGTTCATTGAATTAACCATGCTTTTTCTTTCAGGAATTATTTTAATGTTTCCTTAAATCTGTCTTATTTGGAAAATACTCGCATTAAGCATTTATCCAACATGTCTTTAATTAGTATTTGAATTGCTTTTTCCAGTGCTTTGAAAAATATTTAATTCGTAATGTTTTGGTTAAATTTTAGCTTAATGCATTTCTTTGCCGATGACATTTATTGTTAATTGTTTTATAAACCATGTTTTTCTTTCAGGATTTTTCATTTTCTCTTTTTTTTTTCAATTTGTCTCATTTGGAAAAAAATTATCTTACCTCTGTAATATTATACTAGTAATTAATAACGGTTTGGGAAATTTATTATCATTTTTATTTGGAATAGTCCGTATAAAAACAAAAAATACTATTTATCTTTTTCAGTTTATTTGTTTCATTATACACTCTTTTTAATCATTATTTTTCTTATGTTTCATTATTTCATTTTTAGTCAAATAAAATTATTTGCATTGTGAAGTTTGTGCTTGTTAGAGATTCGCCTTTGGGTTTAAATTATTTCATTTTTTTTCTTCAAAATTATGGCTCTTATTGAGAAGGCCTCCACGTGGCAAGAGCTGGGCAACGGTATCTTTTTTTTTCTATTATTATAAATTCATTTTATGATACCGGCAAACATTCTCAGTTTTTTTTTTAAATAATAAATTTCCTTGTGCTACATTAAAATAAGAATCAAACAAAATATAAGAATCAAACAACACTCTTCTAGTTAGAACCGTTTTTGTGCATGTGTTTGGAAATTCAACGATCATTATTTATTTGGGTTTAAATTTTTTCTTCAAAATTATGGCTCTTATTGAGAAGGCCTCCACGTGGCAAGAGCTGGGCAACGGTATCTTTTTTAAAAATTATTATTATTATCAATTTATTTTATGATACCGGCAAACATTCTCAGTTTTAAAAAAAATATAATAATATATTTATCCGTATTAAAATAAGGATCAAACAAAATATAAGAATCAAACAAAATATAAGAATTTAAACAAAAAACTTTTAGTTAGAACCGTTTTTGTACATAGATTTTGGAGTTCAACAGTTATATTTACAAATGTATTTGAGTTTAAATTTTTTCTTCAAAATTATGGCTCTTTTTGAGAAGGCCTTCACGTAGCAAGAGCTGGGAAACGGTATCTGTATCATTTTTTTTTTTTGGGGGGGGGGAGGGGGGGTTATATTAAATGATACTGGCGAACATTCTCAATGTTTCCCATAAAATCATTCCATAATTTTTAAAACTACATGTATAAATTAATGGTAAATTAGGGAACGTTTTGCTCGAAATTAGGGGGCGCTTTGACCAAAATTTGGGGACAATTTGGAAACTTTGTTTTTAAAAAAAAAATATGTCAGGGGGCGCATTGACCAAAATCAGGGGGCGGTTTAGAAACTATGTTTTCCTATCAAAACATGTCAGGGGGCGCTTTGACCAAAATCAGGGGACGCTTCGACCAAAATCAGGGGGCGCTTTGATCAACTACGTTTTACACTCAAAATAAGACAGGGGGCGCGTTTACCAAAATCAGGGGGCGCATTGACCAAAATCAGGGGGCGGTTTAGAAACTATGTTTTCCTATCAAAACATGTCAGGGGGCGCTTTGACCAAAATCAGGGGACGCTTCGACCAAAATCAGGGGGCGCTTTGACCAAAATCAGGGGGCGCTTTAGAAACTACGTTTTCCTATCAAAATATGTCAGGGGGCGCTTTGACCAAAATCAGGGGGCGCATTGACCAAAATCAGGGGACGCTTTGACCAAAATCAGGGGGCGGTTTTGTAGTATCATATTTCTATAAAATATGTCAGGGGACGCTTTGACCAAAATCAGGGGACATTTTGACCAAAATCATGGTACGCTTTGACCAAAATCTGGGAACGCTTTGACCGGGGCGGTTTTCATGGGGAACGGTTTGACTGGATTACTACAGACGACTTTCGTTTTCATACTAAACTGGTTCCAGCATATAAACAAACTACCAGTTCATAACACGAACGTCTTTCCTTCATATCTTAACAGTGCTTTTACGACTGTCAAAGATTGCTGTTTTGTTACAGTAATGAATTTGAAGCAATCATAAATTGGGAATTTTTACCCTTAAATTTGGGGAAAAAAGTACCTTTTTCACTTTGGGAATGGGGCCGAATATCGGCCCCAATTATAGAGAATCGAGAGCCCTGAAACTGCCATGTGCTTCTTACCAGGATTGAGCAAATGGAGAAAAATATGTTGATTTAAAGGTAGCAAACCGGTTAATTTTACTGCCCATGTGACAGTAAGCTTATAGCTGTGAATAGTCCCTCTTGTCTGACACTGTATTGACTGAGATGTGGTAGTAGCTAGATCTTTATTTTGTGGGATGTACATGATACCGTATAGCGGGTTATTTTAGCGGGGTGCTAATTTTGGCTTATTTTAGCGTTTTGATGTTAGCCTGCTAAAAATTTAATCGCTATAAAATATTCAGTACTCTTCTTATTGTTCATTTGTAAAGAGTTGAAACACTGTCTCCGCTAAAATAAATTACGCCAAAATTATTGTATATCTTTGAGCTGGCAAAACGCTAAATTTTACACCTGCCAAGAAAACCCACTATACGGTAAATCCCAAAGGCATTACAGTACAATAGTACATATTTATCAATTACATGTAGAACAATTGGAACACAGTCTTAGTCAAAAGAGTACATACATATAATACAGTTGATAATTGATATAAAATTTTCTAGAGTGTTTATTGACAAAAATGTGCATTGTTTAACTTAAGCATGTGTTCCAAGAAAAACATGTTTCATCTGCAGTAGCATCATTAGCCTGATTAGGGATGTAATTTTAAATTCTAAAAGATGTCTGTTATTTTCATCTTCGCTAGACAAGGGTTTCTGATACGCTACTCTGATTATGAGGAGAGTAGCGTATCAGAAACCCTTGGCTAGCGAAGATGGTTCTTTTTGGCAATTTTATAGTTCTCACATTTGATAAGACTGCAGTGATAACAAAATGGCATTTTAAATGTGACAATCAAAAAGATACGAGTCAGTATCACATGCCTAGTAAATTAAACCACAAAAAACAGTACTTGTGCATACACATATTTTTTTGGGGGGTGGGGGTGGGATGGGGGTCATATTCTCTTAATTTTAACTTTTTGAATTTAAGGATAATCTAATTGACAAAAAAATATTATTTTCAAATTACGGATCAGGGGCATTTGAAATAGAAGTATACATAGAAACAAACCCAAACTGTATGAGACAATTATAGACCATGTACATGTGTGTAAGAAGTCCGTGCCCTCGGGCTGATATTGGTGTCTTGGGCTGATACAGGAGGTGGTATGGAAAAGGGTATGTGTTATTCTCTATATAATTATATATAAAGATAAACAGCATTGTCAGAACAGTTACATTGTATTGAAGCCCTTTATCTCAGAATTCTGAGTATATAGGTCTGGAGTACTTTTGAAAAGTCAGCAAGTGGAATGTAATTTAGGTAAATTTTAAAGTATTTTATGTCTAACAAATTATACTCATGCAAAAGTAGCATAAAATTCCTTTCATATGTCCAAAACTATGCTCTAATACATGTATTGACATTTGATGAACTAAAGTTATTTTGAAAAGTAAGGACAAGGAATACATGAAAAAAGTTCTCAAAGTAAGAAGTGTTACCAGGGAGTTATTTACATCAGACAGACAGACAGAGATATGCCAGCTGTAGTGGTCCCTGACTGTTTCTGTGCATCTCACACAAAATATACACTAGTGTGATTAAAATATATTATATTATTATATGATTGAATAATTTCCATCTCTCTGATTGGCTGAGATCCAACTATGTTAGAAAAATATTACGTTGTATTGACTTGCACGTTACGTTCCAGGTCAATACAAGGATTTATTTCCTCTACATTGATCTAAATATAGATTGGGGAATTCCAAATTGATACAAATTGTTTTAGAAAGCTATTTAAACGACTATGATTTTTATTTTCATGTGAACAAAACACAAGCGTATATATATTTTAGGTGAGGGTGGTAAGAGGGGATGCAGGGACCCGGCCCCCTTCCAACACTTTTACTGAACAAACATTTTTTTTTACTTTTTTGCAGTCAGTTTTTTCTGATAATACTCCTTCCTTTCAAAATCTATCCAATAAAAAGACTGACATTATATATTTCTTTCATGGCTACTAAAATTGATTTTAAAAAAATATTTCAAATTGATACGACTGGTAAGGTTTATTTAATTCTGCTACTCTCTTGTATTTGGCTAGGACTTAATAAAATGCAAACAAGTAATAAGCTGTATCATTTTATCAGTGAATCATATAATAAAACAATAATTGCTGTTTTTTCAGTCAATACAATCAGCAATAATTGTATAATATTACATGGAATTATTAAGTGTTGATGAAGTGATCTGCTTTGAATGGTGATAATAAACTAATAACTATAAGATATTATTTAAATGATATATATTAATTTAATTGAGTGTTGATTAAGTACTGCTTTGAATGGTGATAACTAATGAAATATGTTTAAATGATATTATATATTAATTAAGTGTTGATTAAGTACTGCTTTGAAGGGTGATAACAAATTAAGCTTTGTTTAAATGATATTATATTAATTAATAAATGTCGATGAAGTAATGCATTGAATGGTGACAACTAATTATGCTGTGTTTAAATAATATTACATTTGTATATTAATTAATAAATGTCGATGAAGTAATGCATTGAATGGTGATAACTAATTATAAGATGTGTCAGACAGATTGGAAATCTTAACCCAAGTGAAAAAAATCATCAAACAAATCACTTTAAGAAAACACTAATGAATCAGTGATTTGAAGATGATTTGTAAGTGATGCAAATTCCCATGCAAATGAGCTAACAAATCACTCTTAATAAATTGTAAGCAAATCAACCTGAAATCACAATGAAATCACTTTGAATAAATTGTGTAGAAATCACTTCTGTTGAACAAATCGCAAACAAATCACTCCGAAGAAATTGCAAACAAATCATTTAAAACAAATTACAAACAATTCACTTCAGTTTAACAAATCACTTTGAAATCACTCCAGGTGGATACACATGTGTGTGCATGATGCTCATGTAACCATCTCTCAAATATTTGAAACACATGCATATTTGTTGTATTAACAAAAAACTTTTGGCAAGAGTATAATTAAAATATAAACTTTTACTAGGATGTGTCCTCATTAAAATGGCATCATGTATTTTAGATATACACACATGCACTTGGCTCCAAATTCAGAACATATGATATAAGCATTAATTGTTAACTTTTAGTCATGTTGGTAAATGTTTTCTTATCTGAAATAAATATTTGTCTAGACACTTTGAAAAGCCAGTATTTTGCTGAAGCTTATAGCTTTACATAGATTTTGTTTTTAAAAATAATAATTGCCACTGACTTTGTTGTTGGTAGAAGAACAATAAATTGCATGTAAACATATGGAATATTAACTGAGTCTAAGGAGGAAATGATAGCATAATACAGTTATACATACCTTAAAACTGTATTCTGCATGGTTATGGAAAACAGTTTTAACAAAAGAAGAGAGGTATGAATCTAGAACAGCACAATCTAGCTCCTTTCATTTCAGTTCAAATCTGATCAATGAAAATTGGTGGTCGAGTTTCTAATACTGACCAATCAGCAAGCCAGGCGGAAGTTATGAAGGAAATCATTCTCAAATCACTCTGAAGAAGGACCACAAGTTCAACAAATCATTTACAAATTATCCAGAAGAAAGACTAAATTAACAAATCATCTTCAAATCACTTCAAAGAAAGACTAAGTTCAAGAAATCATTTTCAAATCACCTTGAAGAACGGTTAAGTTCAACAAATCATGAAGAAATCACTGTAGCAATTTCCTAAGTTTAACAAATCACTCAGAAATTGTCTGAAATATGGGAAAGAAATCACAAGCAAATCACCCTTTCATAACAAATTGTAAGCAAATCATAGTCATCATTTTGGTAGAATTTGATTTAAGCATGATTTGTTAGATGAATTGCTTACAAATCACTGAAATAAATCACTTTTAAGTGATTTTAGAGCAATTTGTAGACAATTTGTAAGTGATTTGTTTGAAAAATTATTCACTTGGGAATTGATTTCAAATTATTTAGTGGACTTATATGAATTTTTTTTTTAGCTCAACTGAGACCAAGCCTCAGGTGAGCTTTTTCCGATCAAAAAGTGCATGTCTGGCATCCATCCATCATTTAAAAACAGCAAAACCATGATTGCATGTAGTAATATTGATGAAGAAGCATCCTGAGGTAGTATAAATAAAAGTCCCCCCTTAAAACTTTTCAATACTAGTACTGAACTGATGTTTGCTTCTTCCTAGCCAGTGTGCTCAGGTGAGCGATGAGGCCCATGGGGCTCTTGTTTGAAAACATTGAGCAAGTAAATGCAGGAAAATTTAAGAATGAGTGCACTTTAGTGCGTAATTTGAAACCTTTTCGGCTACCCATTTTAATCTTTACATTACAATATATCACTAAATTAATATATGATTATTGCACAAGCATATGCTTTTGATATTTATGCCTTGTCTAATGAATTTTTTGTCATACATATTCCTATAATACCCCGGTAACAGACAATGTCATTGGAAAGAACATGTATAAGCCTCAAATTCCGGAAATTTGAACGGGACCACTTTCGAATTTAAGGTATCCGCAAATAGGCAGACACCCTATATTTACTAATCAATGACCAGAATTCTTTCAAACACCCCTAATGAAAAATACAAAGTAAAATTATTGACATATAATCTTCAAACCCTATTAAAAATTTATGCAAAAATCTTCCATAATTTGATGTTGGAAGTACGATAGATATTGTCACATTAGAAACTTCCAATGACATAAACAATGAAATATGTTCAATGAAAGCGTTTAGTGTATCGAACCGTTGAATGTCACGTGAGTAAAGTGATTGAAATATCAATTGATGACACTCAGGGACCTGTTAATTTATGGTAGTGGCTAAATCGGCCGTAGTTTGGAGACTTTTTCAAAAAATTAGATATGAGCCACAATTTGTCCATTGGACATGTTTAAGTTTAAATGAAAATACCGTACACTTTCTGTGCAAATGAGACCAATGGACAAGTGGCAGCTCAATGTAAATGTTGCTGAAGACTGGTGTGCATACAAATAATAATAGAAATGTGACAAAACTGTTAGACCCCCATCTCAAATGTTAGTGTCGCTCTATCAGCATTATTTAATACTTTCATGTAATACATATAGGATATCTCACATAATTTGTTGTTGGATATGATTTTTTTTCCAACAAGTTGTGTGTTTTATATCCCCGAGCCTTGGTGAGGGGATAAAAACACACAAGTTTCATAAAAATCATATCCAACTACAAATCATTTTTTATATCCCATGTTTTACATTTTGTTTTATACACCACAATCAATGTTTTACAGTGTTATTTTATAGAACTCTACTAATTCATTCTACTTCATAATTATGCTAAAACAAAACCCATTGTGACGTCACAACTGTGGGATACGAAAACAATATCACATGAGCTATATCCACAGGATAAAGGGGTAAACATGGGATAAACCTGCTCTTAAGACATTGTTTTTTAAATACCTATAAAACATAAAGTTAATGAACTTTGGAATAGGGATAGCTTTAGTAAGTGCACTATAGCCTCATTCTTTTGAATGAACTTCAAATGTTCAAATAATTGATATATACCCACGTAAGGAGTATGTAAATTATTGGTAGTTTTACATTTAGAGACAGAGATTAGAATACCCCTTATTAGTCTAATCCATCTCATTTGTCACACAATATTTATTTCCTGCTATTTATAATCTCTCTATCATACAACTGACATTTTAAAAAACATTTTATTCCTCTGTCTGTCCTTATTTATTAAGACTTGTATATCTCCAAATAGTTATGTACAGCAAAACCCAACATGTGCTAATTATCTGAAAGCAAAGTATTGCTATCAAGGAGTAAAATAATGATTTTCTAACATTTTTTCAACATACATGTACTTCTTAACATATGCACATACTATTTTTTTAAAATTTTTTTTATTTTTAAAATCACCTGTATAATTGATATCAATATATCAAAAATTTCTCCATTCCACCATCCATGGACAAATATTTAATCCGTTTTTATCGTTTTATTCCATTTCAAAATGTCTCATATCACAAAACATATATCACAGTCCTCAGATAGTAATTTTCCCATCATGCATTAATTACTGTTTATTTCTTCTTTTTCTTGCCCCCCTTTTTCTTGCCCTTTTTGCCCTTGCCCCCTTTGCCCCCCTTTCCTCCCCCTCCATCGTCCTCATCGGCCTGGGCAGCCTTGGCCCGCTTCTTGCCCAGTGGTGTCTTGGCATACCATCCCTACGAAAAAGAAAGGTTTCTAAATATTACAACAGGAAACTTAATTTCTACAGTCAGTTAAAAAATTACCACATTTGAATCATTCACATGCATGTGAAATTAGACGAAATGTAATTCAAAGGTCTGGATTACTTTGAAATCACTTAAATATCTTCATGTGAGTTACATGTTCATTATTTTCAAGGTATTTAAAGGACTCATTGCATGTTACTAAATTATTTGAAAAAACATATCACATTATGAGATCAAAATGGTAAAATAAGGACACAAGACCTAGCTGACTTATCAGGTAATTAAGAACCCTCTCTACACTGCACACTAAAGAGTTCTGATTCTATGGTATTTTTTAGCAATTAGAGTGATCTGCCCTAAGATCTAAATTCTAAAAAATAGAAATTCATAGTACATTACACAATTTGTAATCAATTCAAGTATTCTTAGCATCTTAAAAGGCCAAGATAAATTAACTGAACATGTTATTTACATATATTTTCTCTACTGAAGTAATTAACAGTGATTTCTATTTACTGATATTGTGCTCTGTTTGATTATTTTTCCTGGGGGTAAATGCCACGTACCATATGGTGAAAATTAATTAAAGAAGCTTAATATTTAAACACCTTTATAGAATATATTTTTCTCAATGTCCAAAAAATGTTTTGCACTGGTGTAGAGAGGGTCCTTAACCTGACCTGACAGGTCATTATTGAATTTTGAAACCTTCTAACCAGCCAATCAAGCTAAAGTAATCTTAATAGATGTATAATAGCCCACCTTAAATGCTTCTTCCTCCTCCTTGTAAATAGGGTCAATTCGAGCAAGAGGAGCGATAAATTCCACGGACTGTAGAGGTTTCTTGGACAAGGTTTGGATCCTCCTCTCTGTTAGGACTTGGGTGATGGCCGTTAGCATGTGACCCGGTGTGTAGCCGTCCGTGACTTTGGACAGGGAGCTCACATCCAGCAGGTTGGTGATGACGCCATTGTTCTTTAAGATCAGTCTCCTCCACAGTACTATCAAAAATTTATTTACAACATAAATAAGAAAAAGAAATTTGTGTCAGAGTATGGAGAACAGGTTTATTCTGCAAAACAGAAATATTTAATAAGGTTGATTTTTTGTTTCACTGAATATCATTTATCAATTTGTAAAAATGTAAATGTGACTCAGGAAGGCATATGTTTTATAAGGGGAAGGAAAGGATTGCAAGCATATGTACCGTATATTAAAAAGTATCCTATCTTTATTTATCTTGTCCATTACATTATATCATTGTCCATTTTCAGGTATTGTCTTAATTGTTATTAATCAATTCTTACAGTGTCTGGAGGCGTAGTCTGGTCGTGGAATGAGGATAATTCTCTGGTAAAGACTAGTTAATGGCTTCATCTCCCCGTCAAACGGACACCGAGAGGTCCCCACCAACAGCAGACGATCATCCGACTTCACACCTTTCATGGCCTTCGGCAGCTCTTTCTTAAGTCTTTTTGGATCAGTCTGTAAGAAGTAGGAATGAGAGGGTGTTGAATTCACTTGTACACAGGTAACAATTCAAACATAAAGAATGTTATATATGTATCAACTTTTTAAACAACTGCATGAAGTTTACAGTATCTAAAAAATTAATAAAGATTAACATTTCACAGCCAAATAAATTAAATTGATGCACAAGTATTTAGCTGCATTGATACAAATATGGGGAATTAAATTAAAATTTTTATAGCTGTATTGAGAGGAGTTATTGTGTCAACAATAAATGATTGTACATGTATGTTTAAATTATCTTTTTAAATATTAAAAAAAATAATTAATCATATATCGTTTCATGCTCATCCTTCAAACTGGTATTAAAATATTCACTTACTGGGTCAGTTTTGGGAATTTTCTTTTTAAACATTCTTTCACAGTCTCCTATATAAATAACAGAGGGTTGTAATTCTCTGCCCACCTAAAATCAAAGGATACACATTAAAACAAGCAAGTCAGAACCTTCAACAGCTTAAGTTTGTATTCTGTATTTCTATATGATGTTAAATACTCCTTGTGGTTGTCATTTCAAAATAACAAATTCTGTTCCTCAGAAGAAATTTATTTAACTGCATGAACATGATGAACTTGAATCAAAGCACCACAAAATTCTTCAATTACAATACTAGTAAACTGTGCAATCAGAAATTTTTTGTGAGGTTAATTTTTGTTGATTTCGAGGTATGAAGAGACCCACAAATTCATGTCCACCACGAAATGTAAAAATGTTACAAACATAACTAACTTGACAATTCTTCATCCAGGAAATCAAGTACATATGATTGTAAAACTCATAATGAAAAATGAAATGTATTTAGGTAACATCCAATAAATCTGTAACCCTGTAATTCAGCTAGAAAAAAATTGGCTTTAACCTTCTGTTATGTTTTGTGTGCTATCATTTGACAATTAATGATTTTGGACAGTGATCCATTTAAAGAAAAATTTAAATAATCAATCTAAGTACAATTGCACCTCAACAATATTTTCTCTTTAATTCAATAAATTTATAATACCTTGAATACAAGGTGAATGAGCATTTTAAGGCCATCTTTTCCAGGATATTTTCCCGCTATATTGGCAGCTGTCAAGTCAAACATGTTGGCTCCGACCTCGTTACAGATAGCCTGGACTAGCATCTTCTTCCCTGTACCCCTCGGGCCAGCAAGGAGGACAGACTTTGTTAGTGGGGCCTGTTCATGAACAGCTTGGGACCCTGGGAGAAAAAAACGAAATGTTACAGCAAATAATTTAGATGTATATACAGAACATTCTTGAAGGTATGAAAAATGATGGTGACTGACTGTTGAAATAACAATTTGTAAAGGAAACATTGAAGTTACAAAAATATTTCAAGGGGTTGTAAATCTTCAGTAATAATTCCTACATCATTGTGTGCAGAATAGGTGTTTGCATAATGGTACTGTTAATAAGTGTAACAATTAACTAGATTTAATCCCTTAAGATGCCCCTATGGTGTAAGTGTAAATATTGTTCTTTATATCCTGTATGTTTTCTTGTTCGAGTCTACACATTTACAGTATGGTTGTTTTATTATATTTTTCCCAAGGGTCCTATTTCCTGGGGGCTTTCGTCCCGTTTCACAATTAACAGGTCTTGGGCGGGGTACTACAGCTAATTACAATGACAATCATAGCCAGTCATGCAGGGTGAGAGGGAGAGGCTTGCAATGGTTTTGCAGTTACAACCGCAAGTGTGAGAAAGAGTACGACAGCCCTAGGTGATAGATGATACATATAGAAAAAGAGCTTTAAAATCTTCATCTAAAAAAAAACACTGTACCAGAAAAACTGAATATTATGTGGAGGCCTTCTGGGGTAGGTATATAAATCTATATCTAAATTGTTCAAATCATGACCCCCGGGGCTAGTGTGGGACCTCAAATAGGGAAATCAATTTTTCCATTGAAATATAAGGAAAAATCTTTAAAAATCTTCTTCTCAAGAATTGAACCATCTGGGAACAAAAGCTGAAACTTATGTGGAAGCATCCTGGGGTAGTGTTACTAAGATTTTAAAATTTCCAAATCATATGTCTTAAGGTGGGGTTGGACCACACGAGGTATATACAAGGAGGAATCAGGTGAAAAACAACAGGGTCAAAATTGCTCAGGTGAGCTTTGTGGCTCATGGGCCTCTCATTTTCATTTTCTCTGAAAAAATACGAAGAATTCTTAGAAAGTAAGTACGAACTCTAATAATATTGGTCTTTCAATACTGAAACACATTTTAAAAGGGATGTCTAAGACTTAGAGATCTTATAAATAAAGTTCTGCTGTGGAATTCCTCTAAATTTGACTTGAAGTTTTGGCAATTTTTTTATCAAATTGAAAATTTATCACGTTTTAACAAATTAATCAACCATTAAGCTCTGTATATCAGTCTTTTGTTTATATTCTTCATTCATGGTGCTTTTAAATACATTCAAGCTTTAATTGATTTGTTAAATTAAACAACCAAATTAATCAACCATTAAGCTCTGTATATCAGTCTTTTGTTTATATTCTTCATTCATGGTGCTTTTAAATACATTCAAGCTTTAATTGATTTGTTAAATTAAAAATGTTTAAAGTTCCTGCCTCAAGTTCATTCTAAAGAAAAATGTACACCTATAAATACGCTATGCAAATTTCCATTATGGACTTATTGAACACCAAGTTATTTTGTTCAAAGTCTAACATTGAAAAAATATATGTTAAAATATATTGTCTCGGTCTGTGTTTAATTGTTAACAAATATCATTGATCATTATTTTTATCACATTTTCAGCATACCTAGTTAATGAAATATTTCCATCTTAATTATGTCTTTATTGCAAAAGATAAAGTCATGATATGTCTGTTGATTTAAAATCCAAAATGGCAATCCATATTTTTTGGAACAACGGAACAAGACACCGCGAATTGAAACTGTACATTGCGCACGCGCGTTAAAAGACGTACTTTCCGGCAGATATTGTCTTTCCACGTGGTACCGGTATATTGATTGAGTTCAGAACTGAATCTGCAATTTTGATCAATACAAAGGTAAATCAAAAGTGATTTGATTTTGCATAATTTATAAATAAAGATTCCTGATCATTTTACTCCCCTTGTTGATATATATTTAACAGTTAACTACATTCTACAGTCATACTATGGAATCATTTTAAATCATGGGGAACAATATTTGTTAGCAAGACAAATTTTGTTGTTTCATTGTGAAGTAATTTGGTGGGTAGCATATATATACAGAAGATTCAATGAATAAATAACTGTTTTTGGGGATATAAATTTTGGATAAGGTGACCAACAAAATCGGGCATGAATACTCATCTTCCATGAAGAACATTGTTGATTCTACAGTATGCATCAATAATGACTTGGACAATGTTTCTCTCTCATTTTGCCTGTACATTGAGTTTTAAATATTGTTGATTTAATAGTCAGAGTAATTTGAGCTCAAACTAAAAAAAAAAACAAACACATACAAATTTAAAAGTGAAGCCAAATTAATTTTTAACTCTTTGATATATTTTCTGTGCAGCATGACAGACACATATATAATACATGCATGAGGAAGAATCATTTCCAAGGCCGTAACTAGGCTCTAATTTTTAGTGAGGCAAGGATGATGGGCATTCCTAGTCCCAGACGGTACAAGGGTTGTATCTTATGACCAGTGATGCATGGGGGTTTCCAGGGGGAAGGAGGGTCCTGAAACCTGGATACTAGAAAATAAAAGATTTAATTTTTTTTAATTACATTTTGAATTGTCGCCCGCATGGCAAAATGGTTAGAGTGTTTGCTCTCAAGTCGCAGACTATGGAGTTGATCCTTACGTCGCAGGTTCGAATCCCACTGTGGGATGTACAAACTGGTCCTTCGGATGAGACCGTATAAACAGAGGTTCTATGTAGGTGATGGCACGAAAAGTTTCTCACTGTTTAATCATCTTCATTGACCCTGTAAGTCCAGTACAAATTTAAATATTGCATGATACCGACAAACAATATGGTATCTCATTACGTTTTGTAAATCGGATGTTAAAATGCTTTACAAAACATGTTGAATTTTATCATTAAATATAAGAACAAATGTAAAAAGGTTTGTTATGAATCCACAGAAATTGATGACAGGAACTGTTTTATGGGTGTATTTCAAAGCAGAAATTTTTCATAATAAAACCAAAAATTTGATTTTTTTTTCTTTTGCTTGATTTCCCTTGTTTTTTCATAGTTAGGTACATTCTGTATGTAAATTAAAGTTAATATAATAAGAAAATGCCATTTTAATAACGTATTGGAATTTAATTCACCTCGGATTTCTAGCGTAATTAAAAATATTGCAATACATATCGCAATACAGTTAAAAATATCGCAATATATCACAATACGAATTCTTTGGCCAATACCCAGCCCTTACCCCATATATACAAGCATTATGTGAAATTTGATGTCTGCATGATCTAATCCCATCTCTTTCAAGGTTAACAGTAATTAAGTGTACATTAAATATTTTGCAATCTGCACTGCTGCTTACATATGTCAATAAAACTCAATTGAATTAATGAAATGTATTTATAGGTAATATCCGACAAATTTGTTACACTGTAATAAAGTGAGAAAAACATTGGCTTTAACCTTCCGTAAGTATGTTTTGTGTGATATCATTTGACAATTTATGATTTTGGACACTGATCCATTTAAAGAAAAATTAGAAAATCAATCCAAGTACAACTCTAGCTCAACAAAATTTTCTCTTTAAATCAATAAATTAAATACCTTGAATACAAGGTGAATGAGCATTTTAAGGCCATCTTTTCCAGGATAATCAAATCCCGAATATTGGCAGCTGTCAAGTCAAAATGTTGGCTCCGATTCTCTTTAATGTATCCTGGACTAGAATCTTCTAAAATGTTACCCCAGGGCCGGTTATAGGAGGACAGACTTTGTTAGTGGGGCCTGTTCATGAACTGCTTGGGACCCTGGGAAAAAATGTTATGTTACAGAAAATAATTCAGATGTACAGTATGTCATCATTGCAGGAATGAAACCTAATAAAGACAAACTCATAAAATTAAAATTTGTAACTTTAGGAAATATTTAATTTTAACCAAAAATTCAACAGGATATCGAAATTATTTTTGAGTCAAAACATCTGACTGTTATGCCCACGAAAACACCCTTGTCTGTATGAAACCAGAAATATGTGTCACATTGAAAAAAAATAGAAAGTCATAAAAATTTGAAATATGTGCACCAGGCTTTGTAAAAATGACTGCACCTTAAATTTTATCTTGTTTATATGTTTAAATGTTACTGCAAAGATATTTAAAATGGCAAAGTCTATGCTTTGCTACGAAAATCCTTAATATCTTGGAGAACCGTGATGATAATATCTAAAAAGTTGATAAAGAAAAAAAAAGTAGTATATAGTATACTTCTATACAGGCTTTATTGTATTTTTTTTAGCAGACAGATAGGATCTCTACAAAAAGTCACATAAACATAATGGTATTTCCATTTTTATTTTTTTGGAAAAAGCATTAAATTTTTTGCATATGTGGGGACCCATTTTTAATATTCCAAAAAATAAAACTGTCACGGAATCTATGCTGACATGTGCACTAAAGGGCATGGGCTCATTTTCATTTTTTTTTTGTTTGATATCGCAAAAACTAAATTGTGCTAAATAAAAACTGTACAAATCTTTTTCCGCAAAATTTGCAAAATGTGAAAAAAAACAATGGATATATACATGTATTATGCTACTGTTAACATCACATTGTTTTAATACCTACCTGTAAATATTAGAGCATTAACAAATATCTTAAGAAATCTTAAGGAATACGTTAAAGCATTTTGGTAAAGTGTTTGTGATAAGTTACTGATACTATATGTGTACATAATTTGACGTATTCAAAATTTAGCGCAATCCTAAATATGGAATTTTTGTTGTAATCATGAATTAGCGCTACACATGTCTGTATTGCGTATCTTATATATTAATGATTTCTCTGTGGTATTCATGAATTAGCGCATTGTTGTTTGCGCCAAAGCTGCTAAGGCAAACATAAAACCCGCTTTTTTAAGTACATATACAGTAACTCTCAGAAAAGCAGTAAATATCAGAAGCAGTAAATAACAGAATCCGATGAGCCCACAAAAAGACTTTATGCAAGCAAAATCAGACTTAATTGTATGCTTAAAAGTAATTTGTCTTACCTGTCTGGAGTCAAATCCTTTTCCTTCTTCTTCTTTTTTCCTTTCTTTCCACTCTTCTTTCCCTTCTTCTTCTTCTTTTTCCCAGATTTCTTTCCTTTTCCTTTCTTTCCCTTGTCTCTATCCACAGCCTAAAATCCAAACACAAATCACCAGTGTAAAAAGAAAATTGCATCTTCCTCACTAAGAACTAAGAGGACAACTGCTTTGAAGTTCATTAGAAATGAATAATATTCTTACAGCTTTCAGATTTTTCAGCTCGGCCCTCATCAGTTCATCCACCTGTATGCGGATTTCTTCTTCCACCTCTTTCCGTTTTTCTTCCTTGATGAGTTCAGCATCGTGTTTCTGAGAAAAGTTATCCTTTTCATCCCGAGTCATCCACACAGATTTGAATTTTTCTGTTCCCTCGTTGATAGATGGAACAAAGCTAGACTCTGCCATCTTCCAGCCCTCTTCCTCTTCCTGAAACATAGATTTATAATTTATTCAGTGTTCATAAACTAGTTGGCTGTATTGTAACATGACCAAAATATTAGTAATTCATGAAAAAAAGAAGCTTGGGTTACTCTAGATGTCAAAACTTTGAAGGATTTGATTTTTTTTTGTGCCATTTTGTGGCAAAAAGACTAAGTAAAACTAAATTTTACCACTGATTTACAGAGCAAATAAACAGCATATTCCAAATGGATCAAACCAGATTCTCCTTCATAACAAATGCAAGAGCTAAATAAATTCAAAACTGATACAACAAATGACTCTTTCCTTTCAAATGCATATAAATGTATGGTATTTATGCTGCCTTATTTTAAATGTAGTCAGAGCAAAGATTCAACCCCTTGAAAGTCACTTTACATGTACTAGGTACATTATAAATACTAACAAGGAAGCTAGGACTATAAAGACACATAGCAGTATACCTCTGTGACAGTTATGTGGTACTTTAAACAACAAATCTGGTCATTTATTCCAAAATTAAAAATACCTCATCATCTCCTCCTTTTTTCTTTCCTTTTTTATCTTTCTTTCCTTTTTTGTCCTTTTTCTTGTCCTTTTTGTCCTTCTTTCCTTTTTTGTCTTTCTTTCCTTTCTTGTCACCATCCTGTAATTAACGGAGATCTATAGCTAACGATTCATGTTTCTAGGAGTACAGTCATGCAGAGTTTAATTTTTTACACTGAAATTTTTACATGCATTTACATGCTGCATGTTGATTATGCTCATTGGTTCAATATGATTTTTTTTCAAAATCATGTCCCTTTTTATTCACTCACCAAGGCTCTGTGAGAAAAAAAACATAAGTGGAATAAAAAATCACATCCAACCACAGACCCTAGGAGATCCAATAATTATTCCTATTATCTAGGACTCTGATCCCGATTTGACTGACCTTGTCATTCTAGAACTCCTGATTTGACTGACCTTGTCATTCTAGAACTCTGATCCTGATTTGACTGACCTTGTCATTCAGTTCAGCCTCCAGCTCCTCTGGACTTTTTTCTTTGAAGATCAGAGCAGATCCTCCATCATCCTCATCTGGATATTCAGGAAACTTCCCCTGGGCATCTCTGTAAGTGACAGGGAATGTAACTATACTAGTGCATATTGTCATGTCTGATTTTATCACATCTGCATTGATTCCAAGATACATTTGACATTAGTCTATGTCCGACCCTACTCATGTGTTGATAAATGTACTGATGTTATTTTATTTTATGATTTGGAACTCAGATGGGTAAATAGCGAGATGTTGAAAACTTTAAAGGATTTCTCTCAGACTGATGATAATTGTTTTTATTATACCTCTACTGTTATAACTCTATATAAAATTAATACCATAAAACTCTATTTCCCTGAGAAGAGACTACTTCCCTCATCTGAGGACTACTCCCTGAAAAATCAGAGCTACTCCCTGGGACTACTCCCTCATGAATATTTATTAGTAATTTTAACCAATCAAAGTGTTCAGTGCGCGGAGCGTTCAAGGAATCTCGAGCCTGTGACGTCATGTTATTAGCACTGTAACTATGACGTCAAAACCTTTCGACATGTGATGTCAAAATCATACTTGAATTCTATAGGTGAAATGAAGACAATGACGATTCTTCGAAATATCAGTGAAATACTTTTAAGAAATAATTTCATTGTTCTCGGATACATTTTTATGCATTAGTTTTCAAACAATCTTTTAAGCCGTATGCATTTGTGATTATGCCTCTACAGTGTTTTTTTTTAAATGTCGGAATATCTGGTAAAAAAAATTAAAGATTTCACCTATGATTGTTTCGGTATAATAAAATGGAATGGGAACTCTGGAAATAGCAACTTTATGGTTCCCCTCGGCAGGAAACTATTTCCCTCCCTCGGGAAATAGTTTCCTCCCTCGGGGAACCATAAAGTTGCTATTTCCCTCGAACCCATTCCATAACTGTATAATATTTCTAACTGCATTCAATAAACCAATGCCCATGTAATGGTTCATGGGTAAGATTAATTTAGCTTTCAATATTCATCTGCTCAAAGATCATTGACAATCACCTGCACTCAGTGAACCCTTGCCCGATATCACCTTCATCCTGATTATTGTATTTGGTGAACCGCATTTGATTTGGTTCATGGTTAAGCTTTAATATAGTCTTGTAAATTCTATGTTTCCTTAATGACCCACCTGCACTCAATGAACCACTGTCTGATCTGGTCCATCATGGTCTCTTTGATATCTGGACCCTCTGTTTCTTTGATCTTCTCCTTGATGGTTCCCAGGGCTTGCTGGTATTCATTTTCATGGTTAGATTGGGTGATCCTTCGTGTGGCCTCAGTTTTCAGAGCCAAGGCCTGGGGAGTGTTCTTTATACTTGTGGGTAAAGGTGGGGGTGCCTATGAAAATAATCATGCAAGTATTACATTTAAAAATTTGCAACAAGAGGCACTAATCAGTGCCTCTATCAATTTTTTATCGCCTTTTATGAAAGTGTCATTCGAAATTTGACATGAAACATCTTGATATATATGTACATTTGTTGGCCTATTCTAGAAAAACTATGATTCAAACACAATAAATATAAATTTACATAACTTTTCATTCCCATTTGAAATGCACAGGCTATGACAATTAACTTTCAGTTAGTTTAAAGGTAAATTCATCCTCAGGCACTCACTGGTCAATACATTATCTCCAAATGTACACCCTCAATATGTTTCTACTTTAAAAAAGAATATTTTTAATTACCATGCCGATAAATATCATTTCTTCATCCCTTTCTTTTTTGGTTCTTCTCCTTTGTGCAAAACCTTTCCACACCTAAGAAAAGAAAGTTTTACATCTTTCAACAGACTAAATTATCATATTGTTATAGAGTTAAACAGTGTTTATCAAGAAATTCAGTTATCTTCATATTTACAGCTGAAATTTTCTCTTTTTTTACCAGTGTACAATGATTTTGTTCAGATCGACAATTACATGTTTATATTAGTGATGTTTTATTACTTACTTGAAGAAATTATTTGGAATTCAAGCAACAATCATTTATAATTAAAGTACAGAGTGTCTGATACTAGATAATGTCTAGCGTACCTTCTGAATTCGACTAGCGGCTACGTCAGGGTCGAGTGTAGGGGCACCCTGTGTTTGAGCCTTCCTGTCTCGTTCCTCTTGTTCTCGAATCTCCTTCATAAATTTGGCCCTGAGTCTTCCCTGGCGAGCTCGCTCGTGGACTTGAATCAGCTTAATGGCATCTTCCAGGGACATTTTAAGCTCCTCTTTTTGCTGCAGCAAAAAATAAATGAAAATTGAATTTTGCCTCTTCTTGAAATTCATTTTTTTTTTCTATAGGAAAAAACTTAAAAGGGATCATCATCAAACGAAAGCATTATATCTTTATAAAATGGTAAGAGATTAATTACACCTGTACCATTTAATGGAAAAGTGGTCTATACATAGAATTTTTGCATTCTTATAGTGTATTAACCATTGCCAATAAATTACAAAGATAAGAGGCCCATGGACCATAATACTCACCTAACATCATCCATACAACTTTAAAAAAAAATTGGTCATACTTTGAAGGAAATTTAAATCAATCTACCTTATTAATTAATTGGAAGCTTTCACTTAAGTTTTGTCTTTTCTGGCTTATTGTTTCTTGAGAAGAAGATTGGCACCAAATTTAAATACTTTTTAATCATTTCCCTTGAAGAGAATGTAGCCCTAACTCCTGTGAACTAATTTAAATTCCCCTCAACCAAAAAAACTCTCTGCCCTGGCTAGTTTGATTGGAGAAGAAGTTAGAAAATGTCATTTTGAAAACTTTACAGACTTAATTCACGTGACAGACAGATGGACATCAATTTGATCAGAAATTTCTTTTTAATACAACAATGTACCTCTGAATATAAAATAGAAAGCAAATTCAATTATACAAAAAAAAAGTTTATAGTTTATTGGGATTAGATTGTTTCAGAATTTCAAATGTCATTTCACTCTCATTCTTGGCATGCAGTTAGATCATTCTATGTAATTTATGACAATCCTACAAGTATATCATTCATTTAAAACTGCTATCTTAGGCTTGATCTATAGCAATTTAGTTATAGTCACTGACTTTATATGTTCATGAATAAAGCACACTACAGTAGCAATTAATATAATGTACAAACAAGCTAAATGCAGTTTACATGTAATACTTGCCCCAATAAATGTAATATATTCAGATATAGTTTATGTCTTTTAAAATATTAAACACATTATGCTTAATATGTATAAGCATCACTGAAGTTTCAGTGAGTTCAATAATATTTAACAAGAGACTAAAAGTTAACAAAGAAAGTTTCCTTAAAATGCTGTGAGCTTATTATACGTGTCAAGCAGAGATCTGTTACAAACTCTTGCTGAATTCTATTAAAATTAAAGATCTTAGCAGATAAGCTTGATAAACACAGTCTTTGATTACATATTGTATGCATTAACACTTACAAATGCTAAACGCTGGAGTAAGAAACATAATTCAAAATGAAGTTACTGTGAATCAAGCAATGCAAACTTCATTTCATGTACATGTATCTCATAAATGCAGTCATTCAATTGTATCTTTCATGTAACTTTATGAAGGTAGCAATTGTTTTAATAAAGAACTATAAATAATATATTTGCACAATATATTGTGGAAAAATCTATAAATGCAATATATTTTCCTATAAGTGCATGGTAAATGAATTGTCTTCTTCATAGCTTGTGTTAATACATATACATGTAAGGTATATTGCTTGGATATATTAAGGGAAATATCAGTGAAATTAAGCTTTTCAACTGAACAATAAGCTGGTGTATAGAGAATCAAAAAAAAAAAAAAACATTCACAATTTTTATAACAATTAAATTGACACTATTGTTCATATGATACAATAGGAGTCATAAATTATGAATACAGTTTAAAATGCATATACTTACATCTTCTTTTTCTTGGGGCCCAATCTTGGCCAGAATTTTACCCAACAATTTTTCTCTTTCTTTTAAGACGTCATATCTCTCATTAATAAAGAATTTAGGAATAGGGATCTCTACATCATTCTAAAACAAACAATGCAAATACCACATAACATTAGAATTACAGTATAACACTACTAGCAAGAAAGATGATCTATATTTCAAATTATATGCCAAGATTAATTTCATATGTTTTTGTAACATTAATTATTATACAGTTGTTGATTATTATTAAAAAGTGATTTATCTAAAACAAGATTAAAAATATAATTTTACAAATAACCTTATTTAAAAAATAAGCAATTATTTTTTTATGAACTCATCTAGAAATTTATCATGAACACTATAATCTCCAAAGCCTTAACCTTTTTAAATTAAAACAAAAAATACAGATGAATTTACCGGAGTCAATTTCAAGTCAGACAAAACATCATCAAAATAGTGATATTCTGAGAACTCAAGGTTGACCATTTCATGCTTCAGTTCTAATATTCTTCCCATGGTTCCATCCAAGACGTGACGTAATACTCGCCTCTTCTGGGGGTGAACAATCTGGTCGTAACACTGCTCCAGCTTCCTAAAGATTTGGATGTATTTTATATACATCGTAGCCAGCAACTGGAATGCAGCCAACCGATCCTGCATGCACAAAGAATACATTAGAAAATCATATATTTTAACTTAATGAATAACTTAAAGAAATATAAAAATGTGTATGATTTTGTTTCATCATTTAATTTATAATTATTAAAGAATTATAAGATATAATTCTTTCAAAGCTTAATTATTTCAAAGTTCCCAAATGATATTTTCTTGTAATATGTTATAATTAATTAAGGCCTTTCACTTTGACTTTGTGTAACTTAGAGATGCTTTCTTAACAAATGTTTTTATAAATACTTAGCTTTTAAATGTACTGATAATAAGAAAATCAAATTGTATACATGAGATATTGTCACAATTATAGTATTAAATAATTTGTATTTATTTGTATTTAATTAAATGAATGAGTTTGATTCATGGTGTATGAATCCATGCATGCTTGTAGGCTTGTAGCTTATCAGGGTGAATAGGAATTGAAATAGAGGGGGGCATTTGGAAAGTAGAAGGGGATCTGGGGTTCCTCTCTTAATTATGCTAATTGGGAGTTTTTTGAGGAGTACTGAATAACTGGGGGATATATATTCCAACAATATAGGCGGGGAAATTGCACCTCCAGACTTAGGGATAACCCTGCTTATGATGAAATGTTTAAGCCTACTTTAATAAATTGTCTTATAATGCAAGAAAGCATTTACACCATGTTTTCTATTTTTTAATAATTAACACCCACTGTATTTTAAATCCCTCCCTACCTTTTCTGGTTTTGGTGGCTGCTCTGGTATCTCCTGTTGAAGGAGATCCATGAGGGAGGACTGGGCCTCCTGCCATTGTTTGTTGTACGTACTACAAAGAAAAACAAACACAGTACAGATTTGTTTAGAAATCTATGTGTTAAAGATTTCTGTAATCTCAGCGCTGAGATTAAGATTTCTGCAGAATCAAATTCCTTGAGTAGTAAACCAAATTATAACAGTTCATTGAAAAGTGCTAATACGTACTGGGCATGCATCGATTAAAAATTATCTTTCTTTGAATTTTTAGATCATTTTCTATAAGAAATAAGTTTATCAATTTTATTACAAAAACATTTCTATAAAAAATACTTTAAAAATACACTAATAATATCAAAATTTTCTTTTCTTACCTATGAGACATTATTATTAAACTACAACGCCATATTGTTTACATGGCAACAATTCATCGCAACCTTTCGGACATTTACTCAACCAATTCAGTTAAAACCCGAGAAGCTACGATTGATAGTACTGGTTCTCTGTCCTTGATTTGGTCGCTTACTCATGCAGCACGTTCATTAACGACAGAGAACCAGTCTAAGTCTTGAATGTTCTTCCGGTTTTCTACGTTGTAGAGGGTGTCATATGTAAATAAAAAAATCGTCTCTTTCGTCATTTATTTTGGAAGCATGACGTGTTGAAGTACGCTCAATATATTTTTTTTGATTGCACTTCCTTAATTTCTGACGGGATTAAAAGTTTGCAAATAGCAGAGGTGAGTAGATCAGAGACTGTTAAAAAATTAAACAGGTATACTGATGTAGGCCACATAAACTTAAACATGTTAAAATTTAGATTCAGGTCTCATTCGTGTTGGATAGGCGGATTTTATTTTTTTAATTATATATTTTTTTCTTTTTTTGTTATATCCAACACCTGACAACACCCTTTGTTATTGTTCAAAAAGAAAATACCTGAAATTTGAAAAGAAAAAAAAATCTTATTATAATTTCATTAAATTTGGTAATGTAATAAGGACAAACATGGCACTGTCTCCAAAGATATTTGCTTGACTAAACAACATTATGGATTAAACAATTTTTTTAAAAACTGAGAGGAACTGAAAAGTTTACATCATAAAAGTTAAGATTTCGAAATGCACAACATTTTTCATAATAATCCAAGATTCCTCTGACTCTAACCCCCGCTTTTATATTATGACATGTGGGGGGGGGGTTCCCAGCACATGTCATTATATAAAAAGGCAGGGGTTAGAGTCAGAAAAATCTCGCATTACATTGTTTCACTAAGTAATGGTTTGGGCTGTTGGATATCGGCCGGCTGGATGGCTCTGTCAGAAGAGGTAACGGGTTCGTTCGCCCGATCTACCTGTTCGCGGGAGTCCGTTCGCGCAGAGTCTGTTCGCCCGAAATATTTTTCGCCCAATATCTTGTTCGCCCTATATGTGGTTCGCCCAATGCTTATACATGTATATACTTGACTGTATATATAAACTCATATGAATTAAAAAAATAACATACATGACATTTTTTTTCTATTTATTTCCTTTACGACTTGGGAAATTTTTTCTCTAATTCTGATACGAGGAACAATGTTTATTTAGTCTTAATTAATTTTTGATCTGATTCTAATGTTTTTTGAATGATTTTGTGTGTGCACTATAGATAATTAAATCTATTAATACAATAATTAAATAAATAAATTAAGTCATCTTATTAATTGTGACCATTTGTGACAATATGCATAACGTTTGACGGTCTCATTATTTCCAATGTACTAGAAATTTGGATAGAAATTCGTTAGATTTTATTCTTCATTAAATTAGGGCGAACGGACTCTGTGCGAACAAGTTTTAGGGCGAGCGGACTCTGGGCGAATGGGAAATCGGGCGAACGCGAAATTGGGCAAACAATTTTTAGGGCGAACGAACATGGAACCATCAGAAGAACACCTGACTAGTGATGCAGGGGTCCCGGTCCAGCCATTCATTTTCACCTTTCCTCATACAACTATATCTAAATATTGGAATGAATTATTTTACAGACATGGCATTGCAGTGGACCTTTGTGGCTTCTTTTATGTACCTTGAAATAGGAGTTGTGATAGTGTTACTTCTACCATTTGTTTCCCCTGCCAGGTATGTTTGTTAAATTACATGTGTAGCATAATGGACAAAGTGTACCATATTAATCATTTTCATTTTGCTGAAAATCAAAATCTGCATTGATTTGAAAATTAGGGAGGAAATACACTTTGGGGTAAAAAATTATCTGGAGCTCTGAATGATAACAAAACAAATTATAGCTGAAATGTATATATTGTGATCAGAAATGTCGAGAATTACTTATAGATTTGCATCCTTAATAAAAACTAGAGGTACTGTGAGCAATGAGCTCACTAAATGATACTCCCACCTCCCATATGGTTATAATGGCAAAGTCCATGTTTTGCTGTGGCCGGGAAACCCAAAATATGTGTCGGATCAAAAAGTAAAATAAGAGGTGCACAATGGCAATATGTAATAAAGATTCTGTGAAAGTTTCATTAAATTTCACTCACTGGTGTAAGAGGAGTTGCGGATAAGAGATGGGTACCCCAAAGCGTAACAGATGGACGGACAGACGGATGGACATACCGATTACAGTATACCCTCCCACTTTTCAAGCGGGGGGTGTAAAAAATTTCATTGTTTGATATGTGCTTCTGAAATAATTATAAAATATTCTTGAAATAAAATGCCTTAATTTTTAGATACACTTTTTTTTCTGCCAATGATCCAATTAATCCTTGCATATGTGATAAAATACCGGTATTAAAATTTGAGTCATGTGACATAAACAATCTCGTAAACTTTGATAGCACCGGTACTATAGGCACTGGGTTCATGATGAGAGTAGCAGGTCACGAAGACCTTAGCAAGCAAAGATGATTTACACTGAGTAAAATATTTGGAGTAATAATATTTTTTATGTACAATTGATGGAAGTTTGTTTTTCTTTTCATAGGTGGCAGAAGATTTTCAGATCACGGATTGTCTCAAATGTATCATCATATTCCTACATCTACTTCAATGTGTTCATTGCAATACTTTTGCTTTTGTTTGTGGGTGAGTATATATATTTACATCCACTGAATATTATTTCCTCAATTTCTACTCCAAACCATTGTGGATTATCAGGTGGTAAATGCCACAAAGCAACTATCTGTTTAGATTTCTTGAGCGACGGCTCATCCATCAAGCATACAAAGATGCATGCATCTATAATACAATATTTAGAATATTTAATATAATTATTTTAAGTGTTGTTTTACAGATAGAAATATAAACAATAAAATGCTTTTCTTAGTTTGTAAGAATGGAAATTATTATCACAGCTATTTCAGGAAAAATTTACATAAAACTCTTACGGGGGGTATGTATTTTTCTGCAACGGCCGCGACATTAAATCCCATACTAATAAACAAAGAAAGTATTACATTGTTTTATTGTATATTAGTAAATATACATGTCAGTCATATACTTTATTGTATTTTGGGTTTCTAAATTGAAGCACATTTATGCATTAAATAACTTGAATACATAATGTATGTAAGCAATCTAATATGTAATTTTTAGCTCACCTCGACGAAGTCGAGATGAGCTTATGCTATACCCCGGCGTCGGCGTCCCGGTCAAAGTTTTAGGAGCAGGTCCATTCCCAAGTAACTATAAGCCCTACCCGGACCAAACTTGCATGGATGTGATGTATCTAGGGATGGACACTACCAGACTTGCTTCGGATGCTGGATGTGACCTTCATTTTCCAGATGAGTGACCAGGTTAAAGTTTTTGGAGCAGGTCCATTCCCAAGTAACTATAAGACCTACCCGGACCAAACTTGCATGGATGATGCATCTAGTGATGGACACTACCAGACTTGCTTCGGATGCTGGATGTGACCTACATTTTCCAGATGAGTGACCAGGTTAAAGTTTTTGGAGCAGGTCCATTCCCAAGTAACTATAAGCCCTACCCGGACCAAACTTGCATGAATGATGCATCTAGGGATGGACACTACCAGACTTGCTTCGGATGCTGGATGTGACCTTCATTTTTCAGATGAGTGACCAGGTTAAAGTTTTTGGAGCAGGTCCATTCCCAAGTAATTATCAGTCCTATATGGACCAAACTTGCATGATTGATGCATCTAGGGATGGACACTACTAGTCTTGCTTCGGATGCTGGATCTGACCTACATTTTCCAGATGAGTGACTAGGTTATTCCAAAGTAACTATGAGACCTACCCGGACCAAGCTTGCATGGATGATGGACAATGGAAACTTGCTTCAGATGCTGGATCTAACCCACATTTTCCAAACGAGTGCCAAGGTTCAAGTTTTTGGAACAGGTCAATCCCCAATGAACTTTAAGACCCTTTTAAACAGAACTTGCTTGAATATTGTTGTCAGAATAAATACTAACTGTAAATAAAAATATGATGCGAGATTTGCATTTCCTAAACTGATAACATTCTTCGAGGTTAGCTTCGTAATCTTTGATTACCTATGTTTGCTATAGATGGAATTTTGTCTTATTTTTCATATGTGGCTACTGGCAGAAGATATTTATCCATGCTTTTGTAGGTCACACCTACAATTTTATATCACCTTTAAATGAAATGTTTTGTATAATTATATAAGTCAGTTCAAAATGATGTACCAGAAAATAATAAAACTTATTTGCACAAAATTATTGACCTTCACTACTCGGTATTTAAAATGATTCTACAGAAATTATTGCCATAGTAGAGAAGAAGTGTAATTTTGATATATTTAAATTTTGTTGTATATTTGATGCCCTTTTTTTAAGATTCTATTCGAGAAGTCCACAAGTACACAGAACCCACGGAAAATGTTGATTTAAAACACAACCAAGACTCCGTCAACGTAGGCCTGATGAAATTGTTCCGTGCTCAGAGAAATTTCTACATCTCTGGATTTGCTCTGTTTCTTTGGTTGTAAGTTACAGTTATTTTTTATGCTTACAGTTTGTATCCAGTCTCAAACTTGCTTGAATTTGAATAGGTAAATCTCCTCATGAATTACTGCAAGCATAAAGCAGCATGTACCCTCAACAGGTTCAAAGAGCTACATTTATTGAAATTGTACTAAAATTATCTAGAAGAGTGGAAATTGAAATTTTTTTTTTATTTACTTCTGAATCATATTCTGAGCTGAAACTGTATCAAGCAAGACAGTGATTTGGTGAATATTTGATGTATTTTTTCACAGTAATTTTTCATTTTTATTAACCAATTTTTATTTTAGTCATAAAATACTGTAGTTGAATCAATTTTTCACTCAAGGAAGAATAAAAAAGGTTTGAATAATGATGTTAAAATCTACATAAGGTATACATGTAACATGTATATCTTCCTATTAATGACTTACTTTACAAATCAGTACTTTGTGATACATTTAACTCTTTTGCTCTAGCATCATCAGACGTCTGTTGACCTTGATTAATGAAGAAGCCAAGCTTGGTGCCCAATGCGAAGCTTACAAGAAGCAGGCAGAGAGTGCTACTGCGGCGGCCAAACGTCTGATGGAGGAGAAGGACAACACTGTTAACAAGGTGGGATAGTAACAACACTGTTAACAAGGTGGGATAGTAACAACACTGTTAACAAGGTGGGGTAGTAACAACACTGTTAACAAGGTGGGGTAGTAACAACACTGTTAACAAGGTGGGATAGTAACAACACTGTTAACAAGGTGGGGTAGTAACAACACTGTTAACAAGGTGGGGTAGTAACAACACTGTTAACAAGGTGGGATAGTAACAACACTGTTAACAAGGTGGGGTAGTAACAACACTGTTAACAAGGTGGGATAGTAACAACACTGTTAACAAGGTGGGGTAGTAACAACATTATTATGAAGGAGGGGTAGAAGGTTGGGTAGTAACAAACATGTAAAATGTGGTTCAGAATGTTAAAAATGTGGGGTAGTATCTAACATGTGACAAACTACAAGTAACAAATAACAAAGTCACTTCTACCAGAGAGAATTAATATACCGTTAATCAGGTTTTTTCCGCGAATCAGAGCCTAAATCAGTATATTAAATTATGCGAATGAAATTTTCACTATTTCCAAGTCCCAGTGATTATATTATTAACAAGTGTTTAAGCCTATGAAAGAATTGGATGTAAAAATGTAAGTCATTAAGCTTTAGTTACTTCATACGAGTGAGAAATAGATCGATCAACCTTCACCTTGGAAGTTGTGTTGCGTATATACTCTCAAATCACCAGATATTATTTTTTTAAAGATTTAAGCAATCATAGGTCATTTACTGTTCTAAACTGAATAGCAGGTCAGGTATAATTAGAATAGGTTCTCGCAAGGAACATGACCAATATAATTAGCTTGTCAATTAGTAAACAAACAATAGGGCTTATACCTATTACTGGTATCTTGCGCTTGTCCTCTGATCCCGCTATTTCTTCCCTCTATGATATAAGCATGGAGAAATAACTCTACTACAAGAAGAAAACTTTGTATTATATTTACGCTGATTTATTTTCCGCAATTCAGAACTCGTCACGAACAAGGCGGAAATTGGATACATGTGGAAAAAAACTGATATACGGTATAATTAGCATTAGATAGAAACATTTAAATGCCTAGAACGGACTGAGTAGAAAATTAACAAATAAGATTAAAACATCAAGTAAACCATGTTTTTGTGGTGGTCTGTAGACTCAATTTCTAAACACAATAACTTTTTTGAACAGAACAATGGTACATATAGGCAAAATTAAAGGCAAACATTTTATTTTTTTCAAATTGGTACTTTTAAATTGCATTATGTGATGACCTTTTGGGGCATTGTTGAGGGTATAAACATGTATCTGTATAATGTGTGCATTAAAATTACCACATTCTGGATTTTATGCATTAATTACTTGATGATTGTAATTAAAAACTGATGTTTTCTCGCAATGGCATTTCAGAGTAAAGAATATGAAGACCTAGATCCAGAAGAGAAGAGCCTCGCTATGAAGTTGGACCAGACAAAAGAGGCTTTAGTCAAGACTAAAGAAGGTGTGTGGAATTTACTGTATACAGGGAAAATTTCACCTCCGTTTTATTTTCGACCCTTTCACCCTATCCTCATTTGGGTGAATTTAAAACGGGGCAAATTCAAAGAATACAGTATAATTTCATAAATAAAACTATGACTGGGCGAATTTAAAATGGGGCAACATTGTCTGCAAGTGTGAAAGGTCGAAAATAACATGGGGTGAAAACAACCCTATATACAGTATACCATATATATGTGGAAATTTTTGCAAGATGCAAATTTAGCAGTTTGTCCGTAAAAATTAGTGTTTTATTTTTAGCGAGATGTAATTTCAGTGATTTTAAAATGCTCACTAAAGAAGCTATTACAAAGAAAACACAATTAATTTTTAACGATATTCAATTTTAGCTATCTCAACACACTCGCTAATAATGCCAAAATTTAATCCTCGCTAAAAATTCTTCTTATACGTATATTTATCCACTTCAGACAAATTTGTAGATTACTGGTTGGATAAAAGCTAATTACATGAAGCCTTCAAGGAGTAATGTTAAAATCAGTTCTGTTCCAAGCATAATTATTGTAAATAAAAATGGTGGGTAATAGAATAAGAAAGTACATGTATTATATATGCATTTCTATACGTACACATATTTTAAAATTGCTTTGAATGCCACTTTTCAAAAAATGTATCTAAAGTGGAATAACTTATTTTACAGAATTGAAGAAAACAAAGGTTGATCTAGAAACACTGAAGTCTCAAGCTACAAGCACAAACAATGAATATGACAGACTGCTACAGGAGCATGAAAAATTACAGGTATTAAAGGAAATGTCTTAACTTGTTGAATTTACGACAAATTCTAAGTCACAACATGCTATGACCAAACATTTTTTGGTAATTTTTTTTCTCAGACAGTTTATATTTTTTCTGTGTTAAATTTTGATCTCACATTGTATACTGGCATCTTTTCCCAACTAAAAAAGTTGAATTTCTTGTACTTATTGGACTTCTAGAGAATAATTTACTTACTTTTAAGTAAGAATCAATCAATCAGTGATACTAGAAGGATGAATATTTGAAATTAGGCCAATTAATTTTATCTTTACAAGATTCAGTAGTAACCTAAATTTAAATTTTCTTGACAGCGTTTTTTTTCCTTATATAACTGGTACCGATAAACAGCACCATTCCCAATGCCAAAAAAGGTTAATTTTTCCCAATTCTGTGACTAAAAATTCCCAATTCAACTGTGAAGCAAAAGATTACTACGACATCGTATTTCTTGTTAAATGAAACATTGTACAAGTTGACTAATTGTTTCACTTCCGCTTAAATCGAAAGTAGAGAAAGTTGTAATTTGGCGGGAGCAGTTGGTTAGACAGCGTAGTGTCATACATTTTGACAAATTGAAAGCATGACAATGTGAAAACAAGGAACGTTGATATAAAAAACAAGAAGTACTTGTTGTTTATTCTTTAAAACAAGCAGTTATAGGTTGATGTTGGAATAAGTGCAAAATACGTTGCATTTGCATAAATAAGAGAAAATTCTCCTTTGTTTTTCTTCGATGTTATTTTTCCCAATTGAACCGGTACCAGACCCTTTTCCAATGGGTGGAAAAAAATCGCTGCTTGAGAGAACAAGGACATAGCTTAATAAATGTTTATGTATGGGGACTGCAACGTTCGGGGTGGGAGCTAAATATCAAATTAAAAAGACATAAAGTATGGTCCTGAGAGATCATTTAGCAACCTCACAGAAAACTTTCATGTACTTATTAATTCCACTGAAGAATTATGCATTTATGTTTACATTTGTTTTTTGTTAGCAATAATTGTAAACAAGAAAAGTAAATGTTAACATATATGTATATAAAATGTTTCCATCCGTCTAAGCATTTTAAATGTAGAAGTCTTTATCTTAAAAAAATTGTTCTCCAATTTTGTCAATATAACCAAATTATCAAAGTTATTAGATAAATTACATGTATGTTTGTGTATCAAAAATGTAACATGAAATTTGATTTTCAGGAAAAACTTGACAAAGATGGCTCAAAGAAAGACAACTAGCTTGCTGATTTTCTACACAACAGTGATAAGAAATCAAAATCTGTTGTAAAAGCTGCATCATAAATGAGAATTACCAATATTTTCCAAGTTTCACCCTTGCTGCTTGGTATTTTCGTATTCCCAAGTCAGACAGAAACCTAATTCTGTAGAACTAATGTTATTTTATTGATCGTTATTTATAAAACTTGTGTTTTGTATCAGATCTTGTGGTGTTTATATTTACTTTATAGCTTTGATATTAGAAGGGATTGTGGAAATCATTGTCTGGACAACATTTGGACCTAATTTTGTACATAATAAATTCTCTTTCAATATCATTGTTAAAGTGCAGTGGTCTATAACTTTGTATTTTTACTCTCTGATATACCGATACAATTAATAACTTTTTAAAGACAATTCTCATGAATATGACCCTTATATCAATAAATGATATTTATTTATAGTATTTTCCTTGGATGAAATATAAGAAAAGCCAAAGACCATTTCACTTTAGCAAATCTTAGAGAGGATTGTTCGATTTGATTGAATTCATACAGGCACTGATTGTGTGAAGCATACAAGACAATGCCTTGGAATAGATGTGATTAGGCGTTACCCTCGAGTGCATATATATTATATGCTTGAAAAAAAAAACTGTATTTGATGAATTTAAAGTTAGTGTATTTTTAAGTTAACTTAGGTAGCTAACATTTTCTTTCTATTTTTGTGTACATCTATGTGCATAAACTGTGTGCAAAATATTCAATTTTGTTTTATTTTTCAGAGGAGTGGAAATTAGCTTTTAATGTAACACCTATGTTCATGAACAGAATTTAGGTGTTTTAATACATCCATGTGCAAAAATATCAAGAGTTTCTCTGCTAAGTGTTATTTAAAAAAAAAAATATGTGATTTACAAAGAACCAGTGTAAAAAAAAAAAATGACTGGAAAGATATTTTTTAAAATTTTGCTTTTTTGGGTTATTATAGCAAGTTCCCTGCAGATTTGTTCAATAGATAGCTTTTTGAATGATCAAGAAAATCAGTTATCCTGCACTTATAGGCATGCAAATATTGGAGATAATTTGTGCAATAAATGTATAAAATATCTTTTTTTATATTTCATGGTTATATTTCAACCAAGATGTGTACATTTAAATTTAAAAACTTAATTTCTATTTGCAATAGTTGGAGCTCAACCATGTCTTTACTACACATATTTATTAAAAATTAATTTTTCTTAAAAACCCTTTACTTTAATAATGATAGTACATGTAAATTAAGGTGTTCAATTCTATTTTGTGAAGAAACGTGGGCTCAAGCAAGAAAACAAGAAATTTCTAAAAATAATCTTTTATTTCATATTAATCAGTTCCTGCTGAAACAAGTTCTAAATTACAGTATTTTTTTGGTATATTTAATTTATTCAGTGTCTTTAATGCAGCAGTTCAGCTCATTTTGTTCACCTGTGAAAAATGAAACATGATATTGATTAAAATATACAAAAAAAAATAATTCGAAAGATATTGGGGTTGGAAAACCTGATATAAAAGGCTTAGATATATATAAAGATCAACATTTATTTAATGTTTGAAATTTTTTTCTCTCTCTCTATGCCATTTTCAGTATTGATCAGTTTTTAATAAAATCAGTATGATATTGAAAAACCCAATATAAATGACCTTCAACTCTGAGAACTTTCTCCATTGGCTCAATGAGAGATGATTGACCACAAGATTCTTTTCTCTTTCTTGCTTCTTGTGCTGAAGAGATTGGGAATGAAAGTTATCAAATAAGCAATCTTTTATCAATTAAAATGATGAGTACTTGCTTACTTAAATTCACATTTAATTCATTTTCATTTATTTCAAACATAAAATTTTAGTTTTAAAGGTTTTTGAAGTGTTAAAAAACGTACATCTTTCTGACAAAATGACTCGCTGCAATATGTTGGCTCTTTTGAAACACTCTGTAAAAATCAACATACATTGTCATGTATAAATTATCTCTTTAACAGACATAAATTTTCTGGCATACTCATTAACTTGCGTTTTAGAAATTGAATTTCATTAAATTCTCAAGAATCTGTTTAAAATGTCTTACTTTGTTCCCTTAACCATTCTAAGTGTTGTTGATATAAGGTTGGAGGGCAACTTTCTGTCATGAGAATATCTGCATCATCAGTTGGTTGCTGAATGTCCATCCAATGTTCTAAGATTGTTTTTGTTTGTCCTTGCTGAATTTGTTTCAAGATATCATTTATTATCCGTACTAAAGTTTCCTTAATATAAGATGTAATGTCGTAACTCAGAATTTCTATCAGTAAATGCGCATGGTCAGCATATACTGTCTTATGAATTACAGTTTTCATTTCATTGTCGTATAAACAGATATTTGCTCCATTTACGATCAGCTCGTTTATTATCGCAAGAGATTCAATTGAATCCGTCACATTCGAAGTTTTATCACACAATCTTTCCACTGCTACATGGAGTGGACTTTTTCCTTCCTTGTCCTTTTCATTGACCTTTGCACCATGTTGTATCAATCTTTTAGACACTAGTCCAGATGTACAGCAGTGAAGAGGGGATCTACCGTTAATGTCTAAAGAGTTGACGTCAGCATTGGCAGACAATAAAATTTCTACCTCTTCTACATTGCCTAGTTGTGAAGTCAAATGCAAAGGAGTCATTCCTACATGATCTGCTTGATTAACATTGGCTTTATGCCTAACTAATATTTTCATTGCAAATGAATGTCCACCTTCTAATGCTGCATGTAGAGGCGATCTTCCATTCGTATCACACAAGTTAAGATCCGCCCCGTGTTTGATAAGAGTCTGCAGAACACCTCTACCCTTTGCGGTTGCAACAAAGAGCGGCGTCTGCCTTAGTCTGTCTCTTTGATTAATATTCGCCTCACTATTTAACAAGATTTCTGCAGCTCTTATACTTCCATTGTCAGCTGCCGAATGCAATGCAGATCTGTCTCTTACATCGGAAATATTTATATCAGCACCATGAATTATTAATAGCTCTGCAACCCCAACCTCGGCATTTTCGATTGCTACTTGCAATGGGGATTTTCTGTCTAAATTGCATTCATTTACATTAAGTCCAGCTTCCAGGAAAATTTTTGTCACAGAGACACTTCCATGCTTTCCACAAAAATGAAGTGGAGTATTCCCCTGGAAGTCACCCCTATACAAGCACATTCCTTTCTGTAGTAGAACAGCAGCAATTCTAGAATTTCCAGACTTGGCTGCATAGTGAAGCGGCGTCCTGTTCGAATCATCCATAATATTTGCATCTGCCCCAGACTGAATTAAAAATTCCACGATATACTCAAATCTATTCTCTGCTGCTATACTCAAGGAAGTCCTTCTAAAGGAATCTATTTTGTCAATGTTAGCACCTGAATCTACTAGCAAGCGAACAGTGTCTAAATGCCCGTTTTCGGATGCAAGGAATAAAAGACTTCTTTTCTTTGTATCTGCACTGTCAACAAGCTCAGATTGTTTTAGATAGGGTTTAATCTCATTCACCATTCCCTTTTTCGAGTATAAACACAGACTAGCAACGTCATTTGGTAAATCTGAAATGTAAGAAGTGGAAACAGATTAAACAGACACAAGCTCTCGCCTAGAATTTCGTACAAACCATTGGACTGTTGTAAATAAAAAAATCTTATTTATTTTCAATGGAGATCAAATAACAGTTTAGAATAAGATGGCATATACCAGAAAAGCCAGCATTTTCAATAAATGAAAAAATGTGTCAAAGGAATCCCACATACCTTTCAGTTCCTCTTGATCCTGAGTATTGAAGAACATTTGGATTTCTTGATGGTCGCTTGCTAGCATTCTAGGTGTTAGGTTACTGGCATTAAACCTATCAACGAAGTTACCATATCTAATCAGCTCTATCAATACCTCCTTATGACCGTTTTTAGAAGCCAAATGAAAGGGCAAGTTATTATCAATATCGGCCAGATTAGATTCAGCACCTTTTGATAGTAGTAGACGAGCAATATTTACGAAACCCCTCTCGGATGCTATACACAGTGGTGTTTTCATGCAATCACCGAATCTATTGATGGATGCACCATTTTTCAATAGTTCCTCGACTATTGATATGCATTTTAATACGTCATTGCTCCATAGAAGGGCAATATGTAAAGGGGAATTCTGATTAGAATCAATGCAATGCAAATCGGCTCCGTATGAAAGCAATTCCCTAATAATCAACTGGTTTTCTTTTCTGCATGCAACATGCAGAGGGGTACATTGATCGAGTCCGACATTCAGATCGGCACCAAACTTTAACAAATTCGAAACTGCATAGCGATGGTCGTGTTCCACAGCAACATAAAGGGCGGCTTGATTTTCATTATTGTATAAGTCAGGGTCGGCTCCTTGCTTCAGAAGCTCTACAATAATTTTCCAGTTCCCCTTTCGAGAAGCCATGATCAGTGGTGTTTCGTGATTTATATCATATACATCTATTTCTGCGCCATGAAGAAGAAGCTGTTCCAGAACTCGCACGTGATTTCCTTCAGAAGCTATATGAACAGGAGTCTGAAGCATTTCGTTTCGAAAATTTGGATTTTCTCCTTGTTCTAGAATCTGTTGTACAAGATTAGGATTTCCCATTTCGCATGCCTTCAATAAAGTATCTCTCAGCTTTGTTTCTCTGGAATCGCCTTTGCTTTCTTCTGGAGCAACGGTTCCTGTCTCTGAAGGGAAAGATTTGGAATGTTGAGGTAAGAAGGGCCCTTTATCTAGTTTAATAAAAAGAGATAAATAATGAGGATGTAGCAATGCTTCAAATGCATTTTATACTTGGAAATTGCTCATTAGACCTTTAGAAAACTAAATTTAACTTGATTATACCTAAAGGAAATGTGAGCAAAGGTTATAAAATGTCACTATCTGCTATTCTTCATAAAATTTCAATGAGAGCCTCCATTGTTTTCTATGTAGAAGCCGGATAAAATCATAAATTATCTCTGAAATTCATACAACCTTGTTTTGAGTGTATGTCATTGCTGTCTAACGTCTTTCATATACACATTTAAAACATTAATTTTGAACTACCTATATTTCCTTTTACCCGATCAGGACAAGGATAAGACAGCAGTGGTGACAGTAAATGCCGCATCCTAAAGATATCTGACTCACTTTACTCTTAACCTTAAGCATATGGTTATACGGATAGTTTTTCAAGAAATAAAATTTTTAATGCATTATATCTTCCTCTTAAAGTCATTGCTTTGGTCAAACCGTGTATCAATATACAGAATATAACCCCCCTCCCCCTCTCTCAAACTTAGTAACGTGATGAACATTGGAATTTCTTGTACCTTCTTGATATTCGAGAACAGCTTTTATCTTCAATTCCCCAACATTTTGAAGGAGAGAGGTATCCTTTCCTTCTAGCATTGCAGTGACAATACGGGGAAATTTTCCGCTTTGGATAGCATCCGACACTTTCGATAGTGGGTTCAAGTAGAAAATCAAACCTTTAAAAGAAAACAGGTAAATATTTAATAAAGTAAAAAAAAAAAGGGGGGGGGCATACGAAAAAGTATTATAAATGCGTCTTTAAAAATATAAAATCGTTAAAATTAAATACATGTACACTGTACAGATAATTTTCTTTCAGCTCGCGAAAATTCATGTCTTTTGAGACATATTTTATAACACAATATTCAATACTCGTAAAAATTTGGTATCTCTGTCTCTCTTGAATATCAAATATTATCTTGCGAAAACAAATGCCGCCAAAAAATTGATCTACAGTATATTGAAGAGAATTCCATACCCTGGTCAGAAAGTGAGTCGTTGACGAAATTGGTATCAATAAAGAAAGAAACTCTCAACAGCGAATTCGGCGCATTTATTGCCTTTGATATCTTGCTTATGATGCCCTTTTCCACGACAAAACTTGCATACTTCATTTTACCCTTGCACTTGAAAATTAAACTAATTGCAGAGTCCGTCTTATTTGAACTGTATAGGTGCAGTGGTGATGATTTCACTATCTCGTTTAGAAGATCACTGAAGTTTTCGTTGAATAGAGATTGAGGTGATTCGGAGGGAGGCACGACTTTTGTTCCCAGTCTGATCGTATCATGTCTGATCTGCAGCTCAATTAGCTCGTCCACTGCAAGAAAAATAACAGTAAATTTTTAAAAATCGACACAATTTAACATGATTCTGCAGTTCAAACTGTAAAAATCCACTCTCTTGTACCGGCAACGCCAATTGCAATTCCATAAACTACAGGAATTTGTTGTCTTTCTGTACAATTTTATACTGTTTTGATACTTACCATCTGTTGAAAACCCTTGAATGATAAGATTTTTCATTAAATCAGTAAGGTATATATCGACATCACAGACTGTTGAGTCCTTTTCCCATGAGTGATGACAAAATATTGATACATTTTGATTCTGACCGGAAGATACATCTGCAAATCAAGAAAAAAAATACTCTTGAAGAGAAAAACAAATGTATCATAGCTCTAACAACTTACGTATTATGGTACTCTATGTCGATTTTATATAAAGTATTATATGTGCAACATCTGGTAACATATCCAGTAAAACAAAGAAGAATCCTGGACTATAGTTTTTCTGGTTATGAGTATACTCAATTTAATCATGGGACTGTTCGGAGTTGGGTGTATTTAAACCCTTCTTGCCAGGAACATACAGTCATTGCTACTAGCAATGCCTTTGACTCCTAGAATGCGAGTTAAGTGAATAAGGTAATGGCATAATTGATTTCTAATTAAGACCAAATTATTCCCCAACCCATAATGCATTCTGTCTCCATTCTTTGCAGAGGTTGTCCTGCTCATCAATTTGCTTGCGACAAGACAACTACCAAAAGGATTTTTAAAAGTAGAAAGGTTTTTCAATACATAATATAGTGCATGACCAAATTCACCAAACATATGTAAGTTCAAGCGAAGTATACTTATCTCAAAATGTTCAAAGATTTATAACGGATAAAGACACCCTACGACGTATAAAAACGGAGAACAATATATCTGAATGACATATGTGACTAAAAAATTAGAATGGTACCTTTTGAATGGAATTCCTCTGGACAATAAAAATATCCATAAATATGAATGGAGGATGCTTGATATTTCAGTAGAGTGGTTTCTGCTTTCAGCTCTTCAAATATGACCTCAAATAAAGTTTTCATAGAGTCATTGATTCCATTTCCCCCGGAGACGCTTAAATTTACCACAAGACACCCCTTCTCAAACCCATCGACAATTATATCATTTTCCTTTAGTATTGCGCTGGAATTTAAATCCTGAAGGTCCATTTCCATCATATTCTCTGTTATTTCTCTCCATTCAGATGTGTCGTTGGATCTTAACACCATCCTTAGTTTCACTGAAAGTAAGAAAAAAATCGCATGTATCAAAAAAGGATGATTCTTTGTCTATATCTATCAAAGTTTCTGTCCTAAGACCTGCCACCTCTAATTCTCTTTAATTATCTAACCTTCCCTACTTAATGTTTCTGATGTCGCTCACCCTGCTTCTTACCTTTCACACTATTTACTTGTTTTGTTCTTACCTCTTTCACTTGTACTGAGCTGTTCCATAGTTCGCCGGTCTTCAAGATGAATTATTATCTTGTTGTTTTTTCCCACCTGAATCAATACTGGGGCGCTTGATTCTTCCTCAAACTTTACATCCATTCTGTTTTCATTACCAATTTGGACAACGAATGTATCAGTCTCTTGTTCTAAGAAGAATATGTTTATTGATTTAATATATTTTTGTTTTGTTGAGGTGAATGCCAGTTAATTTGTTAATTGCAAGCTTCTGAAAACCTTCCCTCTCGTGTCCTCAACTTCCAAATACACGCACATTCAGGTTTCCAAAATTTAGAATGTAAAATTGGGTAAATTCAATTCAATTCTTTATTGGCACTAAAGCACATATTTATATACAGGAATGTGTTGTTAGCCATATACATGTATTGCAAAATATTATACTATTGGAAGCTTCTTTCTAATATCAAAACAGTCTCTGATTTATAGACAGATTTGTTTCGTAGATACAAAGTTATGTGGATTAAGCAAACAAGATAAGTTATTAACATCTAGTAACCTTGAATACTTTTTCCTGACATTTTTATACACAGGACAATCAAGTAAAAAGTGTTTTTCATCTTCAACAAGAGTTTTACATTGGAAACAAAATCTATTTTCTCTAGGAATGACAGGATTACAATATCTACCTGTTTCTACGTACAACTTATGTGCACTTATTCTTAACTTGGAAAGATAAGAAAATAAATTCTTAGGAAGTGGAAAACACAAATATGGTTGGATTTCCAGTTTCTTAGCATCATAGTTGAATAATGTACTGTAAAATGACAGCTTACCGCATTGAGTATTGTTAATGTGTTGGAGTTCAGAAAAAAAATTATTTTCAAAGAAATTTTTAAGTTTAGGACTAAAAGTTTTAAAATCTGTGTCAAAGTTAAAATCTAACATCTTCTGTATTGATTTTATAAAACTTTGCCAACATGTTTTATTTTCACTGGCCGATCGCGTATCTTCCAAGTAAGCATTCTTGAGTATGACATTGCAATTATTATTTGTTTTTGTTAATTTTTCCAATCTGGAATAATATTTAAAAACAAGATGGTAAAATTTGGTATGTACAGGGAAAACACCTAATTCAATTTTTGTTGCTAAGTTTGACTCTTTATTATGGACACCTAATGTGTTTTTTAAGATGAAATTTTGGATTTTTCAAAAGGAGTTTTATCAAAATTATTGGGATTTGTATTAAAATCAGAAATCCAAATTTCTGAGGAGTATGTTAAAATTGGAACAATAAAAATATTGATTTATAACATAATTTGAATGCACGCCAATCATACTCCCAATCTAATTCAATACGCAAGATCATTTTTATATTCGAACTAAACCTAAACCGATGCAAGCTATTGACAAATACGTTGGTTACACACGATCCCATTGAAAGTAATTATTTTGCCATCATGATAGCCTTGTTCACAATACAATATATCCTCAGGTTGAATATTGATTGCATGATAACTTTTTTCACACACATCATCAGCTCAATATTTTTTATATTGACTTGTGTATTGTTATATTTCCATAATGGATTATCCACATATACCCATGTTTCGAATTCCTTATAACAAGGGTCTTATAAATGGTGCATCTGACCGGCCAACAAAAATGCTTACTCCTCCATGACACTTTATCCCAACTCTAATGTTCTGAAGGACCACTTATCATTGATAAAAAAAGAAAAAAATTAAAGTATTTTACCTTCCGAGGAATATTTTCTAATGCTCTCAAGATATATTTTTCCTGCTTCTTCAAACTTTTGTGCCATGCTTTTCCCGATACACTCTAACTCCCTCCAGATCTGTTTGCCGACATCGTTAGATATCTTTTTAACATCATTCTCAGAAATGTTGACCTTCCAAATTTGCTGGAGGCGAGTGACATCACGAACAACCTCTGAATCCATGTATTGTTCCTTTTCTGTGTCCTCACATATTCTTTTTATAAAAAATTCACACAAAACAGGAAAGCTCAGAACAAAACTGTTTCTTCTTGATATCATAACTTGGCTTCCATTATCCAGTAAATGAAACATTTCATGGTTCTTTAAATTATCGATATCCCTCCAGCATAGCTGTAGAATATTTCCAAGAAATTTTGCCGAGTCAATTTTGAAATGCGTCTTCAGAATCATAAAATTATGCATCATGGAGAATTCCTTATCGTGTTCACTCATTTTGCACTGAATCAGGACGGATCGAGAGATTTAAGTTGATTTGAGTGCGCCAACAGCGGCAGGTTACAGGAAGATCATTGATCAAATCCTTCCGCCTTTTTTGATAAATAGATGGAAGAATATAATATTTCTCTTATTTGACGAAAGAGTTGCATCATAAAGCGCAGTTTACCATGTTATTCCCAGTGCTTTATCGACTGTTCCAAAACAATCGATTTGACTCTGAGTAGATCGTATGCTCCGGTGATCTAATTGAAATTCTCAAACAGATACGTAAATCAATATGACATTTAAATAAGTTACTATTTAGGTTTTATATAAGGTTTTATTTTAAAGTTGATTTGTATACTGACAATGTAACTCGAACCCAAGTTTGCATCGGAATAAAAGACACTTAACAAAAGGCAATATTGGTATTTTATTCCTTTCATATTTCTAGAGGAATCTTAATGCATGAATTATGTCATCTTGTTTGAAGAATTAAAAAATAGAATTATACAAGATCTAGCTAAAACTGGTTTTCCATTGTATGAGTTTCATCCAGCAAAAATAACACCATGCAGAGCTAATAGTGAATTGGTTTTTAGGATAACATAATGTAGTTCTTTTGTCAGATATGGGTCCAGTGGCAAAGAATTGAAATGTTTGCGCCTTCAAACTTTCTCTAAGTTTATTGAAAGATGGCTTATTTTAAAGATTTCGCTTCGTTATCGTAAAGTCGTGGACCATGTTAAAATTTTTCCTAAGTCGATAAAAAAAATAGGTAGCATCTATTCCTTCGCAAAGGATTTGGCACTTTGAAGTAAAAGTTGTGGGTCCTGTGGATGAGAGCTTAAAACCGAGGTCCCATGTCACGCCGTGATTGAGCACAACGAATTAAAATCTCTCAATGTTCGATAGCTCTGAGTGCTAAGTTGTCTTAACGTTCCTTTATTGAAATATGGTCTCTATATTCAACTTAAAAATTCTCGAAAAGGACAAAAAACAACAATCAATTCATAAATCAGTCTTTGCGATTGCCAGTGGAAAAAGTGAATGACTGTGATACATACCACGGGTTTTAACATCATGATGCCTACAACCTATTACAGACTGTTGAATGTTCTCCGAAGGAGAGGGGATATACTGTTTTACCCTTGTGTGTCTGTCCGTCTGTCTGTCCGTAACAAATTTTCGTTTCAATTTTCTTAGCACTTACTCATCGCAGATGATTGAGATTTTAACACACTTTTTGTTGATGTGAGCTATATGATGGGAATCATTTTTGTCCAAATCTGATGTCAACTTCTTTTTTATCCCTGAGTTTGTCCGTACCATACATAACAAAGGGCTATATACGGTTAGAGACAATTTTGGCCCCCTAAAAATCAACATTTTAGAATGATATTCAGATATGTTTAGTTTGTATTTATTTTGTAGAGGAGATTATATTAGAAATATTTCCAATATATTTTTCACATTTATATGCAGTCACTGGCTGTAAATGACATCAGAAATAATGCTATATTTTTGCTATCTAACCAAAAAAACCAAAATCATGCCTTTTTATTCATGTTTTTTTTCTTATGGGAAACATATAGCGCAGTTTAATTAGAACATGCATAATCTTTCTGTCAGTAATTAGTATTGGATATACATCTTTGTTTTGTTCTAGTCTGCGCTCAATATCTTCTAGAAGAAAAACTGTTTGAAAAGATGCAGTTTTATACAAAATATGCTAAATTGGCGGGAAAACGTGAACTTTATGATGTCATATTTCTAAATTAGTGGCATTTTGATCAAATTGAAAATGGCCAAGAAAGGTCAAATGTATAGCCGTGCAAATTAACACTATATATAAATTAAATCAAGATATTCATTTTAAGGGGCCATTTGAGACACTTAACTTATATTGCTCTTTTCGTTGCAGTTTCCTCAGCAATTACTCATTGCAGATGATGAAAATTTTAGCACATTCTTTGCTAAGACATGCCATACGAGGGCTGTTCAATAGATAATGCCCTGAACTCTATGACATACAACATAGATATCACATGACATTAAGCTTGACTTTCTCTTATTATTGAATCTTTTATGATTTGAAAGCAGTTTATGTGAACACTTCTCACCACATAGTTTCTTTGTTGAGGCATACATGCCGTATGGTGGGATTCACTCTTGTTCAAATCCGAAGTTTACTTCTTTATCCGTACGTCTCTCCGTTTTATCTTTACAAATTTCGTTGCAGTTTTCTCAGCAATAAAAATGAATTGCTCATTGCAGATGATTGAAAATTTTAGAACAATCTTTGTTGAGGCATGACGATGGTGGGATTACGAGGGCTCTTCAATAAGTAATGTCCCCGGTGCTCGGAAAGAAACAAAAAACTTAGAGCTTTTCTAAGATTTAGTCTTAATGATTTCACTTAAATATTCTCTTTTAGTTATAACACGTGTGTAACATTTTTAGGCCTATCCAATTTCTGATTGTTTCTAGAACACATCTTTGAGTATGGCCCTTAAATTCGAATACAAGAATATTGCAATTCCTGTGATTTCCTGGACTTGTTTCTTCGATCTGTCTGAAACTGAGGTTTGTTTTCAAGTTTGGAAAATGAAATAAACAAGTCAAAGGGTAGAAGATCCGTCGAATATTGTTGGTATTTGTTTATACCACAAACTCATTTACTCTTCATGGCGTGTAGGTTCGGACGTTGTCATGAAGAGATTTAATGTTGTGGATTCTTGATTCTGCTTCCATCCTCTCATAAATCTTTCGATTTTGTTTGAAAAAAACTTTGCTTTCTAGAATTCTCCAGAAATTGAACTGCCACCCCGAATGACAATTTGAACAACAGGGCCACTAATATTTAAGAAAATGACATAAGGAACTGTTTTTGTACTTTTGCAATTCTTTGCTCTTCTCAGACCTTGGCTGTTTTTGTCACGTGTCTAACTGTAAATTTGTTTCGAGGGTCAAAAGCAATGGATTAAAGTTTCACTATCTGTTTGAATTTCAGACAAACATGGATAACTACAATTCTTGATTTTTAAAAATAATTGTTCAGATATTTTTACATGCTGTCGTTTTCACTCATTTTTTTTCAAAACATAGGGTGACCATTGTGTGCTAAGACTTTTTACTGTCAAATGTTTCTTTAAAACAGTGAAAACTACCCCCAAAATGATGCCTATCAATTTTGCTATGTGTCTTAAAATCAACCAAACATCATCAGCGATAATTTGTTGAATTTTGGTAAACAGTACATCGGTTGTTATAGGTCCTTGTCGCGCCAAGGACGGTACCCATTTTTGATGCCGAATATATCGGTTTTTGTTCATTGAAATCCAGGTCCTCGTGCGTCTATAAAACATACATTGGTTGTTGTAAATTTCATATATTTTAGTGAATATTTCTTTTGGATTCTTAACGAGTTTTACAATAACTTTAATGAAGTGTTTGATTTAACTCTGTTTTACTGAATCTTTACCATAAATTTAATGCAGTGTCTCGTTTAGCCCTTGTTTTCCAGCTTCTCACTATGAAAGTATGTGATAAAAAGTGGTCATCTAAACTGTTCTCAGTAAATTAGATTCAATCATGAGAGAGTCAAACTTAATGTCATATGATTTCTCTGTTGTATGTCATAGATCATGAGACATTATTTTTTGAACAGCCCTCGTAACTTTTTTTTCGAATTTGATGTCATTTTCCTGTTTATAGGTCTGTGCACCTGCCTGAACTGACTTGTCTATATCTATATGATAGTATATATATATAATCCAACAAAAAGTCTCAGTGGTCGGAATTAAATACTTAAAATTAAGAAATACATGTATATGGTAGTATATAATCACATCACAGCGGGGGTATTAGTAGTGAGCATTGGAAGTTTTCATCGGCTTAACAGCAGAAAGGTTACTTTCCACTTTTTATTCTAGGACTCTTTATCGACACCAAAGAGATGGCACTTATAGCTTTCTGGAAAGCCAAACCTGTCCTATATTCAGGTTGACCCATGACATTGTTTCTTCGTAATTAACAAGAGACCTATGGGCCACATTGCTAACCTGGGTACATTGGTTAGAGAAAACCAGAGATCGTTTTAGTACAATAAAAAAAGTTGAAACATGTAACACGTTCATTGCATAGTGAGGATTCAAATTTGTTCAAATCTTGACCCGTGGTTTGGCTGAGTTTACAATAAGGATAAAAAATTTACAGGAATGTATGGGAAAATCCCATAAAAGTCGTCTTCTCAAGAACAAAGCTGCAGTTTTGTTGTACTGATATGGAAGCATCCCCAGGTGGTGAAGATTCATGTTTATTTTCAAATCAAGGACCCTGGGAGTAAGTTGGGGGTCACCAAGGGGATGAACGTTTTACAGTAGAATAGGATATTAAAATAAATGGGAAAATCATGCTCAATCATGACCCTCTTGCTCTACCCTTCCCAAGACAAGTTTTATTTTAAAAGTTTTCAATAATGACTCTTTTTTCCCTGCAAAAGTACTCAGATAAGCGATGTTGCCCATGGGTCTCTTGTCATAATTATGCCCTCTTTACTCAAGAAGGGGAATATTAAGTATGTACATCATAACATGCAATTCATTGAGACAGGCAGACTCTTAAGAAACAAAAACAAGAGGCCCGGGGACCACATCGCTCACCTGAGTACTAAGGCCGAGAAAAAAGCAAAAATGAGTTTAGTAATTTTAAAAGTTTTAAATGCATGAGTGGTCCCATCCTACCCTCGGGGATCATAATTTGAACAAACTTGAATCTACATTACCAGAGGATGATTCAACATGAGTTTCATCTTTCCCATCGTCGCAAACCACGGGTTTCGAGTCCGCAAGCTTCCTCAAGTGATGATAGAGAGAATTGATGTGAATCACTCGTGGGTTACCGACGATGCATCTTTCCTAGCCCAGTGGTTCTTGAGAAGAAGAATTTTTAGAATGTTCCCTATATATTCCTATGTTAAACTTTCACCCACCATAATGGCCCCACCCTACCCCTGAGTCTCATAATTTGAACAAACTTGAATTTACACTAGCTACCAGAGGATGCTTCCACATGAGTTTCATCTTTCCTGGCCCAGTGGTTCTGGAGAAGAAGAATTTTAAGAATGTTCCCTATATATTCCTATGTTAAATTTTGATCCCCCATAATTGCCCCACCCTACCTTTGGAGGTCGACGTCATGATTTGAACAAACTTAAATCTTAACAAGAGATGTTTGTAAAACACTTATGCCCCCCTTCCCCCAAATTGGAATTTTTGAAAGTCCAAAAGGGCATACCTCTGTCAAAAATGGCGTGATTGTACTCAAAACAGAACTTGACCTAGATAGTCATCTGAAAAATCTGTATACTAAATTTAAATCATTTCAGTATGTGGAACCTCTGCGAAGAAAATGAACAGAATCTGCAATTTTTCTAAGTCCAAGGGGTATAACTCTGTCAAAAATGGTGCGACCATATCCAAAACAGAACTTGACCTAGATATTCATCTGAAAAATCTGTATACTAAATTTTATTTCAGTATGTGCAACCTCTGCGAAGAAAATGAACGGAATCTGCAAATAATTGGAATTTTTCTAAGTCCAAGCGGCATAACTCTGTCAAAAATGGCGCGACTGTTCCCAAAACAGAACTCGACCTAGATATTCATCTGATATATCTGTATACCAAATTTCATTTCAGAATGTGCAATGGTTGTGAAGAAAATGAATGGAAATGAAATGGACCGACAGACAGACAGCGGCAGAGCAATATGCCCTCCCTTCTTTGAAGGGGGCATAACTACCAGAGGTTGCTTCCACATGAGTTTCATCTTTCCTAGTCCAGCTGTTCTTGAGATGAAGAATTTTAAGGATTTTCCCTATGTATTCCTATGTTAAACTTTGACCCCCCTATAATGGCCCCACCCTACCCCTGGGGGTCATCATTTGAACAACCTTGAATTTACACTACCAGAGGATGCTTCTACATGAGTTTCATCTTTCCTGGCCCAGTGGTTCTTGAGAAGAAGAATTTTAAGGATTTTCCCTATGTATTTCTATGTTAAACTTTGACCCCCCCCATAATGCCCCCACCCTACCCCCGGGGGTCATGATTTGAACAAACTTGAATCTACACTACCAGAGGGTGCTTCCACATGAGTTTCATCTTTCCTGGCCCAGTGGTTCTGGAGAAGAAGATTTTTAAAAGATGCCATTAATTTTCAACTAATTCATAATTATTTCCCCTTAGAAGAGGGCATGGCCCTTCATTTGGACAAACTTCACCCAAGGATACTTTGTGGAAAGTTTGGTTGAAATTGGCTCAGTGGTTCTTTAGAAGAATTTTAAGATGAAAATGTGAAAAGTTTACAATGATGACAACAACAACAACAACAACGACAGACAAAGGACAAATTTTGACCAGAAAAGCTAGCTCACTTGAGCCTTCGGCTCAGGTGAGCTAAAAAGACAAAATTAAGATTCCTTGCACATGTTGGTTTATATCTTCATAATACAAGCAGAAGTACATCTTCTTACATATGTGCATTGTGCAAGTCTTTCAAAAATAAGGAAATTACTACAAGAAATGCATAATTATGTTAGTGTTCTTGATATTTCTTAGATTTACCAGCATGTTCTTCATCAGAATAAAAGTGTCTTTAAAATTGATATAATAACGGAAGTTTGTCATACACATACACAGGTTCTCATTTATCCTTTCATTCCTGGCTGAGCAGATTTTTTACACAGTCTTGCTAACAAAGCTGACATTTGTAACAGGGATTGAACACCTTCTGCAATTCTCATGTGGGTATACCCAATTTCTTTAATAAATTCAAGTTTCAGGAATTCTGGAATGTTTTGGTTTTTGCAGACTCTGAAGATAATAGTGATAATATCTTCTGCTGAGTATCCAAGCTTCCAGAGATGTGCCATAGTTTTGTAGGCTTCCTCCACATTTCCATTAACACAATGTTGTAGCATATCTTGTATCAGCATGGGATGGGGTTCATCACACACCTTGAAGACATTTTCACTGTTAACGTGTCCAAAGCCTTGAAATGTTGACTGTAAGTTGTTCAGAGCCTGTCGCATGTCTCCTTGTGCTGTAAACACAATGGCTTCTAAGCCATCATCAGTATAACTAACGGATTCTTCCTCACATACTTCCAAAAGTCTTTTCAACACTTGCGCATCAGTCAGCTTGGAGTAACGTAAAACAGCACATCGCGACTGTATGGGTTCTATGATTTTTTCAGAAGCATTGCAGGCCAGTGCAAATCGTGTGGTCTTAGAATAGATCTCCATCGTTCTCCTTAAAGCTTGCTGAGCACCATCTGTCATGCTATCTGCTTCATCCAGAATGATAATTTTGTGTCTTCCTTTGGGCAAAGTAACTTTCTGCTGAGCAAACATTTTGATTTTATTCCTCACAACATCAATGCCTCTGTCATTTGATGCATTCATTTCTAGAACAGCATCCCGGTAGGATGGCCCCAACATTGCTCGGGCTAGACATAAAATACTTGTGGTTTTTCCAGTTCCAGGAGGACCAGCAATGATTAAATTGGGGACATTTCCGTCGCGGGCAAAAACTTCCAGACGTCTGATGGTCTCTTCATTGCCTACTATATCATGAAGCTTGATCGGTCGATATTTTTCTACCCATGGCTGCTCATGTGCATGAACAGACTTCGTGGACATCTTTGAAGAACGTGGCATTTCATCAGTTTCCATTTCTTGATCGGCCATCTTTCCCGCGTGTTTAATCATGTCGGGTTCGGTAATCCGGGGGCTATTTTTGTACAGTACTTTCGTTTTAACCGAATTTAGAATTTTTGCGGAAATTCAATGCGTCTTTCCAATATTTTTTGGAAAATACCATTAATCAAGTCGGTGCTCTAACTAATCAGCTGATTTCTTTCTGTTTAAGACATCAGGAGAGATCCTGTTTATGAAAGTAAGTGAGAGATAAACCGGAGAAAATGATTGATGTGGATAAATTGAAAGATAATTATCATAAAAATTGAATTAATTCCTATGGACGATTCTGTTATTTTGTAATTTTGAAAAATTATAGTAAATTACTTTTTTTCAAACAGGATGACAGATCTAAGTCAACTAATAAAAGCTGTGTTTAAGAATGGAAGATGGGAAAACCCGGTGGAATTTGACTCTTGGAAGATGCCCAACAAACTGGAGTTTCTGAAGCTAAGAATGGTTGAAAAAGATAACAGTAATATTCCCACAGACCCCAAGGTGAGAGGAATTATCAGAATGTTGAGATGTGTTACGGTTTTCCAATAGTAGAAATAACTATGCTGGTAGTAACAGATTTATTGATGTCACATTGTCAACATATAAACAGCTAGGCTCTGAAATACATACGAATTTAACATAAAATAAACATACATGCACATTACAACACAAAACACACATCAAAGGGAAATAACTCAATTTCAAAATTGAACACAAATAATAGTCAATTAGTTTGAAATGAAATAGATATGAATTTAGATAGAATAGTAAAACTGAATCAATTTAGCTTTTCCCAATTATAATATAAAATCAATGTTGTATCAAATCAAACAAATTAATCAATATTTCTCAAATTCATCAGTGCAAAACAATTTGTTCACACAGAAAACACAATCAAACACCACAAACAAATTCAACTCACAAAACATTGATCGTACCAGATATATGGTATCAGAACCAGTTCTTTATAATTATGTATGTATTTACAGCTATGGCTAAGAAACTCCTTTTCTGTCAATGTCAGTACAGTCCAAAAACCTCTAACAACACTTGCAGTGTACAAAACAGATATCTAGGAATGAAAATCAAATACCCTAATATCACTATACCCTCTAAGACTTTTACCTTTGACACTGAAAATTTAACCAACCAGGAATAAAACCACTGAACCATGAACAACATACTACACTACCTATGGAAACCCATGAATGACTTAAATTAATAAATAACTTAGAATATGGAAACTTGTTTATGTAATCATTGAAATTTAAGTTCATAATAATTTATTTTATTTAAACAATACCAATAAAATAAATATAAATCTATACTATCACAAATGGATTCAGGCCTGTAGGAAGAAATTTCAGTTAGGGGAAGGAATGGGGGCGCAACGGTATATATTTTCAGAATTTTCAGTTGCCGAGTTGGGGGCTGCACTCTCAACTACCAAAAATTCCTTGGCAAGCAAAAAAAAAAAAAGTCATCAGACGTTTTTATTGAGGGGGCGTATAGTAGATATGTTTTTATAGTATGCTATAACACTATATATATATCGGTAAAATTGTGGGGGGGGTCCCCAGTTCCTACGGCCAGGACATTTGAATAACTTTGTATGTAGTTACTGGTTGTTCATTAGTTGACAGATGCTACTACTCCTCTCCAGTGTACCATGTGTACCCGATATAAAAAAACACAGAGTTTTAGAGTTCAAGAGCTTAAGGCCCTACTAACTTTTTTTGGAAATTTCTCAAATTTAACTCAATAAAATTGCCAGTCCCCGTCCCCCTTGTCAGAATCAAATGATTTCCCTGTAAATGCAAAGTGAAATAGTCATTATGAATGCTTGTATGTTACTTTTTTCTGTGTAAAAGATTTTATTAATCATGTTAATATCAGACTGAATTTAACTAAGATGTTTTATACTTGTTTGAAGGAGCTGGACAAAACCTTGCCTGTTTTGCCTGTGGATTTTGTAAAGCTAAAAAATCCTGACCCAGACAGTATACAAGTCCTCTGGATTGGTCATGCAACAGTGTTTGTGCAAATGGAAGGGATTAACATCCTTTGTGATCCAATATTCAGTGAACGCTGTAGTCCCACATTCAAAGTTGCTGGAGTAGAACTGTTGAAGCACTTTGGTTACAAACGGTACCGACCAGTTCCATGTAAAATCAAAGAGCTCCCGCCAGTGGATGTGGTCTTAATTAGTCATGACCATTACGATCATCTGGACACAGAGTCTATCATGGAGATCAAAGAAAACTTTCCCAAGGCTAAATATTATGTACCCATGGGTCTGAAGGAGTGGTTTATAAACTGTGGCTGTCAAGACGTGAATGTGGAGGAGAGAGATTGGTGGGGGGAGATACAACATCAGGTATCTGACAAGCCAAGCCCCAGGGTAACATTTGCCTGTACCCCCGCCCAACACTGGTGTACCAGGACGGGGATTGATCAAAATAAGGTATTACTTCATGGACCTTAAAAGCACACTTTTTTAAAATTTAAGTTACCCAAGGTTTCCAAGTTGGAGATCTCTGTTTAATAATCTGACAATTATTTGTCAATTTGATCTTAAATTGTCTTACAGAGACTCTGGTGCAGCTGGGTTGTGAAGGGAGAGAGCCACTCTTTCTACTTTGGTGGTGATACTGGCTATAACAAGACAGCCTTTCAGCAGATTGGGAGAAAATACGGCCCCTTCTCCCTGAGTGTGCTGCCAATCGGAGCATATGAACCAAGGTAAGAAATACTGGTATACCACACTCTTGATAGTGCTACAGTCATTTTATCCCTACCTACACATTTTATTCACATGCACATGTTAGGAATATTCTATTTTAAAGTCAAGGGAATGAAAATATCAAAATCATTGCTATTGTATTAATTAGGGATGTCAACGAATATTCGAATATTCGAATATTCATTCGAAGAGTTGATATTCGAATATTAATTCATGATTCAAATATTCGTTTTTAAGTATACAAGCATTAATAAGAGAGAAAAACCTGGCAAGTTTTATTAGAAATTGAATCAAGGTTGTGCAAAATTAAAAAAAAAAAACACTCCTCTTGGATTACCTTGAAGGTGTGAAGAGTGTTTCAGAGTAATTTATTTATTTGTTCACTTAATTAGAATAGTGGTATAATAGTACCTCCAATACCTACAATCAGCTTGTATTGTTGTAAGGACACAGTTTTACAGTAAACACACGGACTCTCTGTTTATGTAAATACAGTTAAAATCATTAACAGGAAATTATAATTAGCAAAAGGTAATTGCTTTTAATATTTCACCGTTAGATACATGTAATTGTTCTGCTTTGTATAAGTTTGTAGGAGTTATCGGTGTATACTTTAGTAAGACGATCAAATAATCTGGAACATACTAATTAAAGAATCTTTGAATTTTCAAAAAACAATCATTGCATTTTGGATATAAATTATATAATATTCAATTATTAAAAAAAAAATAAATGCAGCGCATTTACCGAGCTCTACACGAGTTTTTATTCCAAAATAGTGCCACAAAACCTATACTACTTGACAGGAGAGTGAAGATACATATGCAAGATGTAGTAATTTTATCGAATATTCGAATATATTCGAATACTTCTATCGAATATTCGAATATCAATTATTGACAATTTTGACATCCCTAGTATTAATGCATTCACTGTAAGCGTGTTTTACTGTACCTATCTTGTGGGAAGTTAGGGGTTGTAAATATTTTGTTGATCTATAGTAACAATTTTTTTAATCATTTAAATTACAGATGGTATATGCATCCCCAGCATGTGAGTCCTGAACAGTCTGTAGATATCCACAAAGAAATCAACTCCAAGTTCTCCCTGGGCGTTCACTGGGGCACGTTTAAACAGATGGGATGTTACGAGGTAATGTATGCTTAGTATAGGATCGGGAAGTTACAGTCTTATCTTACTGATGAGGCATATTGTTGTCAGATATTTTTAAGGGGTGATGTAGATACATATATTGATAATGTAACATTTGAAATTTAATTGACAGTAAACCAAAATTTTAAAATAAAACAAATTAAGGGGAAAGACACATAGAAATGAATGTAGAAATTATTAAAGGCCTGTACATACACTGTAAATGTACAAAATACGAGGGTTGTTCGAAAAGTTCGAAGATAGATGTGATAAAATTAATACTATGAAATTTATGCTTACAAAAGAGCTAAGTTCACTTTATGCATCAAATGGCCCTGTACTTATATCAATTTATAACCTATCACCCTCTTTCCCATTTCATATATCAAAATAAAGTAGACACTTGATGCTTTCATTTCCTATATTAAAATTTCTTTTTGAGAATCCAGATATTGGAAAACAGGCTTTGAGAAATTGCAATGTTCTTGAAATTTGCAGAAAACATGCCTACTTGACTACCTTCAGCAAAGAATTAAAATATGAGCACAGCCCACGATCCAAAAAATAAAACATATTTTCTGATCTTCAGAAACATCTTTCATTATGTATTTGCATACCGGTATTTTGGATCAGAGGTTGTGCTCTATATTAAATATTGAAAACATACTTCAACTTTAGGCCATTTTCAAAGGAATTTACGGGATATTGGGAAAATTACGCATCTTATGACGTCATAATGCATTGACTAGAGGGAAAATTAGGTCATGATAAATAGATACGTGGTCACCAACACTCCAAGTGATAAATACTGCATTTGCAACCTAAATTGAGCGGTTTTGATTTTTCAGAAATTCTTAGGGCCAAATAATGCCCAAAGTGGCTCTACCTCTTTTTAAGGAACATAAAACAACAAAAGTTAGAAAAATGTTGAAAATTTTAGCTTTATACCTTAAATATTTTCCAAATTATCATATATTTGTTCACCCGGCGCAGTCACCATTCGTTGTTGACGTCATTGTTTCTCAATGTCCACATTCTCTACCTCACTTATCTTGATGAGATTCCTTGGAGATAAGTAAAGATTCAAACTCGTCTTGTTTAATAATTTTAAAATGTCATGAATAGCTGATTTCAATGCATATGATATTGTAAGTAGATCTATACATGATGAAAGATTCTAACTTAAGGGGGCCGACTATAGTTTTATTGTGTGAAAACTACAATAGTGAAACTCTTCATTTTTATACCATATATAACTTACATTATCTTCAGTGTACATGCAAAGTTTGGGGGAAATCTGCCGTCCAGGTATTTTTGAGGGACCGTCTCAAAATACAGGTACATTTACTATAGGATTATATAGGGAAATGCCAATTTTTAGCACTTTAAAGCAAATTATACAAATACAGTACAATAGACATTTTGTTCAAAATTGTCTATAACATAAAAATTTGATGAAAAATCGTAATACTATATCTGTTATACAATATATGTACTACAATAGACATTTTGTTCAAACTATAATATTTGATGAGTAATACTATGTTATACAATATATGCAAGAAATACAAAATTCTACCGTCTTGTTACCAGAGGGGGCATCTCAAAATGCAAAAAATTAGCAAATTTTACTCTTTTTATAGAGTACTACAAAATATGACGTATACACAATGGATTCACATGATAACATAATAAAATTATTGGAGATATTCTCAAATTTTTATGTTTTAAATTTCAAGAGCGTATGTTTTTTTACTTTTTCTTTAATAATATTTTATTACCCCTTTCTTTAAGAGGTACAGAATATCATAACGTCAAAAACACACTGAAACGACGTCAACCTACCTATCAGTAGCAAAATCTGTTTAAAAAATCAGTTATATCAAATTTTGTTACATTTTCATACCTATAATTTCTTAATTTTGTTTAATTATAATAATTAAGCGAAAAGGGTTCCATTAAAACAGCAAATACGCTACATTTTACTATGATGCACGAAATATTGCGCAATGAAAGCTATAGTCGGCCCCCTTAATTATAACTGTACAGCATATTTGCTTGTTGGCGTTCCACATCTATCACACGTGATCGTCACTTTTCTACGTGACAAACTTTGAACACCCTTACTACAATTTGACATTAACTTTTACATTTCTCGTCTCTCTAATCTTTTTCGGTATTTAAAAACAAGTACATGTACTAAGAATGCATTTTATTTTTCAATGGCCAATTTAAATATTTCCTAGGTCTATGCCAGTTTTTCAGGGGGTGAAACTTTATAGCATGTTAGAGAAAGATACCCACCCGTCTCTTTCTGACGTCATTACAACTCATAAATTGTTTGGACATTTCATATTAAATTTATTATGAAATTTCATGGAACTTACAGAATGGGGCTAAGTTGCAAATTTTACAGTATGATATTGTAATACTGCATGAGTGAATTAACGGCATTTTTGGAGGACAAATGCTCATATTAAAAAAAAAAGTGTTTTTTCTAGTTACACTTAGGTTTAAAAAAACGTAATCTTCGAAGTTGCGCCGCCTGGACAATAAACCATTGCTTTAGAAAACATCAACAATTTATTAATAAAGATAATTAATGATGTTTAGTTTATTATATAAATAAAAAAAGATGATGCTAATTAAACATTAAAAAATTCATTGATGTATCTTAAGCGGTTTTAATTTTATGGTGCTTATTCACGAACTTTTCGAACAACCCTCATTGAGAAATAGGAAACCAGGAGAAGAAAATACTATGCCGATGAAAGTGATCATGGTGATAGTTGAAAGTTTGATTACATAAACATGGTTGTAAGAAATGAAATGCACTCTTCTGTATTATTTTAAATATAAAATTGACTCTAAAATTCCATTTATTTTCAGTACTATCTGGAACCACCTACATTAGTGGCAAAACGTTTGAAGGAACTAAATCTACCAGAGAACAGCTTTAGGACCATAAAACATGGAGAAATTTGGAGCATTTCAAAACAGGATGTGAATCCTTTGTGATATTGCCCTGAATCATGAGATTTCAGATTATTTCCAAGTTCTACTCCGATATGACTGAAAAAGATTGTGATATTTTAAATAAGAATTAATTAATCTATCAGTATATTGTCAAATTAGAACATTGAAGAATTTTGTACACTAAGGACTTAAAATTTCCTGTCAATGTCTCGTTCTTTGTTAGTAATTTATTACATTTTCAACAATGAAATACAGTAATTTATTCATGGGAAAAAGAAGATTTATATTTTTCACATTATGAAAAAATATCAAAAGTGCAGCAAAACTTCTTGGTATTCATTTTACTTGTAAGACATGACTTGTAAACAAGTTTTGTCACATAAAATGAATCCTGTTCCACTATAAGAGTAAATTCCATATCCAACTACAAAACATGCATTATCTATGTGTATTGAGCGAGCAATGTCTTTTCATTTTCATGCATTCCTATGTATAAAATGTGTTATGGGTACTTTATGAAGTAGTACAATGTATTAGAGTTTTTTTTTTTTAAATAAATTTGTTATGGCAAAATATTAAAAGATTACATACATGTACCTTGTACATCATGTATCTCTGTGCATAATGTTTATTTTATACAGCTATGCAATAAACTTTTTTAGGTGAATCGTATTGAACTTTGAACAATTCTGGATTATTTATAAGTTTGAATGAACAATTTTTTAAATGCATATACGATACATATTCGTGTACTGGTACATATTTTAGGGGAATACTTGTACCTCATAATTAGAATCAGTACTAGAATATACCAGATAACTGTATACATATAATTATGGGGAAAAAAGGAAACATTATGCTAGGTATTTGGTCATATTTATCTTTTACCAAGGTATCTTGAAAAGCTGTGAGCTGTATGTAATTTCATTTCAAATGCCCCAATAAACAAACTTCTTTTTCCCTGAAAGTCAATGAAAATATAAAGATAGAAGTTAATTGATAGTGAAAATAAGCATTTATTGTTATTGGAAGTAATTAATAAGAAATAAAATATAAAAAATAAACAGTATAAATCAATCACAGAATTATAGGCCACTAATTTGCTGAAAACAGCTTTTGTAAAGGGATTGGTGCCACAAAACAACAAAGTTTGCCCAAGTTAGGACAAAGTGCCCAACAAAATAAAAAATAAAATCTGGACAGAGGCTGTTTACTACGATTAACTCAGTGCAGATATGTCTTCATAAAATAAATATAAATTTTATCTTTAATCTTGAATATAACTGAGACTATTCATGTTGAAATGAATATTTAAAACCGGAACATCTCACATTACGGCTGAAAATGATAATAATATATAAATATATGTACATCCTTTCATAAAACACACACAATACTGACATGTTAATACAGTTAATACAATTATGTAACAAGACACTTCAAATAAACACAGGTTATTATAACAAATGTTTTTTTCTCTCCAAGATTTACAATGTATAAACCACTGACAGCAAGTAAATGCCTGTAAATGCTAAATTTCCAATTCTTAACTACAAATCTAACTTTTTTTTATAAGGAACATACTGCATTTTCTTATGAACTTAATGTCAATTCATATGTAGATATATATTGATGTAAAGTCTAGTTTTAAAATCCAATTCAACAACAATCCAAGAAATGTTCAAATAGTATTGGATTTCACACCTACTCTTGGAAATTGCAGTATAATAGTATTTGAAGTGACCAACTTATACAGTAAAAATGGTATTCATAACTTATAACAAAAACATCACAAATAGTAGCCACAGTGTCACAACATTAAGTACATGAAATATATGGATATAAATAACACCACATTAACAGTATGATTTGGGACTTTATCAACTACCAGCAGTATAGACCACTAAGGATATCACCACTCTGAAGTGACATGACATTGTTCCTTTATATAATACTCTATATATGTATACATGTTAAAATTGTCAGCAGTTTTCCACCGATTTGTGATGAAAATATCATACGTGGAGATATTTATCACCAACCTTTTGAATGAAATTCACGCAACACTTTTTAATCAGTTTCACTTCCATACATTGTTCTGTCAATCATGCATTCTGATAAAAACCCACACATATAAAAAATTACTATATGTGTCTGTTTCAAATACACCCAAAATGACTTGAATTATCAGCATTAATAACTTGTTTTCATGCACAAATTAATAATATAAATGTAATTTTTTAAAACTACATGTACGTACTAATTTAAAACTAATATACAAAAATATATATATTTTAATACTTCAAATAAATATAATACGGACATTTATCACAGATCAAAAAAATAGAGGAATCTATTAATATGTAAACATTCATGAAGGCACCTTTAAGTTCAGCAGAAATAACAAAATTCATGTAAGTTTTATACACTTTTGGACTTCAATGATTGTATCAAAACTTGTAAACAATCAGCAGTATTTCTTACCAAATAAAAGTCAATATTTTTACTGGAAATGACATAAACTAGAGATATAGATAACAGAAATATAATTTTTTCTTCTGTACCATTTCTCATTAACTGACTAATGCCTCCTTGGCCTTGAAAGACTTTGTGATTCCCGAGTTCAGATCTGCACGTACACCTGTTGGAGAAGCGGTCAGTTTCTGGTCAGTTGACTGTAGCCTTTGTGCTATTACTGTGGACACGGCTATATTGGGGTTCTCTACAGGAGGGAGGCTTGATTTACTGACCGGCTCAATCCCTTCGTACGGGCCAAATTTACTGACGTCATCAGGGATCCAGAAGAGATGGTTGTCTCTCTCTGAGTCCTGTAGGGGGACGATAGTCCGTCTGTACAGCTTAGTCCTCTCCGTGTGAATAGCACTGTAAATAGGGTAGGGGTGTAATTTATTTTAAAAACTTTAACACTTAATACATGTATAATAATTTATAGGTTGACTTGTCTATTTTAAACATTGCTAGGATATGTTTTTTTCTTTAAGTACATGTAGAACATTAACAAATTTTTTTCCCTTTGATTATAAACCATAACAATGGTTCTTTGAAGGGAAAGTTTCTGTGCATCTTGAAAACGAAAAAAATATAAATAAAACTTATTTTCTTAATTTCTTTAAAACATTGCATTCACTTGGAAGACTTAATACAGATTAGTTTTTTCATTAACACTTACTTGAAGTCTGCGCCTTTGGTCTCCCTGAACTGCCTGTGTTGGTAGTCATACACAGGGATCTTGTTTCTCTCTAGATTCCAGCTGTGATCCTCGTAAGGTCCGGGTTTGAAGCCGTTAGTTTTCTCCACGCCTTCGTTCTCTACCGCGGGTAATAACGGCAGACCGGCCTCCCGCGCGGCGGTATCCACGCTGGGGTTTACCACCACACCTAGAGGAGGCACCTCCTTCAGGGCCAGACCTTGTCTTCTGAGGGAGAATTTGACTGGTTTATCTTTCAGCAGACCTTTTAACTTGTCGATCTGGTTCTGAGATTTTCTTGATCGCTCTTGTAGCTCGGTCTCAATCAGACATCGGTGGACGTACTGCCGCGTGTCATCCACCACAACCTTTGACCTCCAGACTTCCATGTCTTTCTTCAGGGCCGCTAGTTTCTCCTCCTTGAGCTTCTGTCCAGCCAGGTGAATGGTAACAGGTTCCCTGATGAAGCATGACTGTGGGCGCCTATACAGCTCCATGTCGTAATGTCTGTGTAACCATGGAAACTTGTCACGGTCTAGTGGAGGTTGAAGCATGCCCACATGTAGAATGTTTTCCCTCCATAACTGATCATAAAGGGACATAAAAATAAAACATTAATTTTTTTCAAAACTTTTCCTGAAAATTTATCTAAAACTTTGTTTTTCTATTGGTCTACAAAAATAATTTGCATCATAAAACACCCCTTACAAAAGCCAGAATAAAATTTTTCATAGTCTTTCATAAAAACTTTTTCTTTCTGAAGTGTGGAGCTTCTAATGAAGAACAATATCCCTAGGTCCCCTGACACATATATGTCCCTACCTCGTGTAGTTCCTCTATCCTTGCTGTGTCGGGTCTCCTGGGATGTTCGTTACACTCCAGTGTGGATTTCATTCCGGGATAAATCCACCCTGACTCGGTCTTCCACCTGGCACGAGACTCCTCCTTCTCGGCTTTTTTGAGTGCCTCCACATTGACGGGTACCACCGTCATGGAGTGATGGAACTCCTGGCAGTAGGTAAATCTAGTGTCCGGCTCCTGTCAGTAAAGTACAGGTGAGTTATATCAGGTATTACAGTTTTATTGTGAATTAAATCTTCATATGAACATTTCTGCTTACAAATGAAAGTCAGTTATTTAAGTAATTTTTTTTTCAAATGTTATTGAAGATCACCTTTACACAAATCTAGGAAAGCTAAATTAGATCCTTTTTAAACTGCCCAATAAATTAAATTGTCAATGAGTTTTCATAGTAATGTAGAATGAATAAACAAACAAAAAAAATGAGACATTGGAGTATATACAAAGATTTCACCAATAATTAATGTGTGTGTGTACCTCTGCTAGCATCTGTCGTAGTTTCTCCTTGGCGAGTTCTGTGGAGTTCAGGGAGTGGGAGCTGTAATTATGAGCCACTTTAACGTCGGCCCGTATGGTGGGGACTTTTGTTCTCTCTCGCTCCTCCTTATTCTTATCACTAATTACCTTCACATCATCCTGATAGAAAAACATTTGTCAATTAAAGAAGATTAATCTGCTATATCTTCAGTGGTAAGATAGTGTATTTCTGCAAAGCTCCAGGGTAATATTATATTATATTTTCTTGTTATTAAACATAAAACATTTAAATGATATGGTCCAGATTTCTCTCAGTTAGATCAAGTGTGCATATATGGAAGTAATTCCTTAATTTGAAAGGAAAACTTTTTTTTTTACCAAAAATTCCAAATGATATTATTTAATCCCTTAAAACCCTTTAAATTTTTGCCCATAGCTATTAATAGTACCTTGTTTTCTTTAATGAAGTTGACCCTTTGTTGTCGGCCTGTTATGGCCTCCATGTACTGAGGGTTGAAGTTATCTATGGGGGTCCACATACGACTCGTCTCACGCACCAGCTCCTCTGGCTGCTCCTCTCTCTCCTCAATAACTACTTCTGTTGGCTTCTTCAACTGTAGCTCTGTTAGAAAATAAATGTACACTCTTCAGTAGTAGAAGATACTTTCATATATTTACATTCACCGTGTTTTTCTAGCAAGCCAACTGTAAAATTTTCGTGTATACTCACGCGTAGAAATATACACAAAGAAACGTGCGCTAACTTGACTTCACAATAAGGCTACGGAAACGTTAGAAAAATGCAACAAAATAGGGCAGCAAAAAATTCAAATACTGTAGATCACTAAATTTTCGCGACACCTTATTTTCGCGAGATAGTCATTGACTCTTGATTAGCGAGACAAAATTTTCGCGAACTGTGGTCATTGCTCTATATGTTCTTAAGGAACACTTTTATACGCGAGAATTAAATTTTCGCGAGTACACTGTCTCGCGTAATTACGCGAAAATAAAGCTCTCGCGGATAAAAAGTGATTTACAGTATTGAATAAATTTTTTATGCTTTAAGACATTGAAAATGTTAATATAAGGAATGTTTTTAAGTTTAGTGTGAATTATTAGTGTGTTAATTACACATCAGCATTTTTTTTTTCCTTATATAACTGGTACCGATAAACGGCACCGTTCCCAATGCCAAAAAACGTTAATTTTTCCCAATTCTGTGACTGAAAATTCCCAATTCAACTGTGATGCAACAGACTTTGTCAACATCGTGATTCTTGTTAAATGAAACATTGTACAAGTTGACTAATTGATCACTTCCGCTTAAATCGAAAGTAGAGAAAGTCGTAATTTGGCGGGACATGTGGGTTAGACAGCGTAGTGTCATACATTTTGACAAATTGAAAGCATGAAAATGTCAAAGCATGGGACGTTGATATAAAAAACAATAAGTACTTGTGGCTTATTCTTTAAAACAAGGAGTAATAGGTAATTAATTTTAAATAAACGCGAAATACATTGCATTTGCATAAATGAGAGAAAATTCGCCTGTTTTTCTTCGATGTTACTTTTCCCAATTGAACCGGTATCGGACCCATTCCCAATTGGTTAAAAAAAATCGCTGCACATACTTGCACGTAGGCACACTGACCTTAAGGAAACAATGTTTTGTGTCATTTTACTGGTATACTGTATACAGGGAAATTTTCGCCCTGTTTTATTTTCGCTCCTTTCGCCTACTCTTATTCGGGCGAATTTAAAACGGGTTGAATTCAAAGAATACAGTATAATTTCTTAAACAAAACTATGACTGGGCGAATTTAAAACAGTATTAAATTTCTTAAAGATAGCAAGATAATGGATTTATATTTATATTGATTTTTTTTATCTACTCACCATCAAAGTCCTCCTGAGTTATGGGAACTCCAAACTCACGACTCATTGAGATCACCATGTCAGCCAGAGGGAACAGTGAATTTCTTATTACATCCTTCATCACATTGGAGTTTACAATCTATACAAAATGAGAAAGTTAGATATCTCATTTAATATTTAAAATTACAGTTTACTGTAATATCATTCATGAATGTAGGATCTCCCATGGTTTGTAGTTTATCCAACACACATGTTTTTAAAGTGTGACAAGAGGGTGTACCTGGTGGAGGTTGAGGAGCCCCTGGAAGCAGGGTTTAGGGACCATGTCTCTGACATACAACAGAGGCTGCTGTACAATCTGACCCAGGGGCTCGTGTAGCTTGACCCGACACAGGTCCACATCCAGAGGACCGTACAGACGCTCACTGAAGCTCAGGTCTGAGTTATACAACACACGCACATCTGTAAAGAAATGTTCAATCAGTTAATTAACCATCTGAAATTTGTAATGCTAATGATAAAACTGATCGATATTTGTATTTTAAACCTAAATTTTTTTGTATTTAACATATAACTACACATAGTATATATCAGTTCAGGTACATACAAGTACATGCATATCAGTGCACATTTTAAAATTTCGAGGGTAACTTCTTTTGTGATTACATGTGTAAGTTAATCGTGGGGCAACTTGAATACAGTATTCTCCCCCAGGGCTCGACATTAACTTTTTTTTCCTACTTGTCCATTCAGACAAGTGACCAAGATATTTACTTGTCCGAATTTCAACCTCACTTGTCCGAAAATTTCTCAATGAACGTCTTGTTATGTCAACTTAAAAAGAATTAAAAAATTAAATGTGCTTGATTTATTACTGTTGTTATTGATAAATAAGACAAACACATATAAAACAAAATTTTATCTAGACTTCCTGTCCTGACAACAGCCTAAATGTTCGCAAGTGAATCTGTAATATCAATCAAATATATTCCAAACTCGCAAACGTCATAAGATCCACGCCATGCAATAGTATGGCTGCACTTGGTGAACATCGATCCCGATCAAGTGTGAACTTCCATAGCGATTGATATCGGGATCGAAATTCAGGTTTATGTACTGCTTCCGTTTTTACTCGATAAACTTTCCAATAGTTGTTTTTTTATTTTATGATTATTATTATTTGAAAACAAAAAAATCACTTGTCCAGGTCCCAGCAATATTCACTTGTCTGTAATTTTTTTTCATTGGTATCGGACAAGCGGACAAGCGTTAATGTCGAGCCCTGCTCCCCTCTAACCCTTCTCTTACCTGAGTTTTCTGGGCCAGTGACATTCTCCCACACATACTCAATGGCTTTGTCCCTAAGGCCCTCCAAAACAAACACATGTTTATCCCCATCCATCACCTGGAACCCAGTGATTATGTCCAAATCACGGCTCCTCTGCTGCTCCCTAAAAACAAAACAAAACATTACAGGACAGCAACATGTTTTTTGTTTGGGGGGGGGGATCCGGTAAGCCCCTTTTCCATGAAAATGAAAGAAACCACAGTATGCCTCCATTATACTCACAGTGATAGTTTGTAGGTTGACAGAGCAGCACTGATGACGTGGGGTGGCATGTTGTCCAGCTCTAACGCCTTGGCATTTATTTCAGTGACTAGAGTTTCCAGTAGGTTTAAGATTGTGGTGTTCTTGTAACCAAAGATGTAGATAATTCTACCAAAGGGGCACTGAAAAACAAGAGAAATATGATCAATTTAACTGGATCAAGTGATTTATTTCATATAAGTAAGCCACTAGTTTTATGCAAATAATGTGTTGTACAAGTACCTGTGGGGTGCTAGACAGGGGTTCCTTGGCTGCGACCTCCTCTGGAGTTGTTAGTGGGTGGGCTAGTTCTACTTTCAATTTTAACATGGAATTTGATTGTACATAATGCCCCGCATTAAAAGGCCTGTCCACTAAAAAATAAAAAGCATGCAAAAATGACACAACATTCATCAAACAAACAAATGCCTTCCTTTCTCAAAAAATTTCTTTAGAACTGTTTGGACATCCATATAATTTTAAATAAAGTAATAATAATTCCTATAGTTCACTACACTGAAAATTGAGGAGGATGATCGACCCTTAAGTGTGTTACTATCAATCAACATTGTTGACCTTGACCTATCATTTCTTGGACATGAATATTTTCAATTGTATAATCAATTAAATTAAAATTAAACCTTTCTTTTTTCTTTTCATTTACCTAATTGTCAAGAAAGGTATATTTTTAATTATGATTATCAAGTTGTTTAAGCAAAAAGTACAAGTACTTAAAGCTACTCCTGACATATTCACTAACGAATTAACAGACCAAAAAAAATTAAGTGCCAGGACACCCACATCCTGATACAAAACTTCATTAAATATCGCAATAAGAACATACCTGGCCCGTCTACCGCACCCATGACCCCCACTGACCGTCCGTCCTCCCTCTCCTCCGAGGGGAACACGTCAGGGATGGGGCAGTTCTGTATGGGGACGGTCAGGTGGAGGTACTGGTGTCCCAGGAGGAGCTCGGACAGGTCCACTCTAGCCACTCCGTAGGGATCCCAGGGTTTGTTACGTCCCTTGAATGGATTATGCACAGTTCTCCTACCTGAAGCAAAACACGAATGCTCCATGACCTCTATATATACTTAATCTTAGTAAAGAGGTAGAGCCACTTTGGGCCATATTTGGCCCTGAGAATTTCTGAAAATTCAAAACAGCTCAGTTTAGGTTGCAAATGCAGTATTTATCACTTGGACTGTTGGTGACCACGTATCTCTTAATTGTGATGTAATTTCACATCTAGTCAATGCATTATGACGTCATAAAATGCGTCATTTTCCTCATATCCTGTAAATTCCTTTGAAAATGACCTAAAGTTGAAGCATTTTTTCAATATTTCATATAGAGCACAACCTCTGATCCAAAATATGCCAATAAATAATGAAAGGCCTATTTCTGAAGATCAAAAAACATGTTTTATTTTTTGGATCGTGGGCTGTGCTCATATTTTAATTCTTTGCTCAAGGTAGTCAAATAAGCATATTTTCTGCAAATTTCAAGAACATTGCAATTTCTCAAAGCCTGTTTTCAAATATTTAGATTCTCAAAACGAAATTTCATTACAGAACATGAAAGCACCAAGTGTCTACTTTATTTTGATATATGAAAATGGAAAGAGGGTGATAGTTAATTAATTGATATAAGTACAGGGCCATTTTATGCATAAGATGGCTCTTGCTCTTTGATTACAGTACATTTTTCAAGAAATTGCTGTATATATTTCCTTCTATGAAGAGTTTTTCCAAACCTTTTCCAACTTTTCCAGGAAGTGAAACATTTGTACTTGAACACATGTTATCTAGTATGTGTATCAAACTTTGCATATAGTCTTCAATCAATAATATAACTTTTGTAATTCAGATTTAATAAGAACTTACTTGCGACTGTTCCTACATTACTGATTTTTTCATCCTCTAGATCGTCACCAAACAGGGTAGGTTTGAGTTTGACCCCCTCTGGTTTACGATCCCTGTCATGTACCTCTATTTCCATAGGAGGACCGTTCAGATACTGACGAAGCTCCGAGTTTTCTTGGGTCCCTGTAATATTCAGAATGAGAATACTCCTATCATCCTACAGGTTGAGTGCTAAATAATGTGTCATCATTGTTGATAATGATTTCATTGATACAATGTTTGTTGCTATTCTTGCTACTGTCTTGCTAAAATAACTAAAAATTTGACATGCATAAAACACTTTTACATTGTGTAGCACCAAAATTATTAATATTGAGTTCCTTTCATTAGACACAAATCAGACACTTCTTTACCTAGTAACACAACATTGAGGTCATCCCAGTAGACGTTCTCTTTCTGCTCCCTTCCCACGCTGCAATGCTCTGGCTGATTATGGAATTGATATCGACAAAACACTGGCTGACATCTTTCAATAGAAAGTTGCAGTTGACAGAGATTAATAAACTAGCAATAAACACACAGAAAAGTTCTCTGTCTATTATAGAAAATTATTTCATATAAAGGGATAAAAGCTAAATTCTTAAAGAATTCCAGGAAATAAACCTTCTAAAAATATTTTTGACTAAAATTTAAATTAAATATCTTCAAATGTCCTAGGAAAATAAACCTTCTAAAAAGTTTGTTCTAGTCAAAGTCTTTAACTTGTTGAAACTTAAAGAATGGTTGGACTTAAAGCCCTATTTTGGATCTTTTTGAGACTACTCTAACAAGTTGAAAATAAAGTGAATCCAAAATATATTACAACCACTAGAAAGAGTGACGTACGTATGTACATGGTTATCTTAGCTAGAACATATGTACAAAAGCAATGCCTTATTGCCATGAATCAAAATTGAAACAACGATACATTAGTGTCGTCTTCCGGAATTTGACATGTACCCGGAGTGGTTTTAGGTCGCGCTATCAATATTAATAGGAGGCGGGGCTATCGATCGGTGTCATTGTTGACATTTCTCTCTCTCTCCATCTCTCTCTCTAGAAATTCGAATACGTGTTTGGAATATTACAGCGATGTCATTATGATTTTTTGTAAATGTGAGGACACGCAAAATTAAAACAACATTTAATGTGCTAAATTCTGAAAACGGCACCAAACATAGTGATTTACATCTAGGTCAGGTTGAAGAATACAATGTAACTGTTTCCACGAGTACACTCGCAGGTGGACATCACGTGATGAATTGTAATATTTAACAGGTCAATCGAAGTCGTAACAATGGAAGAGAGAAGTTTGTTTTGAACATGTTTTTTGTTAAATTAAGTGTGAACGCACATTTGTCGGCTCTTCTCCTTTTAATATGACATTATTTTGTTCAATATACAAATACGGTTTTCATAAGAACAGCCGACAAACATGCGCTGACTATGTACTCAGACGATGAAAAATGCGTGACCCTGATTATCTACTGATATTCAACAAATCTTCAGGCACCATGCCTTTGATATTTATTTAGTTTACCTTGAAAAGAGCATTTTAAATTCACATCCGTACCATTAATAATACACAGTTAAGATATCGGGGGTTTATATGATGGAAAAAAATTAACATTTTATGGAACTTAAATTTGCAGCATTGTTTCTGGCTAGTTAAGTCCACCCATTCTTTGAAAAAAAGTGGATATTCTCTTTCTAATGAAAGTTGCTTTATATAAAAGGGAAAACAGTTGAACAGAAAAGAACACAGACACAGATTTATAGAAGAAAGATGAGAAGAAAGACTTACTTTTCGTTTAGTTCAGCATATGTCATTGGAGAATTTGGCAGGTTTGTAGCATTCTTTATCGTAATGATCATTGGATTCAGTTCTTTCTTCTGTTGTTCAGACATCAGAGGAACGTCCAGCTTGAGTTGTAGAAACATGTCCTCTATCCCTGGTACTGGTGATTTTAGCCGATTAGTAACATTCTTCATACCTGTAAAACCAAAGAAAGAATTGGAGACTTTTATCACTTTTTTTTAGGAAAGGGTGGAAATATTTGCCTAATATCAATGAGCCTAGATCTTAAGCCTACTTAAGTGTATGTTATTGAATGGGTATTTCTGTTATTCAAATGTGATTCTTCTCTGTTTCAATTTTACCTGAGAAGAACATGGCCATGCGTATAGGCACCATACAGATGCCAAACTTCCTGATCTGTTCTGCGGCCTGCTGGGCTGCTAATTCCTGTTTCTTGTTTCTGCGAGGCGGTTTAACTGTGGCAGAGGGAAGCTTCTTCACTGATCCTGCCAATACATAATCAATTCATTAATAAAGGTCTTTCTTATTTAATAAAAAACATAGGTAATCAGAGATTACAGAGCTCACCTCAACGAATGTTGTCTTTAAGTAAGGCAAAGTCACACAATTAACCAACAAAAAGTGTACATTCCAGAAATGAAAATATTTAAGCAATTTTGATCGAATACATCGAAATAGACCTACATAAAAAATTTAAACTAGTTGTTCATGAAAATGTAATTAAAATTAAGCATTTGAAGCAAATTTGAGAGTTTTCATCTCCTGATGCAACATTTGTGCAAGTTTAGTTTGGTTTATACAATGTTATATAAGTCTTCAAGTTTTTTGGTAATTGACCTGCACCCATAACTTTTACCTGGTCTATTATCTGAAAAAATGTATGTCGAATTCAGCATCCAAAGTAAGTCCATTAGTGTGCATCCTAAGATGTATCGTCCATGCAAGTTTGCTCATTATAGGGCTCATAGTTAATTGGAAATGATACATTCATCACAAACTAACATTTTCACTCATCCACAAAATGTAGGTCAGATTCAGCATCCGAAGCAAGCCTGGTAGTATGCATCCTTAGATGTATCATCCATGCAAGTTTGGTCAACATAGGGTTTATAGTTACTTGGAAATGAAACCTGCACTAAAAACTTTAACCTGTTCACTCAACCAGAAAATGTAGGTCAGATTCAGCATCTGAAGCAAGCCCGGTAGTATGCATCCTTAGATGTATCATCCGTGCAAGTTTGGTCATTAAAGAAGTCATAGTTACTTGGAAATGAATTATGCATCAAAAACTTTAACCTGTTCACTCAACCGGAAAATGTACATTGTAGATCAGATTCAGCATTCGAAGCAAGCCTGATAGTATGCATCCTTAGACGTATCATCCATGCAAGTTTGGTCAACATAGGGCTTATAGTAACTTGGAAATAAAACCTGCCCAAAAAAATTTAACCTGTTCACTCAACCGGAAAATGTAGGTCAGATTCAGCATCTGAAGCAAGCCTGATAGTATGCATCCTTAGATGTATTATCCATGCAAGTTTGGTCAACATAGGGCTGATAGTTACTTGGAAATGAAACCTGCACCAAAAACTTTAACCTGTTCACTCAACCAGAAAATGTAGGTCAGATTCAGCATCCAAAGCAAGCCTGGTAGTATGCATCCTTAGATGTATCATCCATGCAAGTTTGGTCAACATAGGGCTTATAGTTACTTGGAAATGAAACCTGCACAAAAAAATTTAACCTGTTCACTCAACCGGAAAATGTAGGTCAGATTCAGCATCCGAAGCAAGCCTGATAGTATGCATCCTTAGATGTATCATCCGTGCAAGTTTGGTCAACATAGGGCTTATAGTTACTTGGAAATGAAACCTGCACCAAAAACTTTAACCTGTTCACTCATCCAGAAAATGTAGGTCAGATTCAGCATCCGAAGCAAGCCCAGTAGTATGCATCCTTAGATGTATCAACCATGCAAGTTTGGTCAACATAGGGCTTATAGTTACTTGGAAATGAAACCTGCACCAAAAACTGCACCAAAAATGTTAACCTGCTCCAAAAACATTAACCTAGCCATTCCTTTGCTGAAATTGCAGCATCTGAAACTTTGACTGGTACAATGAAACACATTAGAAGCATCTTCCATGCATGTCTAATCAATATAGGACATAGAAGTACTTAAAAAGAAAACTGCTCCAAAAAACTTAACCTGGGACGCCAACGCCGACACCGACACCGACGCCGACGCCGAGGGTATTACATAAGCTCCCCCAACTTCGTTGAGGTGAGCTAAAAAGCATCCTCTCATCCTAAAAAATCTCAATTTTATTTTTTTGATAACTTTTGTTGATTTTCCAGATTCACATTTTATACAGATACATATCTTTCTAACCCAACAGGAAAAATTATATGAACAGGCACTTTAATTGCTTATATGGGCATGGTCCTGTATAACTTACCAGTAGATCCAGCAGATTTTGGGCCTCTTGATGCGGAGGATTTGGGGCCCATTTTGTCCTTCCCTGTACTGGACTTACTCCTCTGGGAGTCTTTACCTGAGGGTTCCTCCCCGGGATCAGAGTGGGCAAGGCGGCCCAGGCGACTGAATGAGGATCTAAAAGGGGGTACAATTAAATAGTCAGTCCTTACAATCTATACTCATTTTATTAGTATTTTAAATAGTTTCATAGAAAATGCGAAGGTTTTCTGAAGGAAAAAAAAGTCATCCTTATTTAAATTATCATATTCTTTTGAGCTATTCAAAACAAGAATCAATTCAATTTTTTTCTTTCAAACAATATGCATTTTGAACATGCATACAGTAGAAATTGAGGTTTCAGCAGGAAATAAAAAAAGTGTGCCATTATCATGACAAGCCTTGCATTGTTCTTCAATAAAGATTTTAGAATTTACAATATTATCTGCTACAGTTTTTCTGTGAGAATGGCCCTCTTTACCTTCCTTCCTGGTCAGTTGATTGATTGGGGACCCCCACCAGAGTTTTAGGGGTGGGGGACCCTGGGGGGTCCCCTTTGTCATCCCCTGCAGCTGGTGGCTGTGATTCATAGGAGGGCTTCGTCTCTGGGGGCTTCTCCTCTATAAAATAAATAAATAAGTATTTACTAACTAAAGATACTTAAAGATCACTTAATTTTCCTGATACTTTATTTGCAAGATTTTTTTAGGCACTGGTGTTTATAAACAAGACAAAATTTTTCACGATCTTTTGTCATTGTTACGTATGATTTTTTTAATAATACTAATATATGCAAGAAAGAAGATTTTGCAAATATTCGCGAAAATAAAATTCTAGCGAATAAAATGTTATTTACAGAAATTGGATCATTTTTAACATTTTATACTAAAAAAAAAATAATTTTTTTTTAAATCAGAGAATTCATAATGAATTGCTAATTTCTACCTCTTTTTCTACAAGATTTGATAAGAATCCCAAAAAGAGGAATGAATAAGAATTTTAAATCTGCTGTCTGGCTAACTTAATCATTGAGTTTACTTTAGACCTACCCTCCACAGGTCGTACGACCTTGTCCACTGAGTGGAACGACACCTGCGTGGGAATCGGTCGTATCTCGCAGGCTTTCTTTGGCTGGTGCTTGGCGAAGCTTTTGGACAGTCTTACTACGATGTTACGTGCACTGTTCTGGTCCTCTTCCCCTGAAATGCCAGTCAAAAATTAGTAAATTACATAATATAAATATCTTCCACTAGAACTTTTTAAAAGGTTTAATTGTCATTTTTTTTTAAGGTGAATGAATGTTTCATTTTTTTGTTTTATTAAATTCTTTGCATTTGTGGGTTAGTTTCATTACCTACCTGGTTTTGAGTTTGGGATTTTAAACTGCTTTATTTTGGTAAATCGGGCTTTGGCACCAACTTTGTCTTTTGTATCCCAGATCCGTAACTCGATGTTATGTTTGAACAGCTTCAACAGTAACTCATCTGTCACATTCACCACATGTCTGGAAATTAAAGAGAATTTATTTGTACATCACTTTAAATATTTTTTTAAAAAATCCCTCACTAAAAAAATATATATACATGTATATATTCAAAAAATTATTTTTCCTTGGTATTGGGATAAAATTATATCCAAATTCAAATGATAAACTCAAACTTAGCACTCATCAGTAGAAATCTACTGATGAGCCCACATGGGGCGAAAGCGCTTTAGATAAATTTAAAGTTTGAGTTTATCATTTGAATTTGGATTTTACATGTATATAGTTACATGTAGTTGCAGGTCTATAGTTCACTAGTTAAATGCCCATCTAGACTATTCCAGACCTGTGTAGTGAGATACAGTTGTAGTCCCATTACAACAGTTATATATTTCATCATTTCAACCACCTAACTTACTTGTGAGACCAGGCGACCCACGTCAATTCACCCTCGATCCAGGTCCTGACAATCCGAGGGTCATGTGACGCCATGAAGATAATGGCGGCAGGTCCATACGTGACGACATCCACCTTCTGTAGGCTGGACTCCTCGGGGGTCAGGTAGTACTCCAGGTGGTAATAATTCTGGGCCCGGGGGGCCTCAAACACCTGCTTCTTCTTCTTAATCAGCTGTTTAATGTCAGGCACATCCTCATCCTCAACTGGACAGAAAAAGGACCAGAATGTAATGAAAAGAATTTAAATCATTTCATTCATACAGACACTGTAAATACAATATAGTAGTACATTTTAATGAAAATTGTTATGTGATTTCAAAAATTATCTTGATTATAAATGAATTTTAGCTATGAAATAAAGATGATTTTTTTATTTAAAAGCAAGTTTACACATGTAATGTTACCAAATGTAGCTTTCATTAGTTTCTTTTTTTTTTTTTATAAAAAAAAATATCAGATAGAAACTGCATGCATTGGGGACATTAATATTCATGCAAGGAAAGAAAAGATTGGATAATTATAACTTTTTAATTTAGTAAAGAGAACAACAAAAAGAAGCCCACTATCTATTCTGATCATAATACAAAAGAAAATGAATTGTAAAAAGCTGCAAGTAAAAAAAAAAAAAAGAAAATTAAAAATGTATTATGATCAACAAGTTATATCCATATATTAACTTATGTACAAGTCAGTATAAAGAGTTTCATAATAAGAAAATGTATCATGGACATAGTTTACAATTCAGCTTTCACATGCAAAAAAAGTGAAAATAATTGCTTAATTTTTATGCAGAACCTATAAAACTCAAATGAATATGCAATGTTACATGTTCTCTACGAATTTATTTTGTATAAAAACTAGATGTTCAGTGTGGACAAGGGAAATACCCCTGGTAATTCTTTAAGTAGTGGGGTTACAATATTAATTGCTGCATGCTCATGCACAATTTACCATTAAAAGACCATGAGGATATTCAAATAATAGAAGAATAATACATAAATTCACTTTTTAAAATGGATAACTATATATATGGATATTAAGCACTTTCTAATTCATGCATCTTAAGAGTACATGCAGAACTGTGAATATGCAGGAACAGCCCAGTCACTGAACTTCAAGTTGTCTTTACTTCAGGTGACTCGTACGTATGATATGAACATATAAAGTGTATAAAATTGTAACAATCTGTGCAGGAATAAGTAAAAATTTTCTTAAAAAAAAAAAGACAGAGAACAGGCATGCTTTGAATATTTTGGGTTGCGTAAAGGGAGACTACCAGGAGCCGGGGCATTATTTTCTGACTTCTCAGGAATATTTTGTGTTGAATTCCGAGACTGTGGTTGACTTAGTGACACGATCCCAGCTGTGAAGAGAATCCATAGACAAAATTTGACAAAATAGCAATATTGCGATTACCATCATCAACTATAATTTCATACTATTAACAATCTTAATTAACTTACTGTAACAACACGTACATGTTCGAGATTTAACAGTCTACTAAGTACCATGCATACACTGGCTGGTATTAAAGAAAATTTTCAAATAGACAAAATGATTGAGATTTCAAAGTCATCATGATTTGGAATAAGATAGGCCATTTATCTTACATTAAAAGATCTAACCACCACCACCCCCCTTTCAAATTTTAATCCAATAAAGGGGAAAGGGGGCATAATTGTAACACCCTGTAAAACAGAAATCTTTTTATAACGGGACCTTAAATCAATATCTTTCCGATTCACAAAAATGGCCAACACATTCACCATGCAGGCCTTACAACATGTACAATGGGACATTAAGTCATTGATTGTGTGAGTGGTCTGATATAAAACCAAAAAACATGCTTTACACAAGACATGTCCTCTATAATCAATGGCAGCTTTTTATTTGATAAGCAACAGAGTTTTCAGTGTCAGAATATTCTATAGCAGAACTATAGCTGTTGTCTAATGTCATTTGTCCTAAATTATTTGGTGATAAAAGCACTTAAATGGTTGCATGACTTTGAGTCCTGTATCCTTAAACTCCTTCTTTTATCCTTTGACTTTTGATGATACATTATCCATATAGTAATAAATCTTTAATTCATGGCATGTCCTAAACACATTTTGCATGATAGAAATAATTAGGCAGCATTAAGAGCGGTTATGTGGATAATTGGAATGCCAATATTCATGGCACCTAGACGGCCATAACAACATCAATACATGAATAATAAATTCAGGCTTCTATACTACTAAACATAGGGGGAGCATGTAGAACTATATTAAAAGACAAAATGTAACCATTAATAAGAACATTTACCAGTTCACGCAAAATAGCTTTAATTAAGAGTCATTAAAAGGTAAATTCAGGTGTACATGTACACCATCCATAAATAAAGTAAATATATAAATAAATCATCTAACAATTTACAGCAAAGACTTAAAAGTTATATATACAGATCAATGGAATTCAAGAAAGCAGAGCAACAGCTGTGCTAAGTTCTTATTTTGGGGCTTTTTAATTGTTTTCAAAGAAAATTATATAAAAACTATCATCATGATCATATCTGCCCATTTCTTCATTTTATTATTCCACATCAGGTTTTTAAAATAAAACATATCTCGATCAATGTGTAGTATACAACTTGTAATCTTATTTAAAAATTAATGTAAAATGTGAACATGTATACAAAATATATGCACAACATGTGTGTGCAAAGTGGAAGCATCAAATTTACTTTCCTATCAAATTTAATTAAATTGAAATGGAATCCTTACTAAAAATAATTAGGTGAAAAGCTTTTTTTAAATAGCGAAAATAATGAAATTAAAAATTGGCAAGGCAGGTGAAAAAGCACAGAATAATTTTGCAACTCCTGTGCATATATATAATCAACACATGATAAATTCTGAATACATGTATTACAAAAATAACTGATATCCAGCAATTTTATGTTAAAATATTACATGTATTAGCTTGTAATTTTCAAAAAAAAAAAAAAAGGTTTATTACAGGTGCAAAAACCTTTCCCAAATTGAAAACTTTTGTAAAAACTATCTAATGGCTATATGATACAGAGTCTAACCAGCTACCCTGTGTAATAGAGAGCGACAGATCTATATAAAGTTCTACAGAGACTGCTCTAGAACTAAGACATACCAGTAGAAGGTCGCGAGGGCGTGGTATTGTTGTTCTGAACCGCTGTAATCAAAATTCATTTAATGATTGTATGACAAAGTGACAATGAAATTAATGTGCAACTATAAAGCTTATAAGATTCAAACACTTTGCACATTCATGGCTTTATTCATGGGGATGATTCAATCGCATTTACTGATTAATTCTGTCAGATTTTGTAATATATATATGTATATTTTTATAAAATTTCATACCATAATAATTTAATTCTGGTTGTAACGCTGTATTTGATTGGATAAAAAATTTACTTCATATCGTATAAAATGGGTTGCCTACGTCACAATGACTTACGTCAAAAACGTATCAATCCGCCTGACGTTACATTTAAATTTTGTACAAATTGAAGTCATTTTGTTAGAAAAATCATCTTTTTTTCTTACATCAAATGATTGAAAATTTAATTATAAGCAATGAATTTAATAGCTACCCATTTTATATGGTATAAACTGGGTTGGAACAGTTTACGCTTTTTTATAAACCGCTTCGCGGTTTATAAAGCGTAAACTGCCCCAACCCAGTTTATACCGTATAAAATGGGTAGCTATTAAATTCATTCCTTAAATAGAAAATCAGAGCGCCAACATTTTTTAAGATGTTTTTTTAAGGATGAATATAAGTTTGAAACTGAAAAAAATATAAATGACATGTCAAAAGTTCAAGAAATAATTGCATGTAGTCTAAATACCAATCAGCTGAATGAAGTACCAAAGTATATAGTTTTTAGAGTAATTTGTATTATTGAAAACATTTGATATCAAGGTATGGAACCATAAGACTTCAAGGCCAGACATTATAGAATGTGGTATTTGTATACAAGATAAAAGAAAGGAAATGATGGGGTGTAGAATGCTTGTCTTATGATGAACAGATAGAAACTTAGCTAAACTGTCCTTGTAAAGAGGTTGTAACAGAAATACTACATATAAGTATTTAATATCTATGTCAGTTGTTTTCGTCCAGTATAGAAGAATTTGTTTATATGTTTCACATACGCACCTCTTCGATTTCTTTTTGATACAGGTTTTTCTTTAATAAATATACATTTATGTTAACAAGCATTTATTTACAACCAGTATATTGTCACAGAGCACTGGATTAATTGTGTTATTATGTAAAAACATTTGATCCATATTGTATTGTACGTTGACTCTTTTCTAATCATCATAGACATGTCTCATGCGCAATTTTAGAAGAATTACATGCTTATTTTGGACTTTCAGTAAGGCGTGGCATTCTCGACGTTACCTAATTAGCTTCTGAAATTTACACACCTTTCCTTCACTGTTGAAATATACATATGATAGAAATGCGGCCAAATGTCAACTGGTGTAGTAAATGGCCAATTAAATGTACTATCATGGCACACAAGTTCCTGATGTTATTAATTTCGTAACCAATGAGAATCTACTAGTATTTGACATTACGTAGAGCCGAGAAAGTCACGCCCTACTGAAAGTCCAAAGTAAGGGTAAAATCGTCATATAAGTTCTAAAATGTTACATGTAAGCATGATATATACTATCTTTTTTTGCAAGATAATCATAATTATCTTTTCCATGTTTGACTTTGAATAAATTTTAAGTGAAAGCTGAAACATCATCTGCAACTACTCTGGAATATCACCTGTACCATTTAAGGCAAATGTACTGTAGAAGATTCTGATTTTAACAAGGTTAAATGCTGAATGAAACTGACGTACAGTATGATACAGATAAGATCGAATTATTACCTATAAATTCATTGAAATTATTCCTTGTGTGATGCAAAAATAATCTTATATTGAAAATCAATGTCTTGGTCAATGCTTTAATCTATGTCGTTAAGATTTATACACACAGAAACAAATCAATTTGACACACATGACACCATTTCATGACACACAGTACACTGCATAAACTTGTTAATGAACATATACTTACTAGTAGGTACAGCTATACAAATGGTTATTGTGAAAGTAACTTGTCTGGCATCAGGATCGACATTCATTTTCTTCTTTCTGCGTCCCTTCCAGGGTTGGACAGTATCGCTGCCACTACTCCTGGGTCGGCTGGTACTCTCGGAGCTGACAGGTCGGTCTTTGTTGTCCGAATCCATCTCCAGGCTATCTGATATTTCTTGTGATGATTTCTGTCCCACTTCCTCATCTGTTTTGGTGTCTGTTTCTGGGCTGTTCTCGTCCACCTTGATTTTGGACTCCCCTTCTGATTCCTCCCTGCCATCCCCTGATGGCGGCCTGTCTGGGGAGGCCTCCTGATCCGACATTTTTCTTTACTTTAAAACGCTATAATGTACACATATGACTTATCATTAATTGAATATTGTGGATTGGGGTAAAATGGCAAGATATTGAACTACATGCTATACACCTGCAATAGTTTAGCTTGGTTTGAATTCAGAAACATTTCTTAGACGGTCCTAAGGATACGTATACATATTTATAATAGTATCAAATCATCTAACTTTAACAATTTCGTAACAGATTAAGTCAACACCAAAAACATGTATTTTTCTTATAAATAAATAAGTTCATTACCCTAAAGTTGTGTTTAACTGTCCCATTACTTGTTAATGCATGCCGTACCACACCGGAACTCCCTCTGCATACAAAAGTAGTCCGCAAATCAGGTACCTAGATTCTCTCTTTTGACTTTGAAAAGATCTTATAAACGCAACCGATTTTGACCAAAACGTTATAAATTTCAATAATTATACATCATATTTGACTTATTTTGGGTATCATTATTTAAACGTTTCGGGAACTAAAATGGCGCATGAATTTTGTTGTTGCTACAACAAAAAGACTTTTCCCGCGAAAATATAAAACTGTAAGAGGCCTTAACTTTATTCAAGGTATTGGTAGTCCGATCCTGACAGGTTTATACAGAGACATATATGTCTCTGGTTTATATAAAATTAGCAGATCATATTTAATCCAAAATACTCATAAGAGTTTCTCTGAAACCACAAAGTTATGTAATTTTATCCATAGTATTTCTTTAAAGTTAAAGATTTAACAAATCAAAAGAATTTTCAATACAAATACAAATACTTTATTCCCCATTTTCAAAAGGTGGGTTATTTCCCCTGAAGGGAACTCTTTTACTGTGTTTAATACGCATGCGCTATAAATTCACTTCCGCGGACGTTCTTGATGTAAACATGTTCATGGTGTAATGCCTCTGTCATATGGAAAAATGTTATTGTGTTTGTGAATAAAAAGAAATCTTATATTTGCCAACTTATCTCTTTCTGGATTTGTATTAATTGTATTATAATAAGGCGCTGTGTGAGCCCCCCCCCCTTATACAAAAAAAAGAAAAGAAACAAATAACTGATAAAATGCTGATGCATATTCGAATAGGCCTATTTTAAAAAAAAAGCTAATTTTCGGTAGTGGATGTTCTGCAGACGGATCATCATTATTTACAAAATGTGCAGAACAAATATAAGAATTTTTAGTTTTTACGAATTAATCTAGCCTGCTGCAGCCATATTTTCTTCTCTGCATCTCTAGGAATTTTTGGAGACTTTGTCCATCTACAGTTTTACCCCTGAAATTGCTGCATATAAAAGTTCTGTAAGAAACTGCATTTTTGCCTTGTATGTCACTTTTACCATTTTGTGACAATTAAAGGCTTATTTCATTTGAATGAACCGTGTTTCCAGAATTCTTTATTCGTAAAATAATTTATTCACTGCATGTATAGTATTAAAACTTTGAATGGAATTCTAAATGAATAATTTAATCTCATGTACTCATATGTAACGAAGAAAGACTAATTAAAATAGCATCGACCTGAATTCGTGTTACATATGTCGTATAAAGTCTGAGCTGCATTTAATAAAAGTTTTAGTGCAGGATCTAAGCATATGTACATGCATATTCCCGAGTAAAATACACATTTTGTTTTAGATCAGAGAATTGACAGCAGAAACACGAAATTGATACAATAATTTCCTAGCGTATTTCTTGTTAATTAACGGAAAACGTTCTTTTCTCAAGTGTTATTCATGTTTATGTTTTACTTTTTCTATTGAAAATTAAATGTTCATTGAAAGACAGCAAACACACACACAGTTTATACTACGGTAATTATATAAGGGAAATGTAGTATTGTATGCCATACTGAAATAAGTTTCTTTAACTTTTCCAGGTAAGAAAAAACATTACACACACTTTTAAAGATTTTCGTATAGCTTTCTAAAAGGGGGAGAGGCAACAGACCCTTTATAAAATCAATTATCTAAAAAAAATTGCAATTTCCTCAAAATTTTTAATGCAAAGTTGATCACTATTTTGATTATCGTAACGTGTAGTCCGCGGAAGTTATGCTAGTTTTGAAGAGTTCCGATTTTTAGGGGAGATAACTCACTTTTTAAAATGGGGAATTGGTACAAACACAATTACAATAATTGGCAAAGGCCCACTGAACATCATTAAATAATAACGTTTACATAGTTTTTACCAAGAATTGTCAAGTAATTGACTTCTAAGTTCAAAGCAGTCTCTGATAAATTTAAAGGTATTAACTTTCAAGACTTTTAATTGTATATTACTGTTTACATATTGTGATATAATTGTGACATATTTTTTTCATTGCTAAGATTATTATTATTCTTTGTTATGTTATTAATATTACTAAAGAATGTGTTTCTTAGCTTAGAATATACAGTGAAAAAGAAAATGTATTTCATCCTCAATCACACCAGTATTGCAAACATTACAATATCTTTCATTTCTTGATGTGTAAATATATCACCACTTTCTATTGCAAGTTTATGTGCGCTTAGTCTATATAATGCTACCACTTTGAGAGAGGATCTCTCCGATCTTTTTTTGAGTAAATCAACATAAGGACTTCTTTTTCCTAAGTATACTTTCTTGAAGAAATCAAGTTTTTCTGAACCAAAGATTTTTAATTTTTGCTCCTGAGTGCACCGATCGATTCTTTGTTTAATGTTTGGTAAAAGGTGTTGGATGGAACCTGTATATTTTGTAATGTTTGAGTATCCAAGATTATCTAGAATAGTTCTAAAGAATAGAAAATAATTTCTTAGTCCAAGAATTACAGTTACTTGTGGATTGGTAAAGTTTAAAGGCCTAAGAATCAGAAGTTTTCAGCATGTTCAGGTGATTCCAATTAATTTGACACTTGAGAGGGAAATGGACCAAAGCGGTAGTCTTTTAATCTGCTAAACAACCAGCATTAGATGTTTTGCAGTGCACTCCAAGGATGTCTTTAATAAATTTAAGTGAAAATTTTCAATATTTGAAATATCTTTGGATGAGAGATCCACTCCCCATATTTCACTACAATAGTTTATCAGAACTGGAATTACAACATGTACAATAGCATCAAAAAGTTTTTTCTATAAGTTTACATGAGATATCAAATCCAATAATTCTTTTCGTTTTAAAACATGCTTTTCTAACCTTTTCAATAAGTACAGCTCTTGCTAAATTAAACTTCCAATTACATTTCATCATAATACCAGTATCTTGATACAATTTGTATTGCATTATATACCATTAAAACTAAATTCATTCCCTGAGGCTTGGCATTTGAGTTAATTAAATATCAGAACTTTAGATTTATCTACATTAACTTGAAGTTTCCAGTTTGAACAATAGACTGAGAATGCTTGCTGAGAAGATTACAATATCATCAGTATATCCATTTAAACTTCAAAATGTTACAGTGCTTGCCCAGTGCGTAGTGCACGGAGCACATTGACAGTGTAGTGGTAGCCTATTGCAAGAAAGATAACTTGTCTACACATCATTCAGATCGAAAGTAGAAGTTTCCTGTTTTAAGGTGGTACGAAAACACTCATGTAGATCTAATCCATTTGTACATTCCTTTGCATGGCGAAGATATGACTAGTAGGATTCATTTCTGTAATTTTTTTTACTAGTGGGAAAATGTGAGGTACGTTAAGTACTAAGTACATGTATAATATAATCATGATACATGTATGGATTTCGTAAACTTGGAAAAGTACGATAGACTGACTGATGGGTCGACAACAATAATAATGATGGTTTTGATTTTCAGGGTGTAGGCCATAAAGCTTTTGACAGTTTGCTGCACCGTATAGGGTAAGAGGAGACGACTTTTTGATTCGATTTGGGCTCGGGGAGGGACGGAGGGGGGGTGGCATATATCTCCCGAGTTATTTTCATATGTATACAGTGAAGGACAGATTACTTACTGCAGTATTTCTACTAGATATAGGACATATTTTCTTTAATTCTTGTCCAGGCAACAAGGGCAAGTACAAATTATTTTCAATATTATTTATTTGGAAAAAACGCCCCCCCCCACACACACAGAGTCACACACAATCAAATGTATGCCATGTTTGATAGATTATTAGAAAAGGCCACTAGTTTTAGATTACCTATGTATTAGAAAGGGATTTTCACAAGTTACAATTTTAGGCAAAATGTTTATATATTGAAGAGCTCTTAATTCCTCCTCCCACTTTTCCTGTAGCTATAATGGTAAATTGGTACTGTATTAAAATGGTTGTAAAAGAAAGTTGGAAAGTAATGGAATCTACCCCCTCATCAAACATGACAAAATAGGAGTACATATTAGGCCCAAAAAAATAATAGTCTTGTTTCCTGCTACCAAAAAAAATAATAAAATTATTTTATTTTTTTAATTTATTTTATTTTTTCCAAAGGTATTTTTTGGATATGAACTACTACAAAACCAAATAAAACGTCATAACTAGGTCAATATTATTTTTTGAAAAGAAATTTCATGTCTTTTGATGCACAACTCAAGTGGAATGTTATAAAAGAACATATTTTAAACATATATTTCATGAAACACAGTTTTAATATATATATATTTTTTTCACTTTTGGATCATAAAATTCCTGCAATTTCCATTTTTTTCCCCAAAAGCTAAAAAAAACTTTAGGGTCGGGTGCAAAAAAATAGGGTAGGTCGGGTAGCAGGAAACAAGACTATTTTTATTTTTGGCCTTATATATGTACGAGGGGTTATCAAAAAGTTTGTGGACTGAGGCTATAAAATTAGTACTATGTAGTCTGTGCTTTCAAAATTTATATGGAACATAAAACAACAAAAAATAAAGAAATGTTGAAAATTTTAGCCTGATACGTTCATTATTTTCCAAATTATTATAAAATGAAAACGACAATATATGATCACCCGGCGCTGTCGTCGTTTATTTTCATGACGTCCGATAACGTCATTGTTTTTTCATTGTCCGCTTCTTCAACCTCATACACTTTCTTGATGAGAAACCCTAGAGCTGAGAAAGGACTTAAACCCGCCTTGTTTATACATGTATGACTTTACAATGTCATGAACAGTGGCCTTCAATGAATATAATATTTCAAATGGATTAATACATTGGGAGAGATCCGCGCTTGATTGTGCCGGCATATTTTGCTTTTGGGAGTTCAATATCTACAACACATGATCAACGTCATTTTTGACGGGATTGATTTTTCACACCTTGACTGCAAATCGACATTAACTGTGTATCCCTTTATTCTTTGAATCTATTTTGACATTAAAAGACAAGTACTCTAGATGCATATTATTTCTCTGTAGCCAGTTTCAACATATTTTAGGTCTCTACTATTTTTTTCAGGGGCAAAACATAATATAATGTTGGAAACGGAAACCCCTCCCCCCTTTTGACGTCATTTTCAAGGCCTCATTTGTTTAGACATTCCGTGTAAAATTTACGATAAAATTTCAAAGAACGTCCAGAATTAAGTGAAAAATTAAGTATTTTATAGAACAATTGTGTCACAACACATACCTGAATTAACAGGATTTTTGGATGTCAAATAATCATATCAAATGAGTTCTTCTCAGTTACACATATGTCGAAAAAACGTCGTTTTCGAGGTTGCACCGCTTGGACATACCATTGCTTAGAAAAACATTACTAATTTATTAAAAAATAAAATTCATGATTTGTGGTTTATTCTTTGGATAGAAAAGACGATGCTTACTAGATATTTCAAAATTCATTGATGTACCTTAATTGAGCAGTTTTAATTTGATGGCGTTAGTCCACGAACTTTTTGATAACCCCTCGTAAGTACATCATTATCATGATAATGATTAGTCCAAATTATCTTTCGTTTTCCAGGCTTTTTTAAGATTTTAATATTTTACATGTCAAGAAAGTTTTCCTGGCTTGTAAAATATCAAAATCATAAAAAAAACCCTGGAAAACAGCAGATATTGGAACTAGATAATGATACCGTATACAGGGTTATTTTCACCCCCTGTTATTTTCGCCCTTTTGCACTTGCGAACAATTTTGCCCCATTTTAAATTTGCCCAGTCATAGTTATTTTTTAAGAAATTATACTGTGTTATTTGAATTTGCTCCATTTTAAATTGATGCCCAATCATGAAGAGGGTGAAAGGGGCGAAAATAAAATGGGGTGAAAATTTCCCTGTATACAGTATACTGTGTATATGCATGTATACAGATATGTGTAAATATGATTTAACAATTAAATTTTAATAGTGATAAGAGATTACATAAACATGATAAATGAATATATCTTAGCAGTATCTGGTTGATTCCCTCTTTATATTTTTAGGTCACCTGAGTTTATTAGGTCACCTGAGTAAACTCAGGTGACCTACTGCTATCCGTTTTCGCCTGGTGTTGGGCTTCGTGTGTTAACATTTGAACATTTTCAGCTTCTTCTCTGCAACCGCTCAACCAATTTTAACCAATTTTGGCATAAAGCATCTATGGGTGAAGGGGAACAAAAATTGTGAATTTCATGGTCCCTGCCCCCTGGGGCCTGAGGGGTGGGACCAAAACCACTAAAATTAGTGCAATCTTTAAAAATATTCTTCTTTACTCCTATTGGCATGATTGTAATGAGCATTGAGTCCTTTACCAAAATTGTGAAATTCATGGCCCCAGGGTCAGAGGTTCTAGTACTAGGGTGGGGCTATATATGATGAAGAAAGGTGCATCTAGCAAAATGGTTATTTTTTATGCCCCTGGGTCGGGGGGGGGGGGGTACATAGTCTGAAAATAAATTAATTAGGGCTGGGACGATACACCAGTCCTTTTTCTATATTGATACATATCACGATATTTGAGCCCTGATACGATATGTATCACGATATGTTTAATTGCTTATAAAATCTTTTTTTGCATTGAAATAAACAAACTTATTTATTTTATAAATTAACCCCAAATGTTAAATAAACAAAGAAAAACAGAAGTCAGATTTTTGGGGCGATATTTCGATATTTTTTCAAATGTATCGATATGTGTATCATCCTCACATATATCACAATATATCGATATCTCGATATATCGTCCCAGCCCTAAAATTAATGCTTTGAAATCTGCTCTTTGGTATTAATCAACCATTTTATGATAAAATTTGCAAAATTTTGAAATACCACGTATGTAGCCCCAGGGCCAGTGGTTCCTTTGGAGTGAGGTGCAAAACTGGTTATAAAGTGGAAGTGAATTTTCTCTTTGTTATTCTGATATACCTTTGGGTATTAAGTAAATAGAGTAAGCATGCTAAGTTTATAATTATGATAAGCAATGGTGTCTCTTTCAGAATTGTGAATTTCATGGCCTCTGGTTTAAAACACAAACCAAAGTTAATTGTTTTAAAGTTGTTACACAATACTCAGGTGACCTATAAGGCACATGGGCCTCTTGTTAAATTCTGTATATCTCTTTCTTTGTTACATGTATGCATATTTTTGTATCACATCTATGCTTTGAATTGATAATATGGTATTACACATACTTTCTTGTTGCCCCTTGAAGGTCCATTGGTGAATAAAGGGATTGAAAGAAATTTTCAGTACAAGTTCCAACTATTTCCACTATGTTTTTTATCCTGTCTGAGTTTGAATATATATGTACATGTACTTATAGAAATAACTGTGACTTATTTTTCCAGGTGGTTGCAGCAAAAACTGAACATAATGAAACAACAAGCAGTGTATATTATGTTCCTGTTGGGAATCTGTCATATTGTACTGGTATGTATAACTTAAGGACCATTGCATTTTAACATATAAAATGTATGCATAATTATGTGTTACCTTGATGCATTTATGAGGGGCAACTTTTACAAAGAACTGAAAGATTAATAAAAAATTCTTATAAAATATTTTATTCAGTGAAATTATTTCATCAACAAACTGAAAGTTATAAATATTACATGTTACACTACAAGCAATATCATATATATGTAGTGTGAATTTTTTTTTTACTCTTAACATCGTTTCAAGTTTTAGTAGAAAAATATATTATCCTCATGCATATAGCGGAAAAGTCTTCCTCTCAGATTATAAGAACATACAGAGCTAAAACATATACATGCAGTCATCTTTTTATAGTACTGTAACTATATTGTTAAAAATCAGATTAAACCAACAAGGTCTCTCATTGTTTTAATTTTAGGACTTTCCTATTCAGTCCATTACCTACAAAGGCTTTCAACATTTCCATTTTCATCTTCTTCTCCAGATAAGGATGCATTTCAAATTTGCCACAATATTTTGAACTGCAGCAATCCAATTGACAGTTTAAAGAATCGATACCACTGTATGCCAAATAGAAAGAAAACCCAACTTCTGGAGTTCTGTTATCCTGGAGATCGGGTTATAATGAGTCCAGGTGAGTTGAAATATCAGCTATTTCCCTACTCTTTAAAGTAGGCTTAATCATTTATCTCTGTCATAAGTCTGAGTGGCGAGTGGTAGAGCAAAGTTTTACATAGAAATATGTAGAGAAAATTCTGATCTTCTTATATGTCCCACTGTGCCAGGAGAGATGAAACTTATGGGGAAACATCCTCAGGTAGTGTAGATTCAAGTTTGTTCAAATCATGACCCCCAGGGGTAGGGCGGGGCCACAATGGCCGACCAAATTTTTACATATAAATATATAGGAAAATTCTTTAAAAATCTTCTTTTCAAGAATAACAAAGCCATGATTGATCATATTTATATGGAAGCATCTTTCAAAACTATACATGAATTTGTCAGTAGCTCATGTATTGAAGCATTGAGTTCTTATTTTTTGAAAATTTTTACAAAGAAATATATAAAAATTCTTTAAAAAGTTTCTTTTACAAGAATAACAAAGCAATAATTGATCATATTTATATGGAAGCATTTTTCACTAGTGCAATTATATTTTGTTAAAGTCCCTGATCCCCTGTATCCAACTGGCCGACTGTTTTCTCTTCAATATATAGTGAATTCTTAAAATTTTGTCTATGAATAACAAAGCCATAAGTTTTCATATTTATATGTTCATCAAAATTTGTAGATTCAAGTTTGTTCTATTAACCTCCCGGGAGCTAGGCTATGGCCATTTGTGCGGTGTGCAAGTTTTTCATAGAAATATATAGGAAGATTCTTTAAAAATCTTCTTGGAATCAAAGCCATAATTGTCATATTTGTAGGAAGCATCCTCAGGTAGTGTTACCAAATTTATACTAAAATAAGGGTTGGGCCTTTAAACAATGGCCGAAAATTTTTCATAGAAATATATAGGAAAATTCTTTAAAAATCTTCTTCTCAAGAATAACAAAGCCATAATTGATCATATTTGTATACAAGGATCTTCAGGTAGTCAAAGATTAAAATTTGTTCAAATCATGACCCTTGGTGGTAGGGCGGGGCTACAATGGTCACTTCAAAGTTTTACATAAATATATAGGAAAATTCTTTTTTTAAAAATCATCTATATTTTGAATAGCAAAGCCAAAATTGGTCATTGGATCTTTTAAGTTTAAAGTATTTAATTATAAACCAATTCACATTTTCTTAGCCACAGTGCTCAGGTGACATGTGACCTACTTTGTTATATTTTGTAACTATATTTTTTCAAATTTTCAACAAGGTCTCTCATTGTTTTAATTTTAGGACTTTCCTATTCAGTCCATTACCTACAAAGGCTTTCAAGCATATCCAGTCCGAGATGGTTGTCCTCCAGATAAGGATGCATGGGAAATTGCCTCAGATATTTTGAACTGCAGCAATCCAATTGACAGTTTAAAGAATCGATACCACTGTATGCCAAATAGAAAGAAAACCCAACTTCTGGAGTTCTGTTATCCTAAATCTTATACTTATGCATCTTGGGTCCAGGTGAGTTGAAATATCAGCTTTTTCCGATCTTTAAAGTAGGACAATAAATTATCTCTGTCATAAGTCAAGTGAAACTATCAATGTACTGCGTCTGCTATAGAGTTGTAGAGTAAGGAGTTGATCCTTATATGTCCCATGTTCATATCTCGATGTGAGACATGGAGATTGGCTCAATTAGACTGTATTCTGATCACAATCTGTCCGTTGTGCAGTAAGTGCGTCGTCGTCGTTGTTGTCGTTGTTGCTCAATGGCTCTAAGTGCCAAGTATTAATGGTAAAAATTTGCAGCCCTCCACCGACAAGCAGTGGCGTCTCCATATGAGTGAAAATCTCTTGAGACAGACATTTAACAACAAGCAATCAAAACTATACATGAATTTGTCAGTAGCTCATGTATTGAAGCATTGAGTTCTTATTTTTTGAAAATTTAGTCTCAAAGTTAATAAAAATAATTTCTGATTTTTGAAAGTTTAATTGATTACAATCCACACTCATTGCAGTTATGAGACTAATTCTTTCAAAAAATAATTATTTAAATTTTTCACTCACTAACTTATATTATTTTAAAGTCCCTGTATACTCCTGTATCCAACTGCTACTGCTCTTACTCTCTTCAATGTGAAAGTGAATTTTAAAATTTTGTCTATGACGCACTTGCATGGTTTTCAACATATGTTCATCAAAATTTGTAACTATCTTATTCTATTAACCTCCCTATCCATTTTTAGCTCTTCTGAGCCAAAGGCTCAAAGAGCTAATGCTATGGCCATTTGTGCGGTATATAGGAAAAATTTTAAAAATGGGCCATAACTCAAGAACCCCTAGCTTGGCCAATCAGTACCAAATTTGTCACAGGATTAGGTATTCTTGGCCCAAGGGCTACCATTTATACTAAAATAAGGGTTGGGACCTTTAAACAAGGGGAGAAAATCAGGAAAACAAAACCAAAAGTACTGGTTGCTAAAAAATCTTCTTCTCCATAACCAACAGGCAGATTTTCACCAAACTTACATACAAGGATCAGAATATGTCAAAGATTAAAATTTGCACGGGGAATTACCCTGGGGCAAAGGGCATGGTCTCAAGGTCACTTCAAAGTTGACCTAAATTTACAATTAATAAAAACGTGTACATTTTGCTTACTATAAGGACTAGGATCATCAAATCTTTTAAGTTGATGCATCTTATGACTTCACATCATGTTAACTCAAAAGTATGTGACAGTGACCTACTTTTTAAATTTTGTGGGGATTTTTTTTCAAATTTTCAAATTGATTTGAAGGCATATTTTGGACACTTTGAGGCATATGATCCGCAAACTTTGTCAGTTGATGCATCTTGGGTCCTCAAACAATGTCAACTTAAAATTAGGTCACCTGACCTACTTTTTGAACTTTATGACTTATCTTTTTAAAAACATTAAATCCAATTATTTCAGACACTGGGAGGTTTAGAATCATCAAATCTTATACTTTGATGCATCTTGGGACCTCAGGGATTGACATTAACGGTTGTCCGATTGCCCGGGACAAATAAATTCTCAGTTCGGGCAAGTGAAACTATGCTTTTACCTAGCCGATGTGCTCAGTGGATATTTGGCCCCTGGGCCATTTTTTTAATCTCACATAAGTTTATAAACAACACAATGAATTAAACACTTGATTTCTGCCAAAAACGGGAAATTGTTATTGCATTCGGAATCCCTCGGTAGCGTTTCTGGATAAGAAATCGGGTTTGTTATTCTGTTTTCCTTCGTTGTTTAAAAAATACGATTATCTGTCTGACAACTTAGTCGTTACAGTCTTATTATGAAATAGAGATTACAGAATACTTTCTCTACCCAATTAAGGAATTATATGAAGAATACCAATTATTTATGATGCACGATGTATCTTGATTCAAAACATAACAACTCTCTTCCTTCTGGCTTCACCTCATTTTTATAGAGGAAAAATTAAAATTTCAAGCAAAAATCATTAGGCCTAGAAAATAATATTCCTGCAGTACTCTGTGTGTTTTCAAGATAGTTAAATGACAGGAAAGTGTTTTACATACATTGCACATTTACAAATGTAGCATCACCAACATATCAACATTTTTCCGGCAGTTAACATCAAAATTGAGATTAATTTGTCAACTTTTATATATGCAGGTACAATAACTGTTTTTTTTTCTTCAAAAATTTGGGCAACTAAATTTTGCATTCGGACAAGTCAAAATTGTAGTTCACTTGCCCGAAGGACAAGTGGAAATAAAAGTTAATGTCTACCCCTGGACCTTTATGAAAAAGTAGGTTACTGTGACCTACTATTTGAATTTGCCGACATTTGTTTTCAAATTTTTTAAAACGCATATTTTGATTACCTTCAGACCTATGATCATCAAACTTGGTCAGTAGATGCATCTTGGGTCTTTGAAAAATTTCAACCAAAATGTAGGTCATGTGACCTACTTTCGACATTTTATAGCTATATTTAAGTATCTTAGGTATTTATTGGCTTAGAATCATCAAACTTTGTAAGTCAATGCATATTTGGTTTTCGGAGAGTAACGACCAAAAAGTAGGTCACGGTGACCTACTTTTGACATTTTATGGCTTTATTTAAGTATCTCCGGTACTAATATTGGCTTAAAATCATCAAACTTTGTGAGTTGATGCATCTTGGGTTTTCGGAGAGTGACGACCAAAAAGTAGGTCATGGTGACCTACTTTTGACATTTTGTGGTTATAATTAAGTATCTCTGGTACTTATTGACCTAAAATCATCAAACTTTGTCAGTTGATGCATCTTGGGTTTTCGGAGATTGTCTACCAAAAAGTAGGTCAAATTACCTACTTTTGACATTTTATGGCTATATTTAAGTATCTCAGGCACTTATTGGCTAAGAATCATCAAACTTTGTCAGTTGATGCATCTTGGGTTTTCGGAGAATGTCGACCAAAAAGTAGGTCACGGTGACCTACTTTTGAATATCTCAGGTACGTATTAGCTTAGAATCATCAAACTTTGTCATTCTAGGCACCTTGGGTTTTCAGAGAACGTAGTTCAAAAAGTAGGTCACTGTGACCTACTTTTGACATTTTATGGCTATATTTAATTATATCTGGTACTTATTGGCTCGGAATCATCAAACTTTGTCAGTTGAGGCATATTAGGATTTCATTGAATGTCCAACAAGAAGTAGGTCAAGGTGATCTACTTTTGAATTTCTCAGGTACTTATTGGCTTAGAAACATCAAATTTTGTCAGTGTATTTTGGATAACGTCGATCAAAAAGAAGGTCACCGTGACCTACTTTTGACATTTGATGGCTATATTTAATTATTTCTGGTGCTAATTGGCTTAGAATCGTCAAATTTTGTCAGTTGATGCATCTTGGGTTTTCAGAGAATGTTGACCAAAAAGTAGGTCATGGTGACCTACTTTTGAATATCTCAGGTACTTATTTAATTAGAATCATCAGTCTTTGTCAATTAATACTATCTTGAGTCCTCAGAAAATTTCAATCAAAAGGTAG